TGCAGTAAACAACTGCTGTTGGTTTGCATTGAAGATGATGTAGAAACATTAATTTTTATCATACCAAATTAGTCATCAATAAAGGAAGGTTTAAAAAAACAAACAAAAAAAACCCCCAAGGATTTCACACCTTCACTTGTGTACAGATAAAGAAGAAAGAGAAATGACTCATCCCTAATTAATTGCCACCCCTTAGACCCTGGTCAGAGGGATAATGTCAGACGCCCCTCTATACGTTAAGTAATGAGAGCCATGGAGGAAAAGAGCGTTGATGGTGACACCTCTGACTGTGACAACATATGAATTGGCAGCCTGACAGCGATGGAAAGCCGTGAAGAGGTTCCAGTATGCAGGGTGAAGTAGCGCTTTTAGCTGGGAGCCATGCAGCACACAAGGAGGGCTGGGTGCCTCTGCTTTGTACCCTCCACATTTACATGGCCTGACCCAGTTCAGCAACGGCTAGCGGTGGGGGGAGGGGACAGTCTGGGGGAAGCTAAAAATACCAACCCCTCGCATTAGGCAGCTCCATTGCAGAGGGATCCCTAGAATTGCTATCCCTGACTTGCATTGAGTTGTTGGCACATTGAGGTGTTCGAACTGCCAGAGGGTTTCCTTAGCGTGGAAACAAAGACGACGAAGATGGGTGTATTTTCTTAGATGTCCATCACTGTTGTCCGTCACTCGTTTCTGCTTTCTGCAGCCCTTGATGCAACGTTTTTAGTGAGTGTGAAAGCAGCCTGAAATAGCTTGGGTTAAGATGAGACTTCCTTCAACCTTGGGTAAACCACCTCATGTTCACCATGCTCAGCTATGGGTTTGCCACTAAAGCATGGAAAGGGTTAATCCCAGCCTCTGTCATTCAACCATACCATGCCAGCTGTTGGCTTTGAGATCCAATCACAATGATTTTCCACTGTTGTGACATGTGACCTGCTCCGCAACCCGAAACTGTCGCAGCACAGCAAATGTTGGCACTTCCATGGTCTCAGCGTTGTGGCCGCCGGTGGGGTGAGGGGGCGTGAATGTGGGGAGAGGGCTCGTGAAGTAAGATGTGAAGACAGAAATGGAGAAGGCACTCAATAACATGCTTTAGTATAGGCTGCACATGTGATCTGCCCATGTGGCCAGTGATATATTCCTGCCCTTTTAAGATGAGTCATTCAGAGGCCATTTGCACAATTCAAGAGCCACATATTGGTGGTAAGTGCACAAGACAGTCATTTACCTCAGATTCCCTAAATCTTTTTCTGAAATGGGCTTCAAGTTAAAGTGATGGTTACAAATAACGACTAACTTAAATGTGAAGGTTTATTATCAAGGTGTCAGTTTAATGTGAAGAAAGGACCCCTAACATAAGCTTTGTTTCACACATGCACACATGAATATTTATACTACATTTTCAGAATACACTGGAAATCTTTCTGACTTACTTGTTCACACATGCACCTCACATCAGGAAACTACCCCTGTTGTACGGCTTGGGGTGTTGGAGGATAGTGAACTTAGCAACCGAGTCCTACGCTGTGATAATTATTGCCTTTATATTCAAAAATATCAATTATATTCAAAAGGACTGTTTCATGGACTGGGGCCTTGTCTTATTAGTCTTTGAGATCACAGGCATATCATAACTGACCAAACTTACTTAAGGAGTAAGGAGGAGTCAGTTTAGACCACAATTTATCATGATGCCAGTATGTCTTACTTGTCCACTAATTGTCACACACATTCTGGGAAAGGTGTAACTTTCCTCCATTGTTCTTACTTTGACTGCAATGAGATAAACATCATGTACACATGTTCGGACGGCTGGCAGGGAATTTGTGTTCAATCCTCAAGAAAAAGTTATTTTCGTGCATGTAAAATAGCATATAAAGTTATTAGATAAAGCCTGCTGTCATAAATAAGTAAAGCGTTTTTCAATAGACATTTCAATATGCAACAAAGGCCTCATCGTAACCTTAGGCGAGTAGAAGCCGAGCAAGAGTATTTCCCTTTCAATGAGGGGGATTTCTGCGATCTCTCCCACCTCAGTAACACGCCCGGCCCTGCAATTATGCTGTGTAATAAATAATGAATCCTGTCCCTTTTTCCATGGCAGATGGCTCCAAATAGAATCTCAACATGTGACAGAATAGTTTCCAAGAATCTCAATGGAATAAGCTGCAAGCATTCATACGTGCAATTGTGCATTTTCTCTCCTTGCATCTGTGTCCCAGTTTAAAGTTGTGACATATTTTGACTTTTGGATGTTTAAGTTTGGAGGTGCATGCTTGATGTCCTATTTAGAGTAAAGACAGGAAAAATGGTGTCCTCTTGGGCACATTATGGTCAAATCCAGAAAGAGGTTATATCTTCCCCAGCTGAGAGATAAGTGCTGCATTTTCTTCAGGCGAGGAGTACCGTCGCTGTCTGTCTACACTGGTGCCTTTCTTTATTGATCAGTACAGCTTCCCCAGGGCCTCCCAGCAGAAAGTACAGTTTATGTTTCATACAATCGTCCAAGGCTTAAAGAAAACAATCCATCCCTTGATTTATCTTTCCCTAAAAAAATCCAGTTTAGACCCTTATGGGTTTTAAGAAATAAATCAAATCCTCCTTAAAACAGATTAACACCTCCAATACTTTAGCCTTTGTAAGTCCACTTTGAAGTTGTACGCTTGTACTTAACTTAGATAAATTCCTATCAACTTGGTCGACATGAATGAATCAGCGTCGTTGTGTTAGGCTGATTAAAGCTGAATGGACAGCAGCCTCTCATTAGAATGGACTCTCCCATGTAAAGCACCATGGAGCTCCCTGATGCCACAGATAGTCTTAATTAGATTAAACAGAAGGCTTTTCCTGAGGTAATCAGTCACTGGCTCCCTGCTCTCTATGCTGGTGGGGGTAGCATAGTGTCCACTGCGGGGAAGCTGCTGGCTTTTTTTCCCCTCACTCAATGACAGATCTTCTGTATGTTCTTTGAACACGGCAGGGGGCTATGATACAGTTGCATGGCTCTCCGGATGAAAGAGTTTGACTCTTGATGCTGTATTTAACACCTGGTAGTACTAAAAGAGGAAACTGCCTCTTTGGCATTCCAATCTGCCCGATAGTATTTAAAGAGATCAGACATTTCATTGTAGAATGAAAGAGGGTAATCTGGGCTTCATGATTGATGACTTTCTTTTTCTTCTCAATACTCAAATATAAGCTCATCACTAAACTCTGCTTTTCCCTCAAGAAAGAGTGTTCTCAGTGTGGGTAAAGATGGATTATTAACCAATAAAAACCAAATTAACAGAAAGTACAGAAGCTCTGTTCTATGTTCTACAAACACACTTTCTTCAAAGTCTTTATATGTGATTTTTCACACTGAAATGTAATAGAAATCAAGTATATCCTCTGAAAATAACTCTGTGAGTAATGACTGTCTACAATGGGTGTAACACCCGAGTCCCACTGTCTGTGATGCTTTGAGTTTTCCGAGTCCTATCTTCAGTTTGTTTACATCACCAGGACGGCCAACCGACTCCTCCCCTCGCATTTAAAAGTTGTTTAATTGAGGGACTAGAGAAAAGAAGAATAACATACTGTACTCACTGCTTAACTGTGTTTCTAAATCACGCTTATTTCGGGTAAATTTACATGCAGTGTGAAGATACGAGAATAATAAAGATTGCTAGCATTAGCATGCTAACACAACAATGCACCGCGAGTTGTTTTGGTTTCATGCTCGTGCTCAAGGGCGACATCTGCTGGATCAAAAAAAAATCACATATAAAGCCTTCAAGGTCTGTCGAACCTTTACCAGATAATGGCCGGCAAAAGTTGACACATTTCCCATTATTATATGTTATTTGTGACTGAGTACCACTGCAATTGCAATTATACTTCTACATGAACTTAATGCAACAGTTTTATTTCCCACTCAAAGCAAATGAACCAGGCTCAGAGAGTCAACTCATACCAGTTGAAAAATTGCAAGACACTCTAGGAGAAGCTGCTGCAAACCCTTTACTGTAAAACAGCTGCCATAACTTTGTATTAATAGTCGATGAAGATGGCAGACGGGAAAGGACTGCCTTTTAAACTGTCCGTGCAGGAAAAACCCTGGAAGCAGCTCTGAGCAGAGTGATCACTGAATGCTAATGCTCCACTCCCCTCGCACACTCGGTCAGGGAAGCAGAGTGCACATTACTTGACAAGTGCTTTTGTCCACATGACAAAATTATTCTTATTTTATTACAACTCAAGTGCAGCTAATCAAACATCTCTTGGCAGGGACTGTAGGCAGTTTTGCTAATTACTGAGCTGCTCGTCTAAGCAGCTAAGTGGTTTCCTTTTATGCAGCAGTAAAATGTTCCAACTTAAGTGTCGCTGCTCATGTTTTGAGGCTGTATGATGACAGATTCTGAGAGAAACACAAATGGTCAAATGAACGTAGCTTGAAAGGCTTAATTGAATACAAGCAATCATAAAGTCAACACTAGAGTAAAAGCAGGGTGACTCCCAAGGGAAACTAATCAAATGATGATAATGCTGTGTGAAAGGAACCTGTAAGATAAAGACAAAAATAAGTATTGACTTGACTGGTTTTCTCATTCATTCACTATATGATGAAGAGTTGTCATGATACCAGATTTTTAAACTTTGATACTATACATGACCCTATACGTGGTATTTCCTTTCCTAATACGTGGTATTTCCTGTCTACTCTGGACAAACACGTGTGAAACATTTTGTTTTAGAAATACATACTAAAGTATGCCCTTCCTTTTCTCTCTGTATGAGGCCAAAAGGACTTGAGAAACATCAATATTTGCCAAATTGTGACTTTGAATTTGAATTGCAACCCCATTACTAAACACATTTCATTTTGAAATACGTTGTGAAATAAGTATTGAAGTATTGCGCATTTTGACAACCTAAGCATGAATCATAAATGTCCGTTGAAACCTTCTGTATAAAAAGTTACACTTGGTAATGTCACTAATGGCCTTGCTCTTCTCTTTCAGACCTGCATGCATGGTGACCTCCACCTCTGTGGGTGATCCTCAGTCACCATGAAAGACTAGGAACTCAGCTCTCCGAGGGAAATGGCCCGTTTTGTAATACCCCTGCCCTGCTACCCGGCGCATGACTCCAGCTGCCTCTGAAGGGCCCGTCAGCTGTTTTATGGGAACTACCACTGTGCTTGCACCCTTGAGGATTTAAGCTTTTCCAGGAACACTTTTTTTTTTTTTTCTTTTACCCCCACTGTTGAGCTGAAGCAGAGAGTGGGGAGGCGTCGAGACAATGGCGAACAACTCGTACAGCGGGGTGAAGAACTCCATGGTGGAGGCCAACCACGATGGAGACTTTGGCTGCACGCTCAAAGAACTGCGCTCCCTTATGGAACTGAGAGGCGCAGAGGCGCTAAGCAAAATTGGGGAATCTTTTGACGATAGTCAAGGACTCTGCCAGCGGTTAAAAACATCACCTATAGATGGTAAATGCTTCCTTCACACTCAGCATGATTAATGGATCAAACTCAGGATGTAATCTAAACAGTGCTAGTAGCCAGTGCTGTTGGAATGCTAATGTGCTGCATAGTTTAGGAGGCGTGTCACTGCCCTGTCATCCACATTGTGGATACCTTGACATCACTTCCTTGGAAAACTCATATGCCAGACAGGTGGCCAGGCAGGCTGGCTGTGACCTGGGCCAGTCCTGCTCTATTTCGAGGCCTGTGGATATGTCCCTCTTACCCTCCCTCTCTCTCCCTTTTCACCTCTGTGTGTGCGTGTCGTTGCGTCTCTGTGTGCAGGCTTCAGACAGACCAGCTGTCTGCCTGGGCACAGCACCAGGCTGCAGGCAGGTCAACGTCCCACATGTGGCGAACTAAACAGGAGGCTGTAAGGCTGGGTAGTAATGACTTGAACATGTAAGGGAAGGAGTGAGTTCATCTTTTGAATGTCTCCTCTGTTTGTTACTCTAAAACAACAAAACAGTGCACACAACGCTAGCACTATGCTGAGTATTGTAAAAGAAAAAAAGAGTAATAGGTTACAGCAGAACCCCAGCAGAAGTGATTGACAGCACCTCTATCTGTCTTTTTTGCCATTTTTCAACCACTCTTTTCCCTCTGTCTCGGTTTGTCTCTCTATAGACAGTCTGCCTAATCGCCAGCATGACCTTGACTGAACTCTTATGGGAGGGGATTTTCAGTTTGATCCCAGATTAAAACGGCACCGCACATTCACTGTGGCAGCAACAGTCCGCAATTCACTGTCTCAAAAGCAAAGGAAACAAATTTCCTGGGCCTCACCAGACCAAAGGAATGCAATAAATACCACACGATAAAACAACACAAAACATCTGTCATTCAAGAAGGACCACCTCACCATTCGATTTTGACCTTTCATTTATCGACAACACAGTGTACATGCAGAGAGTCTCTCTGCTTGCACTTTGTGTTCTGCAGGCTGGTAGGCCATTGTCTGAACCGAGGAGAAATTGCTGAGTAGGAATTTGCCTGAAAGAGAGCCTGAGCTGTCCAAACATGCATGTGGCTGTCAAGCTGGTGAACATAGTCCTGTCATATTTGTAGCATGAGTGACTTTCCTTTCCAAAGCGTATACTACCTAGCCTAGGCTACAAAAGAATGTGGCTAGTTCAGTCCCGCTGGCTTTTTCAGCAGTCTTACAATATTGGTTGATAGTAATATCAAGTTATCAGCAATGTTTGCTTTATCTACACACTTGATCAATATCTGCAGTCTATATTTGCCATCCTTATTAAACATGTTTTTAAGGCGGAGGGGATATTTACTCATGTCTACATTCTAAATGAAGACCAATTTTTTGCTAAACATGCCAAATACTTTACAAAACAAAAACCGCTCATACCAGATTTTCTAAATATTGTCTTTCATTTCTGCAGTTATTTGCGACTGCACGATACTGATAAGCTTGAAAAGATCCTCAATTTGTTTCCCCTCGCAGCAGGTTATTGTTGCACTTGGTAGGCAGCCACTCAGTAGTTTTTATACTTCCACTTTCAATCAGCTCATTCCTCATTGGCTTGGGAAATTAAGCCATCATTTAAGATTACAGGCGCTTGACAATTGAAAAGGGATTTCTAATTAGTTGGTTGGCCATTTCTGGAACCTCTTAAGCCAATCCTCCGCTAATCCTCCACATTTCCAAGCTCTTTTTTTTTCCCCCCTCACCCAAAGAAGTTAGACTGAACTTCTGTGTTGCAGCTGTGCACGGATGTACCACTCTACGCAGACTAATTTTTAGCACGGCCTGTCAGCCTGGATTAGGCTTAATATAATTTATCGTGCTGCTGTTTCCGTTCTACAACTTAAGTCTTGGTAATTTTGAGATCACTTAGATTGAACTTCATGGGGATGCAATTTATAGTGATTCTGCTAATTAACATACTAATGCTCTGAGTTTGAAAAATTATGCACATTTCACAATAGGCTTTCTAAACTGTGACAATGAACGCTGCCAAACTCTTATTCAAATATTACTTTTGTGTGTTTGACAAAGACAGACCATTAACCCGTCACAGGGTTTTATTGTAGTGGAATAAAAGGTGAAATCTGAAGAGTATAATCATAAAACATATCAAGCCCAATAGATTATATAATATTTGACATATTTAAACTCTGGTTCTGCTGGTATTATGTACTTCCTAATTATGATGGGGACCCCCTTTTGTGATTGAAAAAGATGGCTGACCAATACCTGAAGTTCATGCAGTTGGTCTGGTGTTAGTTCTGCCTTGCACATGCTGTAATTTCTGTGCTCTAGTAGTTTGTGATACTCAGAACATAATGATCAGTTAGGCTTTGGCTCTGTTTTCTTGGTAGTTGTGCAGTTATTTTCATAAATGACGTGACATCGAAAGGGGAACTCCCCGACATTTATGCGCGTCATAACCAGTTTACTCATTTTGGAAAGTAAGACTCAGTGTGTGTGAAACCACTTTATGTGATGTTATCTGTGGTTTTTGTAACTGGTGACTGGGACTCAGAGATGACACATAGCAACAAATGTAGCCAGTAAGAGCTTGTGGACTTGTCAGTGGCATGGTTCTAAGTCAAGGAAAGCAATGCTGTTGTATGGGTAATTATCTTTTTATGGCCTTACTAGATGAGTCAGGGCATCTGAGCCTCTGCTGCACCAGTTGTGACCATTCTTGTTGTTTTTAATCCGTCTCTCGTGAGTCCCACAGCTGTTTGTAAAAGCTATTCTAAATCACTGGAGTACTGTTTTGACAAAATTCCCATCCCTTTAGCACATTTTCTCAGCATTGAATATCACCGCCCTGGGGCATAGTATTGTAATCCAAAGTGTATCCAGATGTCTGCATTAAGGTTTGGGGAGTCTTTCTTGTGGGCACAACAGTTGGTGCTTTAAGATACAAATAAATTGTGGTTTGTTTGTGTGTTTTAAAAAAAAAAAATCAGAGGTGGCAATTATTTACTTTTCAGCATTTGATATTAGAAAAAGTGAAATCATGTGCTATCAATATTTTCAGCAAGCCCTGCAAACACATTGGCACTTATTTTTCTCCCCACGGTAAGCTCTATTTCTTCTGCATAATAAGACCTATCAAATGGCCACTTTGCATCAATATTATTGACAGTGTTCTCCTATTTTCGCTGCCATCTTCTGTCGATTGCTACTTCAGTGTAGTCAAATATTTGGGTTGCAGCCTATCGATCCAATCAGCTGAGGGCTTAGAGGCTTGCACAATTGGACTGCAATTCTCAGAAGCTGACAGGCTCTCTGGATATGTCATCCCCCCGCCCCCCCCCTCCTCCTCCTCTCCAATTCAATGGAGAGGTTGAGACTGTTAAATGATAGTTTACTCGTTTTACAGTTCAGAGGCAGAGGGCAGGAAAAGCTCATCTTCATCTCTGAATTCAGAAAGATGTGCTTGTATGGGCTGTAGCCACGAGGGATGAAGAACATATGAAGATGCTGCGGATGATAGTGAAGCTGAATATCGGTTTCTTGTATCTCCTTAAAGTCCTAGTGAAGTGCCATTGTATTTGTCATTCAAAACCAAATGTAGTGTTGGAACTGTCTAGTACAAACATTTCAATATCTAGTGTTTATTTAGAGAGTTGTCTTAAATGTTACTTATATAGTCTTGTGGTCTTGGTGAGCATTTTCTCACTGAGCGTGCTGCATTACTGTTCCTGTGGACAAAGCTCTTCTCATTAGCACACAATCTGCTTAGGTGCAATAAGAACCAAAATATACTTTAATCACTTTAAATAGAGAAGAATTACATCAGGAACATTAGGAATTTGCTAACTGTTAGGATACTTAAATTGAAGATAAACTTCAAATACAAAAAAACAAACAATAATAATGACTTTGGACCAAGTGGTTAGTCTGTGTGTAGAAAAAAACCAAACAGATACTACCACCTGCACAGAGGTGCTGGGAGCCCCAGAATCCAATTATCCATGCAAGATTTGGAGCACAATATCAATATAAACATACTCCCATTTGTTATTGACCTTGCTGCACTTTGGACAATTTATATTCATGTTATTACTCCATTTCTAATAGTGTTTGCCTCTGTTCCCTAGGTCACTGAGATAGTTCATCCAAAAAGATTTTAAACACCCGAAGAAAAATTTGCATGTTTTACATTTTAATCTGTGTGAAGAAGTTTCTTCACCCAGAGTTTTTCCTGCCAGGCCCCTTGTAAAACTTCCATGTGAAGTCGGGGTGAGCTGATGTGAGAATTCAGCAGGAAATTTTCAGGACATTTTTCACCACAAGCTAGTTGGAGGAGGAGATGGTTAATACCTGCTACCAGCATGAGTCCAGTTCGATCTCCATGCATGTAATTGAACAGATACATTGTGTTTTCGGTTCACAAGTAATGCTTTTCTCTGCTGCTTCCTCGATATTGTGAATAAGTCAAAATACATGTAGAATTGGTATAAAGGGAAAGTTGTCATTATAGCGCACAGCCCTCCCCACTCCCCTTTAGGCAGAAGGGATTGTCTCTCCACTCTGGGGTTCAAGCAACTCTGGAACATTTCAGAGGGCATGCAACCTGAACATTTTTGGGAGTTCATAAAACAGCTTCACACAAGTAAATGTATTTTTCTGAGCTGCTTCAACACATCCTCCTTCTTCCAAGTTGCACTATGCCTCCACCAGAGAACCTTCAGTTCTCTAATATACAGGTCATAGATAGATCAGTGATATCAATTATATCACATCTTCACCGGGGATTAAGTATGTAGTTGTTACTTCTTTAGACCAACCTACAGTACTGGTATTGGATCGGTAGATTTTCAATTTGCAACTGAGGTATTGGCTTCTGTATCAGGAGGGAAACAATAGTATCAGAACATCGCTATTAAGGACGGGGTGTGAAGAATTCCTTTCCTCTCTTTTCTTTGTGTTTTGTGCACAAGTCTTCACATATTCCCTTTGAAATCAGATTGCTTTGATTCGTCCTCTGAATGGTGTTTTATTGAGCTGCGTAGTGTTCTGGACATCTCGCCCTACAGACAGAAAAAATGTGACCCTACATCTTTTAATTATGACAGGCCTAGAGTGAAGCCTTACCTTGACCCCCACTGTGGGGGCTAAAATGACAGTACTCAGGGTCAGCTAGGGACAAGCATCCAAATTAAATGGTTAATGATTAGCTACTTGACTTGAGACTGACTCTGGCTGCTGAAAGGACGTGAGGGGCCAAGGACGGCCTATTTTCTGTTCATGTATCTAGCCCAGAGAGACGACTTGTTGATCGTCCTCTGTCACTTGTATTTACTGCTCTAGTGCAAAAGGAAAACGTGGTGTAAAATTGAACGGGTTATTAGCTGTCAGCATGTTTTCATTAGAGGCGTAGTGAATCAAAGCAGACGGTGAGAGACAGCCAGGGAGCAGCAACAGGCAGCTATGCAAGATAAACCCCGTAGCCTTTTAATGTGCCGTGTGATGAGTCATCAACATTTTTCTCACCTCCCTTTTCGAAAAGAATGTGCTAGTGCTTAATTGTAAAGTCAATTAGAAATGTACCTAGTGATGTACAAGATTATTTTCCCCCTATCTCTTTGAACGGAGAAGGCCAGAACTGTTTAAAGTGACCGGTGGTTGGAAATGTGAACGATGGAACACGGGCTGTTTTATGGATATCTTTAAGCTATTCTTTAGTATAGCGTCGTCCTGTTGTCCATAAGTGGATTATAATGGTTACATTGAGAGGGACCTTGATTGATGCTTAATGTTCTTCAGAGCTCAAAAGATGGATGATCAATCGGTGAGCAGTCTTGGTATCAACATTTTTGATGATCGTTTAAAGCTCCTGTGAGGAACTTTTGGTTTGTGTTGATTTTGGAAACCCCATGTGGACAAAGAGGTACCACTTATCTCTTTGCTGATTTTTGTCCTGTACATGCGTCACTAGTGTTTTTTTAAGGAGAAAAAAAAGGATATGAAAATCTGTGTCGTGGAAAATGTAGAGGATACTAAGTATCTAAGTCATGGACTTATCATTGAAATACTCCTTTCTTATATAAAGTGGTATCTTATCTTATTATACATAATGTCAAATGTTGACATTGTTTAATGTTTTTGGAATGAAACTGCATTTATAAGCAAACACTTCTTCCACTTGTCACATAGTTGTGACTCATGACAACAGAAAACACTTAAGCTGGTAAATGAAAACACACTTACGAGCTGATTAAAGAGACTACTTCAAATGAGACATAATAATTGTGATTAAAAAAGAAAGTGTGTCTCTCCTTGAGGTTCAGGGGTGCATAGACTTGTTTACCAAATGTAGTGACTGCAGCCTACAGTTCTTAAGCAGCATGTTTTGAATTTCCAAATGCAGTCCTGTTTTTTTTTTTTTTAGTTATATCTGATAACCTTCTAAATGTAAAGTTAAAATCCTGATCTTTCAAAGTTCCTCTGAATATTTATTCCTATATTTGTGTTTCAGATTGTTGCACATTTAAAAGAAAATAAGTGGAAACTGGACAGTGAGCCAGGCTGTTCATATTTAATAGTCCCCAGAAAATAGCAAAGGCTAAAAGTAAGTTTTATTTGAGTCATACTTTAACAGTCCCATCGCTCCGTTTTTGTCTTGATGGAGATGAATCTGAAGATTTTGTTGTTGTTGACTTAATTGTGTACAGAGAAAAATGGCTGCGAAAGATTCCAACAGCTTATTGCAAACAGCATACTGTTTTTTGGGGGTTTTTTTTTTTACTCGACTGTGTGAAAATGTAACATTCATTTTTACAATGTGACAAAGAAAAGAAGCCAATATTAATATTTGAAAAGCTGAGAATGTGCAGAATGTTGGCTTACAAAATGACTAAAATGAGTGATGAGTCTTCAAACTAGTTGTTATTCTCATATGAAGAACAACTGTCTCCACTGTTGTTGCTGCACACACTCGTTATCCAAATGTGGTGTCAAGATTTGCATTGTACTTCTAGCCTGTGTGTGTCAGCGTGTGTGTGTCTATCTTTTGTCTGTCCTTCTCTCTGTCTGTCCACACCTTGACCCTTCTGATCCTTTTCCCTATTAAGACTCTGCTATTCTGAGTGCAGCTTCTCCCCCCCCACCATTTGCCTGTCAGTAGCAGTTTCACACAGTCACTTAGCTGGCCTCCCGTTCTGCACCCCGCCCCCACCCCCCATGGCTCAGTCCAGTCCACGCAGCCACCCACACAGAGTCCGACGGCATGAATAGAGCTGAAAAAACTGTCATGCATCATCAAATGTGCGAAGGCCCTTTTGAATATATGACTATGCCGCCTTGAATGTGGAGGCATGTGAATGGGGCGGGTGGGGGTGGGGGTGGTGGGCTGCAGAATGCTCTTACTGCACATGGATGAATAGGTCTCCGGCCGACCAGACGTGCGATGCGTCAGAGAGATGACTCTATCAGAGGACGCTGACACACCTGTGATTTCAAAGCTGATTGGACCTCTTCCGTCAGTCGGCCATTGTATTTAAAAAGGCAGTGTACTCAATTAGATTTGACCTCTGTTCTCACATTTCTTTTTGTGCCCGAAAGAGGTGAAAATGTTTGACATGGCCACAAAGAGTGTCTCATTGTTCCCCAGCATTGTCACCTCTCCTGTTTCCAGTCACAAATGCTAATCCCTTTCAGGTTTAGCGTATTTGGAGGGTCCAGTAACCTTTGAGTTCTTCTCCCATGAACCGAATACCGACAGAAATGCCTCCATCTAAACTTAAATAATGCAGCATTTAACTCTCTTCTGATTTATGTGGATGTTTGAGATGGATTTATAAATGAAAATGTTGTGAATAAAAGACTTTTTTTTTTGTCTTTGTCTTTGCCTCCCCAGGTCTAAGTGGACAGCCCGCAGACATCGAGAAGCGGAAAACAGTGTTTGGGCAGAATTTAATACCGCCCAAAAAACCCAAAACTTTTTTACAGTTAGTTTGGGAGGCGCTACAGGATGTCACACTGATTATCTTAGAAGTGGCAGCCATAGTTTCACTAGGCCTTTCTTTTTATAGACCTCCAGATGCCGAAAGAGAACGTAAGCAGCAACACTCATTGATCCTTGTTACTGTTAGCCTTTCTTTAATTGAACTGTTTTTGGTCGTTCATAGCATGTTTAATTTTAAACAAATGTTGTTTTGTTTCGTTTATCTGGATAATCTCATTTCACGGTCATATCTGATAACAGGCCCACTCTCTTAGAGTTTTACACTGTATCTGTTTGTTTAAACGTGTGCCTGAGTGACATAGTGATGTGATATGCTGTTTTATTTATGGGATAGTGACAAAGATCCTCTTTGTATTCATTTCCCTCTGCAGACTGTGGAAGGGCAGCTGGCGGTGTGGAGGATGAAAATGAGTCGGAAGCAGGCTGGATCGAGGGCGCCGCCATTCTTCTGTCAGTAATCTGTGTGGTGCTGGTGACGGCGTTCAACGACTGGAGTAAAGAGAAGCAGTTCAGGGGCCTCCAGAGCCGCATCGAGCAGGAGCAGAAATTTACCGTCGTCCGTGGAGGACAAGTCATCCAAATTCCTGTGGCTGAGATCGTGGTGGGCGACATTGCACAAATAAAATATGGTGAGAAATGATTTACAGCTTTGTTTTCGTTTGTCTTCTACTCGAGATGTTGCTGTTTGATGGTTTAAAGTTTGTCAACTAATAAACGTTTAAAAAAATCCAAGACTCAATAAAAGTAATTGTGTTATCAGCGTAAAATCCAGGATATATTTCTTCACTGGTAAACACTAAATAAACAAGTCTCCCAGAGGGAAAAAGAAGAAGTCGAGCTCTCGGCCTATTGTAACGTTGATATTTGTGAAGTACGCCCCGACAGCCCACAACCACTGCACACCTCTGCTGGTCACTTTTTGTCTTTCACTATCTTTTCAATTAAACCAGCTCTCTACAAGGTTTATTTTCTATACCTCTGTTTTCTTTAAATACATGATTATGACCTAAAGAAAGAGGGGAAAAAAATTGCCGCCGCAATCCTGGCCTGGGTTGTTATGCTTTGCAAAAGGAAGTGGCAGTTTGGGGTGAATTTTCAATTGGTATCAGGTCGCCTGCAGTGGGTGAGGGTGGAGGCTGCACTTGCGGTAATGTCAGTGCATATCTCACCACTTTATACTTCACATGTATATAGGACGCAGCCAACTTCTTAGACGAAAGAAAGGTTGTAAAAGTGCGTCGTATACACCAAACTTTACGATAGTACACTTCTGTTCCTTCAAATTAAAAGCGAGCCCTCCTTGTGTTTTTCAGGTGACCTTTTGCCCGCTGACGGAGTCCTCCTCCAAGGCAACGACCTGAAGATCGATGAGAGCTCACTCACAGGAGAGTCAGACCATGTCAAGAAAACACATGAAAAAGATCCTATGCTGTTATCAGGTAGCACAAGGCGTTTTTCTGTAAAGTTTTCTTCTTTCTGGTTCTTTTCTGACGATGAGTCAAGGTTGTGATTTAATAACTTCTCCTGTCATTTTGTCCAATTTTTGAACACGCTGTTAAGAAATGATTCATAATTCAGGAGTTCGTTTAAATATTACAACACATCGTTTTCAAAGTCTGTCTTCATGTCAGTCCAGTCTTTGTTAAATGAAATGACCAATAACCTTTGTGCACTTTGTTCTCGTCCAAATGCTATTACATTTTTTAAAGACTTTAAAATAGAGGTCAATGTGGAAGCTGACCTTCTTACTTTAAAAATGAGTTCTGGTAATTAAAACACTGCATGGTCTATGAGGTACCTACATTTTTAACTAGATGTTTGATCGGCTGTCTTGAGCCTCTCAGACTTCAGACCCAGGAAGTGACCTTTGACAGACTAAGCCATACTGCATCATCGAGGCCATTTGACAGGAGAAGCATGACATGAGCTAACAGACGGCTCCACTTTTGTTCCAACATTTCATCCCGCATTGATAACTTTAACACCTTTGAATTAACATAAATATGGTATAAAATGTATATTTTTAAACAACAGGTGAACCACTTTTGACTCGTCAAGATATTTGATCATTTATAAATAAGCTGTCGCTGCTGCACACTGAAAATAGTAGCAGAAGTCAATCTAATGTTCATTTGTGTAGCTTAAGTGACAAACTGGATTAGAATTAAAAATGAATTGGTGTCCCTATCTTGCAGCTCAGTGTAATCAATTATCATCAAACCATCCAACAGTCCCCAGATGCAATGCTGTTATAGCTCCAGTGTTGTGTATAGCAGATTGATCCGCGTGTGTGCGTGCGTGCGTGTGCGCACTTTCTGATTTCCCTCAGCACCAGCTGCATCCCTTCTGCCATCACTCTCCTGAATGGAGGGAAAACATCCTCTAATTAACACGGACATTAGAGAACTTTTAGAAGCTTTCCACTTACTCCATTTCTTTTAAAATTTCTGTTTTCTCTTCTGTTGTTTGTTTTTTTCTGTTCTTATTGACAAGATCTTTTTTCCCACGTCCTTAGAGGGATACAGACACTGAGATAATAAATGGTTGTAGCCTCTTAGATTTCCCTTAATTCACCCTCACCGACAATCATCTTTTGATTAAAAGCGTCTTGTTAAAGGTTAGGAGGGCCAACGAGAGTATGAGTTTCTTTTACTCTTCTCTTGTATATTGCATGCATTTAAAAATGAAATTTTTGTGTGGCTGAAAAAGGTGCTTTCTAAACCAGGTTGCACATTTTTATTTGTAATCAAAGGTCAGTATTAAATCTAAACCTCAATTTAAAAAAAAAAAAAAAAAAATCCAAGCAGAAATGAAGGTTGTTAAAGCTTCTGCCAAACCAAGTCAAACATGAATTAAAAAACATTTAGCTGGAAACTGTAAACGTGCGTTTCCTCCTTCTTTTAATGACTCACATTTAATTTTTCCTCCCCTGACCAAAGGCACCCATGTAATGGAAGGCTCAGGGAAAATGGTGGTCACTGCTGTGGGTGTCAACTCTCAAACTGGAATTATCTTCACTTTACTTGGGAGCGCTGAGGAGGACGAAGAGGATGAGGAGGAGAAGAAAAAGGAGAAGGAGGAGAAGAAGAAACAAAGAAAAAGTTAGTATCCTCACTGCTTATGTGTTGTTATTGATGGATCCACAGAGCAGACGGACATGTTTGCAAAGCAGCTTTTCATCACAGACAGATCCCATTATATTCCTGGAGATTTTTTTCTTTAATAATGATTACTGAAGGAGTTGAGACAGGGCAGAGAAGTGTTGTTGACCTGGTAGCAGAGTAAAATGCACGCTGGGAGAAAAGTGTCACTACCCATGCAAGTTAGGGTTACCTCTGACGGAGCTCAGCTGCAGATTCAAGGTTCCATGGATGAGCTTTCTGCAGGATCTGCAGCGAGTTATGAACATAAAAAATACATTTTTTTTTCTGTTCTCCGTTGGAAGTGTCTTTTTTTTTTAATCTCTTAATCTTCAAAATGTCCAAAATTATGTGAAAGATTAAGAGAAAAAATATCTTTGTTATTATCCCCTAACTGTCCTTCCCATGTTGATGTCTTCATGTGTCTTTTTATCGTCTTACAAACAGTACAAAACAAAATAATCACTTTTCACCGTTGGTAAAAGAAACCTTCAACTTCACATTTGAAGAGCTTGAAAATGTTTAAAAATGTGCTTAAAGTAGATATGTTAAAAAAAGAATTTAGCTTAAATGTGACGTAATGATTGTAGAAGTGTTTATGACCGAGGAGACTGAGCTAGATTTGAAATGTGTAACACTGAAAAAGATTGTACCATCTCCTCTATTAAGACAACATTTTTATGTCATGCAAAACCGACAGTGGTTGATTGAATATCTTGATTTTTCTCTCTAACTTTCTTTATTCTAAGAAAATATCCGTAATGATGAACATACTATGTATTGATATGATTTAAAAGTAGTGGTTAATATAACAGGTATTGTGTATTGCCCATCACTGACTCCATGTAATATATTTTCTACAGACAAGAAGCAGGATGGGTCTGTTGAAAATCGTAAGAAAGGTTAGTTTCTTGCCCACTCACACACCCGCTGAAACACACTTATAACCATAAATAATTGTCTTACGGCTTAGCGCCTACATCTGTGTATTAGCCCTCGGCTATATCCCTGTCTCGCTCCCGGTGTAACGGCACTTCATCTAGGTTGAAGCCTCAATGTGTGATTAATTAGCTGCAGTGATTTAATGTAGGAAGGTGAGGAGCTGAATATTTCTGCATGACCCCTAGTCAGTGCATTTGTAGTACCTGCCGTTCTTACCTCATCCATTGTGCTGTCTGTCCCTCCCTTCTGTCTCTCTTTCTCCCTCTCTCTTCTCTCGTCCTTCCCCTGCACATTGCGCTTTGAGCAGCAGGTGCTACTGAATCCAGTTATAGCGATTAGTGGTGAGGAGATTAAAGCCATGCAACAATTCTAGGGCCAGAACATCTGCTTTCCCACCCATCTTTCTCTCTGCGACTCTCCCTCAGGCCCCCACGATTTGATTTCTATTGATGTCCCTATCTGAACTATTCCCAGTCAAACTGTCGGACTCACTCTGGTGCAATTTCAAACTGACAACAATGATAATGAGACTCTTTTTGGCAACTCGGTCAGCTTGCCGAGCTCGTAGCCCTGCCGGGGCACTATGATCAGTAGTGCTTGGGTCTGTGACCACAACCCTGGCGCTAGTCCCTGGTGCACAGATTCCCTCTGCCTGCCAGGAATCAACAGTAATCCTTTAGACTGAGATTACACAGGCCATGTAAGTGCAGAACAAGCCACAGTCCGCAGCAGCTGCAGTAGCCCAGTGCTCGTGCCCCTCCCCTTCCTGCTACATACATTCACACACAATGCCATGCTGCAGGTCATGCCATAGTAAATAGAGCTTTTAGCATTGCCAAATTGGACATGGAGCTGCAGGAGCTTATAAAAAAAAGACACACAATATAAACAGCACTAAGTGAAAGATTGCAGAAGATGTGTCAGTTGTCCTGCGGCAGCAAAAGCAGCAGCGGCAGTAGCTTCAGTGCCCGACAGAACTAATGATTTTATCAAAGTGAGTGACACGACAGAGAGCAGCCCCTGCTGGCCTGCCGGCTGCCTCTCCTCCCTCCTCTGCCATTAGAGGCTCTGCGTCTCCAAGGTTACCTGGCTAGATGGAGGTTTGGGATTCCCGTCAGTCCTGCTTGCACGGCAGGGGTGTCCTGAGGGATGTTGAGGAAGAGATGAAAGAGATTTATGGGAATTTAAATGGCAACAACTGCTGCGGTTTGCTGAGGAAGTAGGAGGTGATTCCTCGGATGCTGCTAGCTAGATAACCTGTTCTTTAAATCTCTAGGTGGGAGTATGCTAATTACATTTCCAAATCTTCCTGCTAATTACTGAGCCGTCGGATCACTGCAAACATAATTGCATTGACATTTCCCACGTTCCACGTCTAAAAGGGGAGGCAAAAAACAAGTTTGCTTACACTCTTGAGTGATGTGACATCTCTGCTCCTCTTAAAGTCTCTTTTTTTATTAAATCTGTCATCCTGAAATGAAGTTTGATGTGATCAGAAGCAAGTTGCTGTGATTGGTAACCTGCTAAATCAGAAAAAAGACAAAAAACTGTGAAGTACAACTTTGTGTAAACCTGTTGTTGTCCCAAAAACAAAAGAATATATAGAAAATAAAGAAGGTAAAAGAGCCCACATTCAGTTTATTTCAACACTGCATTTCTTTATTTCAAGTCTTGCAAATTGAATCAAATTTACAAATCTAAATCAGTGCCTCCATGCAGCTCTCGAGTGTTCTTTTTCTTGAGCTGATTTTGTTACATCTGGAAGACCGCTGCTCGTTCCATGAATACTGGAATCGGTTTGACGGTGAAGTCATCGCACACAATGTTACTATTGTGTCAAAATCAAATGAGGTCATTTCATCTCAAGCGACATGTTATTTCTTGTTCTGCGCTGCAGCTAAAGCACAGGATGGCGCTGCGATGGAAATGCAGCCTCTGAACAGCGACGAGGGAGCTGATGCGGAGGAGAAGAAGAAATCCAACCTGCCAAAGAAAGAGAAGTCTGTTCTCCAGGGCAAACTGACCAAACTAGCCGTTCAAATTGGCAAAGCAGGTGGGTCAAACAATAAGTTCTGATTGTGTAAGACAATAGATTTAAAAAATAAATATTTATGTTTTTTAATCTTTTTATCCCAACATTTTGACAAATTGTTTTGTCTATTTTCCTTCAGGATTGGTTATGTCAGCAATCACCGTCATCATCCTGGTGGTGCTGTTTGTAGTCGACACCTTCTGGATCCAGAACCTGCCCTGGGTCAAGGACTGCACCCCCGTTTACATCCAGTTCTTTGTGAAATTCTTTATCATTGGGGTCACCGTTCTGGTGGTGGCTGTCCCTGAGGGCCTGCCTCTCGCTGTAACGATCTCCCTGGCGTATTCTGTTAAGGTAAATTCTCCTAGCTAAGTGACCCTTTGCCCAGTGCTGACCAGCTTACTCTTTAGCCTATTAAAACTAGAAGGCAAGGCGTTTAAGTCAAGGAGTCTTGGCTAACTGATACCTTAAAGCTAAGCTATAATCCACTTTGCAGAAGTTGTCAAACATTACTGGTTTTTATCCAACCAAGGAGCTTCTATTTGAGTCATGTAGCCTCTAAACACCTGTTAGAGTGAAAGTGCAGCTTCAGATGTATGTTTGTTCGCTGCTACATGTAGTTGTTTTCATATATCGTTTTTATCTTCTTGCAGAAAATGATGAAAGATAACAACTTAGTGCGACACTTGGACGCTTGTGAGACTATGGGCAACGCTACGGCCATCTGCTCTGACAAAACGGGCACGCTCACCATGAATCGCATGACTGTGGTGCAGGCCTACCTCGCTGAGAAGCACTACAGGAAAGTCCCCGAACCGGAGAACATCCCCTCCTCCATTTTAGACATCCTGATTCTGGGCATCGCCGTCAACTGCGCCTACACTACAAAGATCATGGTGAGTCTGAGGGATGGAATCCGGCTTTTATCAAACCACGTATCACCCTGAATTTGCCCTTACTCGACTTCTTGTCTTTTACTCCAGCCTCCAGAGAAAGAAGGCGGCCTTCCTCGACAGGTGGGCAACAAGACCGAATGTGCCTTGCTTGGCTTTTCTAAAGATCTAAAGCGGGACTACCAGGCTATTCGGAATGAAATTCCTGAAGAGAAACTATACAAAGTCTACACCTTCAACTCAGTGAGGAAGTCAATGAGCTCTGTGTTGAAAATGGCTGACGGCAGCTACCGTATGTTCAGCAAAGGGGCGTCAGAAATTCTCCTAAAAAAGTAAGAACATCGTTTATTTCAGTTCAAAATGTTATACTTAAAGACGTCAGCTCTGTTGATTTGAAGGTTTTTCATTTCTGTTCGCGTCAATAATTTTTTCTCAAAGAAAAGTTATTGAGTAGATCTGTTTTAGTCGACCTAGCTGGCCAGTGAATGATATGTGTAATGGCTTAAGCAGCTAAGAAGTTCAAGTGCATCCCACCCAAGCCCCTTACTTTGCGACTTAAAACGGGCGCTGAGAAAATGAGCCGGTAACAACTCTGTAAGCCTCTTAAACGAGCGGGCTTCTTTTTAACCCACAGGGGGCTTAATGCAACTTCTTCTACTGCAGCTCACCATTCAGACGCTTTGTCTTCTCCACTTCCTCAAACCTTTAAATCCAAATTATTTTCTACATTTATGATTGGGTACTTTTTTTCATTTTTACTCTGGATATTTTGGCCTCTTACAGTCCTCCTTCTTTTCCTTTAACCCTCTTCTTCACAATGTTTCGACATTTATTTTTGTATCCCCTTTTAACCTCCAGGTGCTATAAAATCCAGACGGCAAACGGTGAGTCGAAGGTGTTTCGCCCGCGTGACAGAGACGACATGGTGAAGAAAGTGATCGAGCCCATGGCCTCAGAGGGCCTGAGGACCATCTGCCTTGCATACAGAGACTTCCCTGCCTCTGAGGGAGAGCCTGACTGGGACAATGAGAATGACATCCTCTCTGGACTGACCTGCCTCTGTGTGGTGGGCATCGAAGACCCTGTGCGACCTGAGGTATGTGGCTACACAAGCAAGGACGCACATTCACACTAGTTTAAAAAAAGAGAACTTTATTAACAAACAAGCTTGTTAACAAACCGTATGACAGAGATGTGGATGATGTCTACTGAATAGTGTCTCTATTAACTCCCATGATTGCACAAACTCTTTTGTGTTGTTGGATACACACACTGCATTATCAAGTAGCTCCATGCTACTCAGTTTGAGCTTTTACCACTATCTTGATCAGCTATATTTGTTCTGCTGTGTGTGCTGCTAACACTAAAGTACACACACTAAAGTATAACAACTACTGTGGTATATGGACACGAATGGGAAATACATAGAGAGAGTTTTTTATTTTTCTGTTCTTTTCTTTTCCAGGATAGGAAAAAATGTAATATACATAACAAACATCTGTATTTTTACTCTTTCTGTAACTGACCTAACATAATGCGAGTCTTTGTAAATTGTATTTTCCCTGAGCATGAAACCTCTTTTGAATAGAAAGAAAACAAGTATCAATTTGTGGTGTAAGTACCTAATCCAAGGAGCCAAACTTGAAGTCAATTATACAAATGTGTTATGTAGAGGAGGATGAAGCAGTAACATTTTAATATTGGAAAAAATGATGCATATTTTCCCCCCGTGAGGAAATTCATAGCCTTGGTGACAGATAAAGTGGTGTCAATAATGACAAAAAGACTATTACAGAGGAAATGTAAACCCTTTTTTCCTGGTTGTGTGGGTCAGTCACGCCATGTAGGGGTTGGAATGTCGGATTTCGGGTTTCAGAAAAGACACCTTCAGGCAGTTACCCCCTTTCTTCCCCATTCCAACACATGGAAGCCTGTTTGACAAGCACTCCTTAAGGAACGTACTGGCGGCTTGATTGATTCCACTGCACTGTTGAGCACTTTAGGCCTTTCTGAGTAGAGCAGGAAAAAGGTTTGACCGGAGATGCAGCATCAGCCATTTTTAACCCTAAGGAGTAGCTCTGCTTTGGTGCAGATATTAAATACGGAAACCTTCACAAGATTTATCATCAAAGTGCTTTTTAAAGGAGTGGCTCCACAGTGAGACACAGCTATGAATTAATTTCTACCATGCCAGGCAGTTAGCATGTACTCAACGTATTTGCTGGAATCATCTGCCTGTTGTTTAATAAGAACAGTGAAACTCCACCATACTGTCGATTTGATCCTTAACCTGACATTATGCTCCTGAACGCCCCCACAGAGGAGGGGCGTGTTGAAATAGAAAACGACAGGTTAGCTACAGCTGAGTTTGATACCCAAATAAATCTGCATTTCCTCCCTCATTTTTTTTCCCCCCGCCATTTTCCAGGTGCCCGATGCCATCAAGAAGTGCCAGCGTGCCGGCATCACGGTGCGGATGGTGACCGGTGACAACATCAACACGGCTCGAGCCATCGCCACCAAGTGCGGCATCCTGCTGCCCGGAGATGACTTCATCTGTATCGAAGGGAAAGAATTCAACCGCAGGATACGCAATGAGAAAGGAGAGGTGGGCCACAGCTATATAAAAATAAAAAATAAAAAAAATACTGTACCCCTGAGAGAGCTGTCAAATGTTATTTTGGGATTCTATCAGGGTTTGTCTCATGTTTCTAGATCGAACAAGAGCGCATCGACAAGATCTGGCCCAAACTACGAGTGCTGGCTCGCTCTTCCCCCACAGATAAACACACACTAGTGAAAGGTGAATCTGTTTTTCTGCTTTTAGTCGACCCTTTTGTTTTATGATGCAACATTTCCCTATAAACACTGTCTTGTTTCTTTTTAGGTATCATTGACAGCACAGTCCTAGAACAGAGACAAGTAGTAGCAGTAACAGGAGACGGCACCAATGACGGTCCTGCCTTGAAGAAAGCCGATGTTGGCTTTGCCATGGTGAGACTTTCCCTTCTTTGATCATCCTTAATTAAAAGATATCAAATAAATCAAAACAGTTTATGCTTCATTTGATAAAATAACAGGGATACTCGTTCCATTGAAATAAATAAATATGAAATATATTTGTGATGCAGACAGATTCCCGATCCTAATCTCTTTTTTTTTTCTTCAGGGTATCGCTGGCACAGATGTAGCCAAGGAGGCCTCTGACATCATCCTGACTGACGACAACTTTTCCAGCATCGTCAAAGCCGTCATGTGGGGACGAAACGTCTACGACAGCATCTCCAAGTTCCTCCAATTTCAGCTGACTGTCAACGTGGTGGCCGTCATCGTAGCGTTTACAGGAGCCTGCATCACACAGGTGAGCACCGGGCTAACCGACTCTGTTTCACTGTGACAGAGAATGCATCGGTCTCCGGTGTGACGACGGTTTGAGCTGTAAGAAGTTTAGCTCTCTAGTTCACACTTTGACTCGGCAGCCATGGAATTGGTACAGCTGGCAGCAGCACACTGAGATTACATAAGCTTTATCTCACAGGCGGGAAGTTTTCAGTTCGAGGTTCTCTAAGTGGAGATCCAGCTGTCAGGTGAGAGGAAACGCGGGCTCAGGATTTATATAAAATACAGCAGCTGGATCATTTTCAGTATTTTGCCCAAAGAGACTTGATCATTTGATTAAAGATAATAACCCCCTGTGATATTTCCCTAATACTTTTTTATATTCCAGTCTTTTTAAGCCGACATGAGCCGTGTTCTGCAGCTTGATGCATCGATTTGTGTCTCTGCTTTAGTTCTCGAATAATGTCGATCTGTCTCTGATATTCAATATTTATTTCATTTTATCTAAAAAGGGACCGTGTACAATATCGAACATACATGTTATCGGACCTTATTTTCTTTTAGTTATTAAACTGTCTGTTGAATTTTAGGCACAGCTTGCACAAGTGTTGTGCTCACGTCACACTCCTCAATCCTCGTACTTCTGCAGCTTATAAACGTGCGATCAGCGACGCTGCAGTGAACAAAATAAATTGTTTTCCGCAGGCAATTTGGTTCATGTCAGTCTAAATGATTGCTAATAAATGGCCTGAATTTCCATCATGTTTGGGACTTTTATTGGTGACAGTGATGAGAATCCTGTAGGACGGTTATTTTTTCCTCCTCCTTAACCTAATTTGTTGCCTCTCTCTCTCTCTCTCTCTCTCTCTCTCTCTCTCTCTCTCTCTCTCTCTCTCTCTCTGCTCTTTCTGCCTCCAGGACTCCCCGCTCAAAGCAGTACAGATGTTATGGGTCAACCTCATCATGGACACCTTCGCTTCACTTGCCCTGGCCACAGAGCCCCCCACAGAAGCCCTGCTGCTGAGGAAGCCATATGGCCGCAACAAGCCGCTCATCTCCCGCACCATGATGAAGAACATCCTGGGTCAGGGAGTGTACCAGCTGGTCATCATCTTTACTCTGCTCTTTGCTGGTAAGAACATTTACTTGGTGACGTCCTTCATTAATCAGCACCAAGAAATCCATGCGTTGATTTAGATGAAATCTTTGTTTGTCCAGGGGAGAAAATTTTTGACATCGACAGTGGCAGGAATACACCCCTCCATGCCCCGCCGTCTGAACACTACACCGTCGTCTTCAACACCTTTGTGTTGATGCAGCTTTTCAACGAGATCAACGCCCGCAAGATCCACGGGGAAAGGAATGTCTTTGAAGGCATCTTCAACAACCTCATCTTCTGCAGTATCGTCTTTGGTACCTTCATTATCCAGGTAGAATAAACCTGAAAAAAAATAAGACCAACCTACCAATTCTAAATCCAAGAGTTGTGTCGTTGATAAATTCTTCCTGTCCTCCTGCTTCCTCTAGATCGTCATTGTGCAGTTTGGAGGGAAGCCGTTCAGCTGTGTGGCTCTGACCGTCGACCAGTGGCTGTGGTGCACTTTCTTAGGCTTTGGCTCTTTACTATGGGGACAGGTGAGATGCGACAGTAAAGCTGAGCTTATAAACATGGTGCAACACTGCCCCCTTGTGCTGAAGTCACTTCAGTGGGTGTCAAATTGAGAAAAAAAGAGTACATCATGTTCTCCTGCAATCAGAGTACATATTGAATCTGTTTTTTTATAAAACAAAGGAAGTGTAGTTATATAAATGAAGCCTCCTGAATGAGGTAGTCAGAGTATTGACAAATTCATAGTTATTATTTTTACTCCACTTTGTTGTGTGTGTTGATTTGATTTTTACACACACATTTTTTGGCATTTTTGGAATTAGTTATGTGCCGCAAATTATTGATTTTTTTTCCCATAAATAAATAACTTTAACTAAAGATTTTCGGTGAAGACAGTGAGAGCGAGGGTTTAGATCTCTCCCTGCTCTCTGCTGACGGTGCCAACGAGTCATAACGAATGTTTGACGTCATTCTAGCTCCATCTTTCTGCCTCCTACAGAGCAGCGCACTCACTATGTCATTAAACACTCACGTCAATTCAAAACTAATTACATTGCAATCATTTTCTGACTAGACACACATAATACGAGTTGCACTGAGTGCCTGTAAGTTGAAGTAGATGACAGATGAAAATAGTTTTTGTTGTAGCATGAAGATGATTATTAATTACAGACTAAAGATTATCCATTACCACGGGGGGAAGGTCTCTGAGTGCTGCGTTTTTTTATTTTAATGGGTTATTAATTACTATTAGCAGCAATCGCACCGCTTAATTTTAAAATATGACTAACATGTGTAACATTAATTATTCATCAATCATGTGATAATAGAGTAACTATCTAAGAGCCTCTGCTAAATTCTTATTGGCTGCAGTGTCGACTTCAGGCTGCGTCTTTGAATGTATTTACTTAATTAATTTACAATTACTTGTGACAAAAAAAATGCAAATTACTTGAAGTTTTGCGAAGCTGAAATAAAGGGACTTCATGTATTTGCTTTCTATCTTTAGTTACAAATGAATGTTTATTATTCAAATATGTGGGGATTCATTTCCTATTGATTTTCTGTGTGATAAATCGACTTACTGTCTCTTATATGATGCACGGCTGTTTTGTAAAATGTGTTGAGATCAGGAGGAAACTTTAGAGTGATATTAACTTACATAACTGATATGATATAATAATGGGACTGAGTTCTTTGTCTGTGCAAAGTGTTTCCTGTACGTGTGTGTTGCTTCACTCTTTGTGAGACAGAACACATGGCGTCAGTGTCTCAGCTGTCACAGCCACTTATTTCCGGGTGGTGCAGCCGGAGACGTTTGTTCTGCCATAATGATAATGTCACTCCACCGCGCTGAGCGCTGAAACATTGTCACGAGTCGGTGCTGCTCATGTTAATCCCGATGTTTTTCCAGGTAATCTCCTCGATACCCACCAGCCGCTTAAAATTCTTGAAAACGGCGGGTCACGGCACGCAGAAGGAGGAGATCCCAGACGAGGAGTTGGACGAGCTGGATGACATGGAAGAGATCGACCACGCCGAACGAGAGCTTCGCCGGGGACAGATCCTCTGGTTCAGGGGCCTCAATCGCATCCAGACTCAGGTAACGACTCACAGACCACCCCGTGCATCACGGAACACCGCACCTGACACCAAGGGAATCAAAAGCCATAAACCCTTTAACTCTCTATTGCTCCTCCAGCTTCAAATCTCTTTGGTTCTTTCTTGGCACTCTTTTAAGAATGGCTTGTGCCCTAAAAACAAACGTCCTCGTTTTTTGTTTTTTCCCCCCTGTTCTGCTTTTGAACTAAAGCGGGTTTTTATGCCTATTTTTCTCTGACTCGGTTTGGATCTATGTAGACAAAGTTTGAAGGTACTGATGAGAAGCGATTGGATTGGATGGGAAGCTTGTTAAATAGACAAGTGAATATTCAAAGGAGGATTGGCCTGGCTGTAGCTGGGAAGGATTCTGCAGAGAAAAAGAGTAAAAGTGAGGTCAGATTTTGGAGACCCTTCGATCAGTGCCTTTAAACCCAACCACCACCCCTCCCCTTTCCCTCTCTCTTTTAACTATAATGCCTAAATCCAATTTCCAAGTGACATTTTTCCTATGGTTACTGGTGCCTTTTCTTTATTTTTTCTCTCTTTTCTCTCTCCTCTGGCTGTGTTGTGTTTTTATTTTCCTCTGGGCTTTTTTGTTCTCCTGTCACGCTGTCTGATTCTTTGCAGATGGATGTAGTGAGTGCGTTCCAGAGTGGAACTTCCTTTCAGGGGGCTCTAAGGCGGCAGGCCTCCAACTCCAGCCAACAACAGCACGATGTAACCAATGTTTCTAGCCCTACACATGTAGCCTTTTCTACTACTACCACTTCTGCCACTGCCGCCAACTCCGCTTCTGCCACTGTGGGGTGTGAGTGCGTGTTCTCCTCTAGTGCATGAGACTTTCATTTTATTTGACTTCTTCTGTTCCTCTAACATCTTCCTCCTCCACTCTTCTTCTCACCTAACGTTGACACTTTTGACTCTCTCATGCTCCTCTTAATGCCCCCCTCCCCATGTTCTTGAAAAAAAAAAAAAAAAAAACACAAGACACCAAAAGTACCACATCTTCCATAATGCTTCGATAACACAGCTGTATATATATATATATATATATCTGTATGTACTCTGTAACAAGGTGTTTATCTCTGTGTCATCATGTTTTCTGTTGTGCTTCTGCTTCGGTCTCAAAAACTGAAAAACAAAACAAAAAAACTGTTTTACTGTCATCTCATTTGACCTAAAATGATTCTGGATTCAGGTTTGTCTGCAGCTGCCTCAGTCTGCTCTGTGCCTCCTGTAGCACCCATGGGTCTGTGTCGCAGCTTTCTTAGTCCCTAAGCGGGTAAATGTTTTGAGTATAAGCCCATGATCACGGCCTAAAAACAGTAAAGACAAACCATGCCATGGAAATAGATGTGCGAGTTAGCAGATTCCTCGCAAGCCTGGTGATGTAATGACTCTTTCCTCTGCAGCTGTGGTGCATTCTGGGAGAATGAAAAAGTATGGCAATGGAGAGGCATGTTGGTGCGTTTGTATGCAAACAGTGTTTTGAAAGGTCTAAGACACACGACATCAACTAGATGAAGAGAACTCCATCCAGACGATCCAGATCACTGAGCAGAACTTTGTGACTCTTGACAATCATTGTTTCTCTTTCAGATCTTCCCAGGAAGACCAGCTGTGAGTTTTAAATGTGCAAAAGATGTCAAAAAGAAAACAGCTGAAGTGAACTTGCTTTTGAATGTAAACATGTAGGAGTGTCTCAGACGTATTAACCGCGGGTTGAATGTTTGAAGATGTTATAATAATGTTGTGTTTGTCTCAGAGGAAACTGGAGACGAGACTTTTCTAAACTTCTTCTTAAACTTCTCTTTCAGATGCCATTAAAAAGCCTTTTTTTTCTTCTCTCCACCATGTGAATATTTGTTTGTTGGCAGAATGTTTCCACTACCCCTCCCCCCCCCCAAAAAAAGGACTGAATTACCACTGACCCCCCACGTATTCTTCTTTAGATTCTGTGAAATGTGTCATGGGCTATACTCAAAGGTTTACTACCATTGAACACAAGGTAGCGCCGCGCTCTGCATGGGTTCAAAGTCTCTGGTCTCGTTTGTGAGTTTTCTCTCGTGCTGTTCTCTGACATGTTAAACCAGCTTGTAGACATGCTTGGCTGCTGCAGCTTTTTGTTGTTTTTACTCCACGAACATGAGCTGTAACTGACCACCCTTCTCTGTCTTTCTTGCCGTCTCTTCTTCTCTCTCCTTCTCCTCTTTCCATCCTCCTTCCTCTGTCTTGACTGTCTTCCTCCTCTCATCTTCTCCTTCTCTCTGTCCTGTCTTTCTCTCTTTAATCTGTACTAAGCATGTCAAGCAACAGTGAAACTCTCGTGTCCAGCCTCTGTCCTTCTCTGCTCTCTGGATGCGTTCTGGTCTAAAGAACGGCATCCCTCTCAGCTCTTGATTTTTGCATTTTGATTAATCCGACACAGAGAGATCTACCAAGTGTTTTCTTTTTTTTTTTCTTTTTTTTAAATCCTACTACTGAACTCACAACAAAATCAAACACAACACAAACATTGCATCAGGTTTGAAACTGGTTTGTTCACTTCCCCGAGGCACATTTTGAATTAACTACTTGAATTTGAATTAACACTTTTATTTTGACCTCCACTAGCTATAATTTATTCTTGTTACCATACCAGAGTAGCTTTAATTCAGACACACGTCTACCTTTTTCATTTAAATTGCATTGGTATTCTATTTAAAAGTAGTGGATGGAGTCTCTTGGTTTCAAACAGGAGCCTAATGCCGAAGCATTTCAACCTGCATTCTTTCAAACGGCCAGCAGGTGTTGACTCCACTAATTTCATGGTTTCATGACCCTACCGTTCAGTTGATCTATTACCTTTAGTAAAAATGGTTTCATATCTTTATGATCTCAAATTATTGTCCTATTTATGGTCTAATAGTATTAAAGTCTGGCTCCCTGCAGGGGTGTGCACAGAGTGACCATAGATCCCCCTTTAAAATCAGATCGACCACCCAGGGTGCCACCCCAAAATGATAATAATAATACATTGGACTTGCGTATATATAGCACTTTTCTGAAGACACAAAGACACTTAACAAACAAAGCAAAACAAAGAAATAGTCTGAGAGAAGGAGGATAAACTATGATCGGCTGTTTGCCTTGCTGGACGATCAGTTAAACTCAACTCTTTGATCTGTGTAGCAAACAGGCTGCTAGTTTCTTTGCTTGCAGTTCAACGTACAACATTTCTGTTGGTACTTTTCTTCTTTTTGAGACGATCTGTGATTGACAAGTCGCTGCCAGGTAGACTAGGAAAGAGACACGGCAATATTAATTCAGCTTCACATCTAAGTAAGGTAACGTCTGGCTTCAAAACAACAAGATGATGAGGCGCAGAACTTACAGCTTTAAAACAGTAGTCCAAAAACCAATGGGTGTGATGCTCTGAAATCAGGACACAGGACGAGTTAGAGACAGAAATAAAACTGAAATGAACATAACTGCACACCTGCACGTCTCTGAAAGTCCCCCCCCCCCTCCTCACTGATACACCTTTGCCCTTAAAACTTATAAAACTAGCGCCCTCGTTTTTGATCCGTTGTACTGTCTAGGTGTTAGAATGCAACATACACTTTTATCCTTACTGAACGAGACTTAATGTCCCACCTCTACCTGCTCCCTCCCTCCAGATCCGGGTGGTGAATGCATTCCGCAGCTCCATCTCCCTCTATGAGGGGCTGGAGAAGCCCGAGTCGCGATCATCCATCCACAACTTCATGACCCACCCTGAGTTCCGGATAGAGGACTCTGAGCCCCATATTCCCCTCATAGACGACACCGACGCCGAGGACGACGCCCCGACCAAGCGCAACTCAGCAAGCCCCCGCAACACCACACCCACGCCGCCCTCACCCACACTCACTCCTACCGCCATCTCTACCCCAATCGTGCCGGTGTCACCCTCCCCAAACCAGAACAATAACGCTGTGGAGAGCAGCAACCACCTCCTCCCAGAGGGCCCCAAATCAGGAACCCCCTCAGCCCCGGGGAGCCCCCTACACAGCCTGGAGACCTCCCTTTGATCTGACCCCTGACCTCCACACGACGACGTCACCACCACCTTTCTGCCCGTCACCAAGGAGCTTCGACTCGGACGCAGCGAACGAAAGGAGTGAACACTCAGAGGAGAGAGGGAGGGGCCGGGAGGAGAGCAGGGTCCTGCGTGAGCTCAGCTCGGGCCGGACTATGAGAACAGCAAACATTCAGAGGAATGTGCGGCTTGGTGTGGATGCTTTGGTCTTCTTTTATTTTTGGTTCTTATGAAAACCCCCGCTGCAACACGAGGACTCTGTCTCCACCCCTCCCTCCTTTTTGTTTTTCTCGGTAAACAAGGGGTGATTATAAACTCAGATTGAAAGTGACCTGTTTTTATTATTCTATTGTTATTATTATTATTATTATTTGAATTGAGAAGGGGAGGAGCTCCTCCTGGCTTGAAGATCGTCTGTAAGAATTCAGAAAGAACCTTTTAGCTTCTCTTTTATCTGAATGGTGTTGTATATTTATCTCTTTGGCCCTTTGCTCATTCAAAACTTATTTCTGCTCCATTGGCTGTTAATATTTTGAGTTATTTATGTTTTTTGGAAAAAGCAGGTCTGTTTACAAAGTTTGTAGATACTTTTTTTCTGTTTGTAGGCAAATGAGCTTCCTGATGTATGATGCAGAAAACTGGGACAGAATAAAAAATGAATGAGAGGATTATTTCAGATACTGCTGTATTTTCAGGAAAAAGGGTGTTTCTATTGAAACTTAACTATTTTTGCCTGCAAGTTTTATTTGTTATATATTTGTAGATAAATGTAGAACCTTCTAGGCAAACCGATAAACACTAAGGCTTGTATAGAAAAGAGGTCCAGGGTCCGGGGCGCGGCATTTTCACAGGAACACAGGGACGGGAAAGACGATTGGGGGCCTCTGTCCACTAACATTGCTATAAATATATTTACTTCTTCCATTTCTTCGATAGTTTTCATGTGCACAAAAACCTTCTGGAGTTCTGGATTCTCTTTTCATTCATTACGTTGTGTTCAAGGATTTCCACATGTTGAAAGGTTCACTCATTAAAAGGGAGTTGAAAACACATCTGGCACCATATTTAGCAAGCATGTCAGGATGTTGAATCGTGCTGGACCAGGAAACAAAGTCTTACCTCAGAGGCGGGCGTGATGTGTGAATGATGTCGCTTTTAGCACAACGTAGAAGCCTCTTCTTTAGATGTCCGAGGTTTCTACCGTGTTTGGCCTGCTTCTTGTAGTATTTAATATTAGTTCCATTAGAACAGGCTAAGATTAGCTGAAAAAATGACACCGCTACAAGCTCTTTTTTTTTTTTTTTTGCACGTTACAGCTAAAATGTTTTTGCCAAAGTCATAAAATCACAAAAACATTTGAGTTGATCACTTCTTTTAATGGCTCAATCTCGCCTTGTGTTGTGAGCCGATCTATTATTACACAATAAGTTTATTTGGACTAAACGTGACTGTGCCTTGGCTACAATAACAATTTAGCTAACGCCACTGGCAGGTAAATGTTGCTCCTCCGGCTGAAAGCCTCATTCTGATCATCCTGAAGGAGGTTCTCTTTGAATGCTTGTTAAATATGGACCCTGGTTATCAGTTGGTGTTTTTTTTAAATTAGCTGCATTTTCATGCAACTTTAGTTCCTTCAACAAAACGTTAGCCCCCTGCCAATGTACAATATTGACATTTGTTTACTCAGGCTTAATAAAAGTATTTAATTTCAAAGGAATCTATAGAGAGAAACCCTTTTAATTACAGACTTTGTGTATTTAGATAGTAAGCCATTGTCTTGGTTAAAAAAACAAACAAACAAGTGAATTATTTTCATATTTCATTCAATCTTTAAGATCACGCCTTAGAAGAAAAAAAAAAACGTAATTTTACTCCTCTGATTTCAGTTTTTTTTTACATTTCAGAATCATGAACAGAGGGGGGGAAAAAAGTCATGTTCTGTTCTTCATCCCTGTCCGTCAGACTCCTTTCACCATGAATAAATGTTGCTGCATTTGATTTGTTTGTAAGATATTTTTGACACCTGATGTACTGGAAACGCTAAAGAATTGGACATGTGCATTTTTCAAGAATAAAGACTAGGCATACACTGGTATCAATCTGCACAGGGTACTTTATTTCATAGCGTTCCTCGGGGGAAGAAGAATTTTGATACAAACCATGATAGAGAAAATGTACCTTTGTATTTTTATGACGATACTGATGATACCTTTCATCGTACTAAACCGATTTTGGATGATTTGACACCAATCACGTTCTATGGGGGAGGGTTTTGGCCACTAAATTGTGTGTTGTTCTGGAATCTTCATCTCAGGGTGCAAATGGTGTGAGAGAGAACAAGACCTCTTTTGAGTTTGTATATTTCCACTCTTAATTCAGCGTTTGGGACGGTGCTTGTCTATCACACACGATGACTGGGGCAGCAGGCTGCAGATTCTTCCTGCAGTCTTCTGGCCGTGCACGGTGGGGAGAGGGGAGGGGGGGGGGAGGGAAAAGGAAAGTGTAGATGTTAAATCATGACGTTCTCTGAGGGAAAATAAAGTTCTGTTTAACTTGTTTTACAGATGACAAAATAGCAGCTAGGATCGCATAACAAAGTGAGCAATTGAAAAGACGAGGAAACCGCATGAGGAGTTTGTTCTGTAGCTTCTTCCTGTAATGGGAATGAATGTTTTTCCATCTGTTTTATGGATTATTATTTTTTTTTTTATCTTTTAACATTTGGAAATAAAAGTACTTCATGTCTGTTTATCTTGAGCATTTTAAATGGATATCGTGATTGGATTTACATTTGAAACTTGTCGAGTAATGTGTATGGTTTTTAAAAATAAAAAATGTATTTAGCCTAACTGCAGGGCCATGTTTTTATTTACCTGTGCAGTATGGAACTGAGTTTCACATTGGGTTGGACTCTTTCTTCAGTTTTTCTGCAGGACTTCACTCAAATAACTACAGAAACAAAGAAAGAAAAACAATTAATGCTAAAACTGTACATTTACAAATTAGAGCTTTGACAAACTCATGTCCAGAAATGACTTACAAAAATGGCTTATTTGTTCTTGTTACATTATTCTTATTTTTTCTAACATTTTCAAGGGGTTGCATACTTTAAAAAGTCAGTCATGATTTCCTCTGACTATTTTAGGTTGATGATGTAATAGAATAAACAATCAAGTGGAAATAATGGCTGATCCATCTTATAAAATATGTCACATTTACAGTGTTTCAACTGTTCAGTCACAAACATGGTTATAAATATTCTATTAAATTGTAAAATTACATTTGAACTCAAACATTTAAGCACTAATCACATAATGTACATTCACTATATTATTGTATGTTGCTACACATCCACACCAGCAGAGGGTAGTAGACTTCCCTTCTGTAGCCCACTTAAACAAAGATTGTATATTAATAAGATTAATCACTCGCCCTAGTCTTTCTTCACGGTTGACAGCATCCAGGAGAAAGGTGGCTGCTCGGATCCACCAGTGTTCCTGAAGGAATAGCGACATTTTTTAACTCCTGACTGTCAAATTCAGCACACGTTTGAAACACCCAGAGTTATGGTCAGAGTGAGACGTCTTCGTCTTTGTCAATCTGTGCAAACGCTGCTTTCCGCCCCGCAGCAGCAACGTAATGAAACGTACACACCGGGCGAAGGTCTGTCAGTGACAGCTCGCTGCATTTCTGTAAGTACTGTAGTCAGCAACCGTGTGAGGCTATTTAAGTAAACATAACCCAGAGCATTATGAATATAACTACTCACAGGCGTCGTGTTTTGGATTTTGAAGTTGTTGCATTTGTCTCTGAAATCAATCATACTCGCAAACTAACTAACATTTTTAGCTTACTTGCTGCAACGCAATATCTGTGTTGGTATTAATGTGTCTTCTAAGCGGGGTTTTCTTAGCTGTTACTTGTCATTGAAGCAAACATAGGTGTGCAATAGTTAATCATATTGTATAGGAATGCATCATTGTTTTCAATGTAGGCGGACGGAGAGGTGAAGTCAGCTCCAGTCCTGCCTTTGAACACACCTCTTCGTCATCTCACCCTGTCATGTATGACAAGTGCTGCTCTTGTCTTTTCAGTCGGGAATGAGACATCCACACCGCTGAGTTGAAAATGAGAGAGTGGTGGATACATGTGGGTTTGATCTGCATCCCGCTGGTGGCAGTGTACCTGAACATCCCGCCCCCTCAGCTGTCACCTGCCCTGCAGAAGTGGCACAGTGCCGGGGACTTCTTCCAGTTCAGAGGCAGGGAGGTCTTCTACAGAGGTCAGAGAGGGTCTTTTAATGTCTCAATCCACAAATCTCCATACAGGGATACACATCATATACATGTTTCTGTCACCACAATATCCTAGCACATTGCACTTCTTTCGTCAACACTCCCCAGATGTCATATTTTAAACTTAATTCTTGAATTTTTTTCTTTTCCACTCAAACCAGAGTCCTATGGTGCTTTGGGGACCTCCGATGTGGTCGTTCTGCTCCACGGCTTCCCCACTTCCAGCTATGACTGGAATAAGGTACGCAATGCAAACACTCAGTAGTAAACAACCTCAGAATAAAAAAAAGTCATGCATATGAAGACATTTTTGCCCCCCCCCCCCCCCCTGTATAGATCTGGGAGCCCCTCACCCAGCGCTTCCATCGAGTAATCGCACTTGACTTCCTGGGTTTTGGCTTCAGTGAAAAACCAGTGAGTAAAATCTTGTTGTTGGGGGCGCTGGTGGCGCAGTGGGCAGTGGGTAGTGCGCGCGCCCCATGTATGGAGGCTGTAGTCTCAAGCGGGCGGCCCGGGTTCACATCCCACCTGTGGCTTCTTTCCCACATGTCATTCCCCACTCTTTCTCTCTCCCCGATTTCCAACTCTATCCACTGTCCTATCTCTCCATTAAAGGCATAAAAAGCCCCCCAGAAAAGGGGGATCTTGTTGTGGATCTTGTCATGTTATTTAGCTCAGTCTGTTTGCATCAAACACTCATTTCCTCTTGTCTCCGGCCGTCACAGCGACCCCACAGGTACTCCATCTTCGAGCAGGCCAGCGTGGTGGAGGCTCTGGCGGCTCACCTGGGTCTGATCAACCAGAGAGTAAATGTGATTTCCCACGATTATGGAGACACTGTGGCCCTGGAGCTGCTCTACAGGTAGGTGTTTGTATGACAGTTAGTGTGTTTATACAGATAATAAAAAACAGAGTATAATCAGTAATTGCTCTCTCTCTCTCTCTGTTTCTGTTTCCCCCCCCTCTGTCCTCAGGAACCACCAAAACCGTAGCGGTCACCTGACGTTCAATAGCCTGTGTCTTTCCAATGGAGGTACAGTGCACGGTGCTTTTTTATTGAGGGAAAAAGTTGAATTTCGATCGTCTTTTGTATCAATGTAAAGTGAAGTGGTCTTTGATTTTTCTGACTGTGGAAGGGACAAAACAAGATCTGTGTGTTTAGACAAGTAAACTTTACCCAGATCTGACTGTTCTTGTTGTTCTTGTTGTGAAAGTCATTTCAGTGTGCTGAAAATGTCATTTCCAACAGGATTATTCCCAGAAACACATCACCCACGCCTACTGCAGACAGTGAGTAACCCTTTGTGTTGTTTTATCTCTGTAAACCGAAAGGTAACTGGACTTGGTTGAATTTCTCAAATATTTTTTACTCCTCATCCTGAAAGTTTTCTTTTTGTTCTGAACTGAAGAACTGTTTTAGATTAGAGGTAAGAATTCAATCAAATCACGTTGCCTTTGCATTATTTAGAACTTTAGTTTTTGTGTAATATGTGGCTAATGTTTGATTTCTTAAATCCTAAGAGCCTGGAGTTGAGTATTTAGAAAAGCGCTATATAAATCTAATTTATTATTCTTATTATTATCTGTTTGTCTCCCAGTATTCTCCATCACACTTTTGTTCTGTCTCCAAAAGGTTCTGAAGGACTCCAGTTTTCTGGCTCCAGTTCTCACTCGTCTCACCAATTATATCATCTTCCAGAAGGGGTAAGAAGAGCAGAGTTTTTGTTCTGAAATTGAACCAACATGTTTACCTTGCTGTGGTATCCTTTTTACTTTCAGTGTTTTTTTTTTCTCTTTTCAATTGGCAGGATTGGAGATGTTTTTGGTCCGTACACGCAGCCCACAGATGCTGAATTCTGGGACATGTGGACTGGTTTACGCTACAACGATGGCAACTTAGTAATGGACAGGTGTGTGTGTGTGTGTGTGTGTGTGTATTTTGTGTTTGATTTTCTTGGCTGCTGTTTATCTTTGGTCTGACTTTGTCTGATTTTTCTCTTCCTCAGTATTCTGCAGTACATCAACCAGCGGTTAAAACACAGAGACCGATGGGTGGGCGTGCTCACTTCCACCATCGTCCCATGTGAGTACACAGATGCTTCAGACTTTGTGATGTTTGTGTTTGTGTATATGTGTGTAAAAAAAATCAAGTGTATATATTTTTTTTTTGGTATAAACCAAACACTTCCTTTAAGCGTATTTACTCAGCAGCCACTGATGCTAAGCTGCTTAGCCTGTGAGAAGCCTCGTAGTCCATCTGTGATCCCGAGCTTGGGGGGAGTGGGGGTAGGGATCTGTGTGTGCTACTGACACACACCTCATGGGAAATGCAGCTAATCGGGCCCGAAATCTTCCAGTGTGTAGCCTGTAAAGCTGAGCACCCCAAGGACCCACACAAATTAATAATGATACTTTGATGTCAAAAATGTGAAAAAAATCATAACAGAACACGCACTTGTCCCCAGATTGGAAAAATTGTGTCGACCTGCAAAATTTTAAATACCGGTAATATCTGAGGCAAAAACTGGCCAGTACACCCAGTTTTGAAATGATTGGCCCTTTTTCAAAAGGATTCAAAGACTTGGGTGATCCATTAAAATCTTTCCTCAAGCACCATGGAGCCTTTTCTTTGACCAGATAGCTAATGCCTCTTCCCTCAGCCACACCTTTACTTTGTGTTTAGCGCTAATTCTAAAACGTTATGATGTGCTTTACCTAATTCATGCCTGACATTAAGCCTATTTGCATTAAAAACAGAGTATTGCCTCACATGGTAATCACAGTTATTTGTCTTCATTCTTTATTTTTGTGTTTTTATTTTTGTAAAATGGAAGAGACAAAAGGAAACAGACAAGGTAGAACTGATACACTGACATGACCCATATCAAATAAAAACAAAATAAGAACTTAAATGTAACTCCTTTTAATGTTTACATGAGCAGGATGTGGAAACGACTTGATGCATGTAAAAGAGATTACTTATGAGTGATGACAGACGTTGAGATACATTTCAACTGACTGTGTAACTCTGCGGTTTAAAATTATTTAAGAGAAAACTCTTCCAGCACTCCTTCACATCGTCCCTCAGTGACCCTCCCTCCATATGTCCCTCTTTGACCCCGTTTCATCCCCGCTTGTCTTTCAGTGCACATGATCTACGGACCCCTGGACCCCGTCAACCCTCATCCCCAGTTCATCCGTCTTTACCAGTGAGTGCTCCCTCCCACCTCTGATTCCTCCACTCTGTTGAGATGAACTTAAATACACCCACCTCATCAAAGAGCTCTGCTTAGCCTCCTAATTGAACTTACAGAATCCTGAATTTGTAATCTCGCCTTTCAGGCAGCTGGTCCAGAGGTCGACGGTGACCGTTTTGGACGAACACATCAGCCACTACCCTCAGCTCGAGGATCCCACAGGCTTCCTTAATGCGTATTTTAACTTTATTCACTCTTTCTGAAGGGAAAAGCAAACAGCAACACCTGTGCTTCAAGGCACACTTCAGAAGCTGTTTGGTACTTTTGAAACACTTGAGTGATAAATGACCTTTCCTGATGATTGTACGCAGGAGAAGCTGTATCAGTTTGAGGTTTAATTTCCAGTGATGTTCTCATTAACCAGCATTAACCGCTCAAATGTCAAAGAGTGACATTTGAAGGCATCAAATATGAGCTAGAAAACAAATGAAGTGTACTAAATGCAACTAACTGATGGACTGGCAGCAGTGTTAATTTATAAACCCTCAGAGGAAGCATGATTCCTAACAGTGTGGTTGTGTGATTGTTGAACTTAAATGTTGGTGTGTGTCGATTCATGATCAGTCAAGTCCTGCTATCAGCTGCACTCTGAATGACTTTTGATATGATTTTCTACTTTTTTCTTGATGTCAATGAAAAAAATAATGTCAAATTTTGTTCAAATAAAATAGTTTTGTAAAAAAAAAAAAAGAAGAAATGTTCTTTAACAGAATTTATTAGAGATTTGACAGAAGAATATTCTCACTGTGGAGAAAACATGAGGACCAGCACAGTATAAAGAAACACATTTAAGTTCATTTACCAGAAATAATAAAATGATTTTTTAAAGCTCATTGTATTTGACATTTAGCGAGCTGTGCAGAGGATAGTAAGTGACGTCAGGACAGGTTTTAGTGGCTGCGTTGGCACCAAGCAGCAGTGTGAGCGTTTTAGCCCACGGAAGCCAGAATGACGTCAACCACGGTCTCCTCACTGCTGCGAACCGTCACCTGCATGGTGACACCGTCAGCCAGCGCCAGACGAGCACGCACCAGAACGTCATGACCTCCACGAAAGACACCTGATGGGGGCATGAGGGAGAAAAATGTTTAAGTTTTTTTTCATGCTAACAGAAGACTATGTTCCTTAATATACTCTGACAGTACATGACATCACTAAACTCTACTATTTGACCTCTTTTTTGTTTTAATTTTCTTAAAGGAAACATTATTATTAATATATTTATTTTAGAAATCAATGTTAATGTGGATTCAGTGTTAGCTGAAAGCTATTTTTCATCTTGTTTTTTTCTTAAGACAACTTCATCTTGCTTCCCAAAATGTCATGTGATGACATTCAAAGAGAAGACACACTTTGCATTTTAAAACACACTGATCACGACCACCCACCTGCGAGGAACAGCACGTGTGAGTTCTTGTTTTCCGGAACTTTGTCTGAGCGCTCACATGGCTGCATTCCCAGAAAGCTGATGATGTTACCCACCGCCTCTGCAGAGGAAAACCACTAATCAGTCACATACACGTTGATCTTTGAATGACGAGTAAGTGCACAACAACATCATATTCTCGCCTACCGTCTAAGGTCCGTACAGACGCCAGGGCGAACGTCTCTTCCTTCTCAAATTCATCGCCCACTTCGTCCCATGCTGCGGCAAAGTTTGGTTTCAGAACCTTCTGGATGTGGTCTGCAACTGTCACCTCCAGGTCTTCCAGCTGAGGAAGAGCACAGGAGGAAAAGAGGAGAGCAAAAAACAAAGGACAAGGAGTGAAGAGTTAGATGTAAAGGGGGCAAATGTACAATGACATAAAATAAAGTTCGCATGGATGAAAATACACAAACATGAGCTGTAACTACGTACCACATATTCATCGTCGTATCCGTCATCGTCAGGCTCTCCTGTGTTTGGGTCGCAGTCTTTGACCAGGTACTTCATAGTACAACTGAACGTGCAAGACACTGTGGAGAGATGTGACGGGACTTTTATTTAATTGATAACAATCTCTCACAATTTACTGCTGATAATCTAAGATTTTGGACCTTGTGCTCCTTTGTGTTGCTGAGTGATTTTAGTACTACTAATAATAATAATATATTGTTTTTTTATAGCGCTTTTCTAGGAACCCAAAGACGCTTTGACAAAATATAAAACCATAAAAACAAAACAAAAAACGACAAGGACAGTACAATGAAGAAGTGATGTAGGGGGAGGGTGGGAGTTAGTGGTTGTAGGCCATGTTGAGGAGGTGAGTGTGGGGGAGTCTCTAATGTGCTGCATGTTTGTGATCTATAAAAGTGAAGCCCATCTTTTCTTACCAGCGGTGGGGTCGTCATCAGGAAGGTGGACCAGGGTGTAGCAGGAACCGGGCTGACTGTAGGGGAGGTTGAGGGCAGGGACGTAGTGTACAACCTCATAGGATTCTGACGGCTCCATCTGTACTACAACCTAAAAAAAAAACAACGAGCAGCAAGATGCATTCAAACCTCAGAATCCAAAATGAAAAAAAAAAAAAAAAAAAAGAAGTCTAATTGCTGCTGTGATTTCCTTCTCAGCTAGTACCTTCTGCAGAAGCTGGTCATTCAGAGTGTTCGTGCAGTCGAACTGGAACACCATGTGCCTTGCAAAGGTGTGTTTGACGCAGCGCACCACATATTCTGTCTCAGCCTCCGTCAGCTGCACCTGATCGGAGGACTTGAAGAGCGGGCCCAGATTCTGAAACTCTGGGATCGCCGCCAGTTGTTCTGCGAGGAGAAAGAGAGACACTCTGTTACGCCAGTTCTGATAACGACGGCTAATATCAGAGTCTAACTGCATCGAAGTGCTTACAAACTTACCCTGATAAATGTCCTGGCGGGAGGGGGCCAACTTTTCTGGCAGTTTGCTTGTGGCAACAGGGGCGATTTCTGAGAGAGAGAAACAATGACAGATATTTCATAATGTGCAGATTCCTCCTGATAGTGAAGCATCAGGTGTGGATTAATAAAAAGCTCTATGGCTGTTACCTGTTTTCTGTTCTGTTAAAGGAGTGGTGGCCAGAGGGACGCTCTTCATGTCGAAAGGTTTCTCTGAGGGCTCCAGAGTGTACTGGTGGAGGGACTTCTCCAGGCCGGGAATGGAAACAGAGAGACCTGAGAGAAACACAAGCAAGAGGAAACATTAACACTGTTGTTTTTTTTTTTTACAACGTTTGAGTGTTTTCCCATCAAAACCCTTGACAGTGTAACATGAGTGTGTGTGTGTGTTTACCGTTGAAGATGTAGGCAGCATTCAGAGCCTTCTGCTTCTGCTGCAGGACGTTCATGTAGAAAGTAGCTCTGTCTCGCACTTCATCATCGCTGTCCATCATACACCTGTCAGAGCATGTACATGTTAGAGTCATAAGTCAAACTAAACATACAGTCTGGACTATGTATAACTTTAAAGGAGTCTGACAGTCAAAGAATCAAGAACTGTATGAGTTTTCCACAGAAAGATGAAGAAAATATGAAGAGAAAAACAACAACTCAAAATAAATAATCACCTCTGCATGAGAACCAGGACGCTCGGCAGCAGATCGTCATTCTGAGCTCCAAATTTAGCCAAAGCGCTGACTGCGGCTGAAGGTGGAAATGCATAGAAAACAGTGTGAATTTGCGTCAATACACTGGATGAAGCAGTAAGCCTCCATGGTCGTCAAAGTTAGAGATGAAAGAAAGAAAGGACTACTCTGTCTCACCGGCACGGACTGCCTCGCTCTCCAGCACCACTCGGTTGAAGATGAAGCGGATGTACTTGGAGGGCTGGGGGGTGCGTGGACCCTCTTTGCCCAACAGATGCAGGATCTTTGTGGCCAGCACAGTGTGCTCACAGTCCTCAATGAATTCACACAGGTGGGCCAAACCCGTCTCCTTACTCTCGGGGTTCTCCTCGATGATGCTGATGATGCAGTCCACTATGGCCCGCTTGTACTCAAAGCCACCCTGAAGGAAGGAGAGACGATCTCTGTGAGGCTGGTGCTCAGTTCAGAGCATTAACAGAAACTATAGTATGCTATAGAGAAAGAGCATGCTTGTTTTCTATGCCGGTACAGAATTCACTGATAGAGTGAGCAAGGCAAAGACCAAAGAGTGAAGACTGTCTGTGGTTTGTTTTTGTTTAACTTACATCATCTCTAAGCATGTTGGACAAGAAGTTCATCATGACGCTGTGCTTCCTGGGATACTTCTGGCACAGAGCACTGATGGCCTGGACCACCACCACCTGCAGTAAAGACGCAACAGACAATAGAATGAAATAACATGTTTAACAAAAAAAAAAAGAACGGCAAAGATGTGAATGTCATGTTGGAGAAAACACCTTTTCACACCACAGAAGCTAAAATCCTGGATGATATACTAAAAACTTTGACATGTGATTTATTTGTATTGTATAATCACAAACAAGAAAAAAAAAAAAAACAAGACTAAAAGAAAAGTGACCTTGAACTCGTCTGAGATCTCAGAAACAAACGAGGAGATCTGCTTCATGAGGCGGTCCACGCTGCTCTCGCTGCCGGTCTTCAGCAGAGTGGTGATGGCCAGCGTGGCGATGCTGCGGTTCGAGTCGGTGATAAGGTTCTCCAGGTCCAAGTTGCAGGCAGTCACAGCAGACGGGTGCTTCATGGCCACCTGATGGACAAAGGGGAGACATAATGTAGTGAATTTGATTATTACCATATACTTAAGTTTTTATTTGAGGGGGAAAAAAAGGCATGTGAAGAAAGGATGCAGGGAGAAGCTTCACCTTGTTGAGGGTCCTGACTGCAGCGTATCTCAGGGCTGCTTTAGGGGAGCTGCAGAAGAGCTGCAGCACTACAGGAGGACAAAGAAAAAAAAAAACATGATCAATTTGTTAAAGTTAACGGACACATGACATTGATTTCTTTGCTTCAGTCAACTTAAAATGAACGAGGTGAGCGTACTGACCAGACACAGCAGGGGCCAGCTCCCTTGCAGTACAGTTGGGCATGTGGACGATGGCAGAGGCTGCCTCATACACCACCATCTCATTCTTGTTCCTCAGGCAGCTCTCGATGAAGTCAAACAAGGGGCTGTCGTGACTGGAAAAAAAAAAAAGAATACAGTGATGTAAACAAACCTAACTAGACAACATCAACCATGCCGTGTGTGTCATGTTTTCTGTCCCATTCACACATTATGACATATGATCATTCGGAACTTGCAGGTCTACTGACCCTGCTTCTGTCTCATCCAGCAGTTTGCTTGCAATCCTGATCAGCATGCAGTAGGCGAAGGGAGACTTGAGACCAGACTTGGTGAACTTGTTGAGCATCTTTGTGACAGCCAGACGGTCATTCTTTCTGAGGTGATACAACAGGCCCAGAGCATGGTACTGGAAGACAGGACTTACATTAATACCAGGTTTAATATACAATAAAACAACTACGCAGACAAAAGCTGGTTTCAAGTTCAATCATATGCAGGTCTGTTCTTCCCACCTGGACCATGATGTTGTCACTGGAAGCAGCCTCCTGAGCTTCATTCACCCAACGCTTCACCACGTCGTAGCTCATCTTCACCATGTGCTGGACACAGAAACAGAAAGGACTTCATTACCCACTGGAACTTTTTTAGACAACTTTATCTCAATAATACACAGAATACCCGGTCAAAGAAACTCAGTGTTTTTCTTACCAGTGAGGAGACCAGGGCTGAACTGGACACACTGGGCACCTTGTCAACAATAGCCTGCTTCATGTATCTCTCAATGGCCTGCAGCATGGTGGTCTGTGGAAGAGACAGGGAAGATCAAACACACAATTGTCAGTCAGAAAGAACTAAATAATGAACGCTTTGTCCTTTCTTGCACGAGATGACAAGGTCAAGGAAGAGCTGAAGAGGTGCAAATCGGAAAGACTATCAAATAAGGCAACACGCACATCTGTAATCCTGCAGAGGGCTCTGATGGCAGGTCCTCGGTACACATCCTCCTTCCCCGTCATGTCTTTGGTCAGGCTGCAAAACACCACACAATGAATAATTAAAACAATGTAACCTTAAAAAAAAAAAAGCAAAGTAATAATTCAAATAGTCATACAGATCCTGATTCATGTATGCTTTTAAAACAACACGCGCAAACAATCTTTAGGAAAGTGTTTTAGTGATCTTTACGGTCAGCAAAAAAACTACAACAACACACTTCCAGGGGTAGATTATTAGTGGTTTGCAAACAGGTGATATTTGAACACATTTCATGGGACAAACCTGCTTGTGACAATGATGACATCCTCCGAGATGTTGGCCATCTCTTTGATGGTCAGGTAGCACATCCTTCTTAGGGTTTGCTATGAGGGAAAAAAGGAGTAAAATAACTGATTTGTATGAATCTTGAAAATAAGAAATCGTATTATTTTGTAACTTGACTGATAATGAATGAACTGATCTCTTACATCATTTGACTGGAAGAGCCTGGTCATCGCAAAGAAGGCCTCTGTGGCCTCCGTGGTCCCAAAATGCTCCCCCTACATAAACCAAGACAATGTCATTCAGACAGAGTTACAGGTCTATGATGAGACGGACAGCTCTTTTAATATCCCTGTCAAGAAAGTGATACCTGGTTGAGAAGGTAGATAATCTTTGTGAGAATGTGGAGGCATCTTCTCGGGTTGATTGGAGTCTCATTGAAGATGCGTGCCTGTGAAAAGATAAGGATGTTGTTGTTTCTCTGAGTTGTGCAGAACACATTTTCTTTTCAATCATCACCAGGTGCAGACTTTACCTCCTGCAGCACAGCACTCTTCTCCAGATGCTGGAAAGGGTTTGATCCACTTCCTGCATGTGAAAACATAAGAGTTAAACCACTGACGTAAACGTCACATAGTATGCAGCTGGAGCTCCATAAATCCAGAGATAACAAGTCTGTTACACTGCCAAGTTAGTATTTACATAATCAATGTGACACAGAACAATGCATGTGATGTTTATAAGTGCCTTAGCAAACGCAAACTTGATGCAAACCGCGACATAAATGTTAATAATGATCATTAACGCGGTTATCTGCTGCTAGTCAGCTAACACTTACACGGTAGCTCAGGATAAACTGGGTCCGATATAATTCTCCTTTTTTATTCTATTTCAACAACAAACACAATCTTACCAGACTCCTCGTCCTTCTTGTCGAACTTTTTAATCATTTTGTCGGAGTTATAGTGTCGGACGAGGGCAAAAGATGCTCTCTCAGCCTCGGACAGTAGACAGAACACTACTAGCTACTTCCACGTAGCCGATATGTGACTCTGACTTCCGGTTGGAACGTCCACGTCAACGGAATATACGTCAGTGTCATTCTGCGTCATCGCCGGCAGGGGGCGCTGATGGCAAGCTCTGCAAAAACATTACCATCAGTTTTAGTTATGTGTCAAGCTATGGTCCAAATTAAATAAGATAAGAGCGAACTTTCTTTTTTCAGAAATTAATACGACAGGTTTCATTGCTGTACATATATAAACGACACAACTTCAGAAGGTCAACAAAGGTTTTTTTTTTTTTTTAAATATATTCAGGTCTAATTATAGATGTTTTTCCCTCAACTGTTTATAGGTTCTTGCTTTAAATTACACATATATTTTTATCCCTGCACGGGTTATGTACATTTCTTGTATAAATCTATTTTTAATTGCACAGTTTAAGTTTGATTCATCTAGGGGTATTCTCTAAATCTTTTTTGGGGTTAATACATATGTATGGGAGGGGGGGCCGGTTTTGCGGCTTAATTTGTAACAAATGTTTCATGTCATGTCTTGTAACCTGCAACTGGATGCTTTGAATTTCCCTCGGGATCAATAAAGTATTTATCTATCTATCTATATATCTATCAATCTATCTATCTATCTATCTATCTATCTATCTATCTTCTGTTTCCATTAAATGTCATATGTGTGATGTTGCACCTACACACACAATACAAGCTATACACGCTGCAAAGCACCCAAAACTATCACTATCACTACTTATGCATACACTGCTTATGTTCAGTGTATGGCCTATTTCCTACTTCCTCAGGCTGTCTGGACTGTTAACTCCACTCTCCTCAGTTAAAAACAATCTGCACATTGCACTTTGACACCCTGGACACTTTACACACTGACACTTTTCACTGTTTACATTATTCGATATTTTATATTTTGTAAATTCAAATATTTCGTTTTTAGATTTTACATTATAATCTATTTTACTGTATATGTGTGTATTAGCAATTTGAGTGTTCATTGCATGGCCTTGCGGAACAGTCTTTTACATTTCACTGCACATCTGTATGAGCATGTGACAAATATAAATCTTGAATCTTGAATTTCAATTGAGTATTCGAAAACAAATGTGTAAGTAATTCTATGTTCAGCTGAAGACTGAATGGAAAAACTGTTTGTTAAGGGCCGGGGTCTCTATCGTCATCCTACCTTGCTTATGGAAACGTAGACCTAAATAATAATAATAATAATAATAATAATAATAATAGTAATAGCCCAGATGAGCAGGCTGGATGAAACTTTAAATGATAAGGTGACCCTGCGGAGTGCACACAAGCAGAGCCGACTCATACCCTATGGTGTAATTATATCAAATGACCACAAGATGTCGACATTGCTTTGTTTCTTATCTCAGGCAGATTAATTATATCCCCACAATTTATTACATAAAAATGTACAGACAACAGGGCAGGACTGATACGACCTTTGATGTTTAATATGCTTTTTCTTATTTTATTTTTTTTAATATATATCCCCAACTTTATTTTTTCTGTACATGTCTGTAGTGAAATAAGAAATGAGCTTAAATTGGACACAAACACTATGTGCCTATCTAGAAGTAGCCTCATAGGTAGTAAAGTTAATAAAGAGTTATAATTTAAATAAATATTTCACAAGTCCCGTTCAAAGTGCTGTTCAATAAAAGATGACAATGCTTTTGTTACTTCTGCTTTATTTGAGGAAAAATAATCCTTTATTTGGAGTATAAAAATAACAGACATCTGATGAACAATTATTATCCCGTGCATTATAGCATTGTACTGTATGTCATGGTCTTCTCGTGTTTCTGCCACTGTGGATGTTTCACGATCAAATCTGGAATCTTTATAGTCAAGTCTCCTGATTGAAGTTCTGAACAGAAAACCATTTTGATCAATAACTCAATAAAGCACCAAAGAGAAAATAAGATCATGATAATGCAACAGAGTAATAAAATATTTTGGTTCATTTGAGGATGTAAGAATTAACAATCACAGCTGCTCTTTTCTTCGGTCCAAGATTTAAAATCTGAAATATTTGGAGCAATCTAAGGACAATAAAAATAAATTTAACTTAAAAGAAAATATTAAGGCTTGTTGAACACAGTCCCTTTAAATGCAACTTATATCAATCTTGGAAGTAACATTTTCAAAACTCTTCTAGTCCTAGAATCTTATTTTAAAGGATGAAAATGAGTCTCAAAATGAGTCTCTTGATGTCACTTGTTTTCAGAGCAAAACATGTTTTCTCATGTTTTCCTTGCCTGAAATAAACAACTGGTCTCATAAAATATCTGCATCTTTAATACATTTGACCCTCTTCTGTCTTGATTTAAGATGGTGCTGCAACATTTTGAGTGCATTAAAAAGAGCAAATGGATTATTCTCGCTACTCGGGCATGTTTATAACTGGAGCCATCATTTAAATACAACTTTAACGGTGGATTTAAGTCTAAATAACTTAATAAATGTGAAAGTCTGCAGTGTCTGCTGATAGCTAGTTTTACAGGGTTATATTTATTAGACACATTTTTCTTATTTTTTGAGTTTAAATCGTTTCCCAAAACTCAAAGACATTCAAGAACCACAGCCATGAACTTGATTTGTTCTCATCATCATTGGTGCAAAACAGATAATACAGTATGATACTTTGATTATCATGACTTCCACATGAGAGCAAGTGAACTATACAAACTAAAAACGCTCTTACCCTGCGAAAACAAATCAAAAGCATTACTTTCAAGCAAATAAGAAGTAACGAGGCCAACACTGGTCATGGCTGTCTGTTAAGTCTGAGTTGTCCATAATCACTTTGATCACTTTCTCCGTCCGATCTGAGCCAGAAGGCGCGCGTTCTCCGCTGCTTTTGCGCGCAAATTTTTGGCTTTTGCCACGTCAAATAGCACGTTCATTATGTTGGTGGGGACGTCCAGGGACAGGGTCAGCCTGCTTCTCCGGTCCCCCTTGTTGCTGTTCCGTAGCATCTGACCTCTGAGCTTGGTCCGGCTCATGAAGCGGTAGTTTGCGGGGCTTGAAGTCCTTTTTTCCCGGCTGGACTCCAAAGACGAAGAGGACGAGGAGGCGAGATACTCCGCGGTCTGCAGCAGGGACCTCCAGCTGTTCATGGGGGAGAAACCGGGAGGCTCATCCTCATCACTCCGGACACCGAGAGACAGCTGGTCGTCGCACAGGAGGTCTGATCGGGTTTGGTAGAGGCGGAGGCACAGGCTTGAGGTCGGTGTGCACAGGACCGAGAGCAGCAGGAGGGTCTTCAGGGAGGACAGCATGCTGTGTCCTCTGGGACTAACACAAGGGAAGAGGGAGAAGAATGACAAAACAGGCTATATCACTTTACAACCATTTAGTGCATAGGTAAGTGACAAAAATTGAGTCGTAATAAAGAAGAGTATAAAGTAAGGTGTAATCAGAGATGAATTCATTTCAATGGAGTCAAATAAATGTATTTTATTTACGCTGAAAACAAACAAAATAGACAATCTTACCAGAATGTTTTGGAGGTCTAAATGTAGTTTTAAGATTGTTGATTTCGAGAAATGTCATGGTTTATTTTAAAGCTTAAGCACAATACAGTTGAATGTGTGTTTATGATACTATTTAAGTGGTTTAGCTGCACACTCACACACACATACACACACACGAAACATTAAGAATAATTTCTTACCTCTCAACTCCTATAATAAAAAAAACAAAACTATGAAAAGGTTTCAGCCGACACGTATCCCTGCAAAGAATAAAAACAAGGTGCAGAAATCCTCACTTCAATTTGTGATGAGAAATCCTGATAAAGTGTGCGGAGGTCAGCAGCGCGCGCTGTCCCACCAGCAGAGTGTCTCGCGCGTCCATTCACGACGCATTCGTTTAGTAGGAGCCATCGAACTGCAGCACTACGCCAGCAACCACGTCATCCCGTTGACATTTGAGTAATTCTGTGAAGTATCTCATTGGTTTTGAAGCAGTGATGTAGAGTGTTTTTTTTTAATGAAAAACTTATCGCGACCATCACGACCTCAGGCTGAAAAGACAGACTCGCCTTCTCCCGGCAGCCAATGGCTGTTATGTACGTTTTGCATGTAGTTTGAATGTATTTAACCCTCATGCAACTTCTTTTAAACTGAAGCATTTGATTGAAATGTCTGTTGTTGGCTTGCAAAGTTTTCGACACGTTTGATTGCTATGTCTGTGGAATTGCGTTTTCAGCACCACCAAGTGTTCCAGAGGTCAGGACCATGGACAGCTCCAATATGCAGGAAAAACAAACCCTATATTTTAAACAGAGACATTATTTATTTTCTTTTTTTTGCCCATTGTCATACTTGATTCTTTGAGCCCTTTTTTTTTTTATAGAAATGAATGAACATCAATTTACACAGAAATGTCAAACGTGCTGTTTACAGATTCTAACATAAGAGTATTTGATGCTTTAATTGTGTCAAACCTTTGGGGAAAGGATGCTGTTTGAACTGAAACGGGATTGAATGAATCATCAAGTTAAGTTAAATGCAAATACAAGGCTCATTTTCACTTTTTCTTGACAATTTACCAACAAAACTATTAAATTATAATTTTGGTAGCATTTTCTAATAAGTGTTGCTTATTTAAAGACGACTGATGATGCTCCGCAGTCCCTTTTTCCAGTTGGTAAAAGGTCATGTAGGAAAGGGGGGAGGTCACATAGGCCATGGATGAGTCTTTATAACCCAAATTATAAGCTACAAAGACAAAGCAAACGACATGTCGGAAGTGAATAAAGTATAGTGACTGTATAATCGCTGATTAGAGGCATTAGGAATGGATGTATTAACCATGATTAAAGTCTCTTGATACAACTCACAAACCCAATATAAAGGTTGGCTTATTAGAAAGTGCTTCCAGTTGTTTTCATCATTTTACCTTATTCATTGTGCTACAATGGAAAAAAAGAAAAGATATACTTACAAAAAATTGAAATACATTTTTGTAAACATAGTGTGGGGCCCAGCTCCTTGTACTATGCATGACTCTGACATATGTGCATTTGTTGAATGTACACAAGTTTTTCCAGCCTGATTTCTCGACCAACAAATCAAATCAGTGAACTGTGTTTGATAAAATGCTGCCCAGTATGCATGATTTGCATGCTGCACATATGGCTGTTTCATGTCAAAGAAGATATGATATCTGACATCAGGAGAACATTGTGTTTTAATTAAAACTCTGAGTGTACATGTGACACACGGGAGCCACCTGCAGAGATGTACATTCCCATGTCAAAAAGACGAAAGAGATTAAGGAGTGAGAGGATCAAAGGGTGCTAGGTCAAGCTGTAATGAGCAGCTCCATTGTAGGATTATATGAGTCCTCACAGCAGGAGTAATCATAGTCTGTGACAAGGTGGGATATGAGATGTCCTCCCACTCCTGATTTCTCTCTTTAATTGATCCCTGAAATGGAATAAGTTGATCCTTTCAAATTTAATGGAAAAATCTCACTTTACGCTGGATTATGTTGTCGACAGTCTCTTGACCGTGTCCTTGCCCATTAAGGCCTTTTGCTCAGTGTGAAGACGCACTGACCACACACACACATTTCTGTAGTCTCGCTTTAAGTCTGATTTCAAGTTGTCAAATGTTTTCCTCAAGCTTTTTTCCCCCTCCAGTTTCATACACCATACGCAGTGAAATACACAAACATGAAATCATCTGCAAAAGTTGGAACAGACAGATATATTTCCTGTATCTGTGTCTATATACTTGTTTTCCTGGTTTAAAGTGGGTGGGGCTTAATTGGAAAAATGCTGAGATTCACTGAATTACTTTACTTTTGTTTGTTTACAAGAAAACTCCACAGGGCACCTTTGAAGAAACCTAAATTTATGAGCTTGAGAAAATGATTGAGGATCATATTTTGGGCAACAAGTTAAATCATTTCAAGAATAACTGCATCACATTTTTATCACAAATTCACAGAAAGCTGCAATAATGATTAAGTATGATATATTGTTGCAGTGCTGCACCAGTCTTGGGTTTTTGCCTTCTTGTGTAAGCAGGGGGTGTGGTTGAATGAGGACATCCTGTCACAGTAGAGTGTTACCACATCGTGCAGATCTATAAAGAATCTTAGCATGTGGGAGTACATTGAAGAGCTGAATCGTGACTTATATGATGAAACACTCTGGAGGCATAATGAGTAAAAAGAAAAAGAAAAAAAAAAAGATCCACCACAATTAGGTGCAAGGAATTTCTGCATCAAAACTAAATATTTAAGAGAACTGTTGTTGCTGCTGGTGGAGAATGTTGCAGAGAAAACGTAGCATTGTAAAACTGAATTTTGATAGAAATAATTTATATATTCAGCCCCTACTTATAAAACCTACACTGCAGTATTCTTTTCAAAATACCGATGACAACCTGAGGGTCTAAGATGTGTCATGTATTTTCTTGTGTCAAACTGCCAGAAAAAAAAAAAGAACCCTGACTGCACGCTGCCTCCACACCGACAGCCACGCAGGAATCCCCTCTACTGCTGTGTTAGTCTGATAGAGAGGCCTCTGAAACAGTTCCTGCCTGATCTCATTCACTGGGCCCCGTTGGCCCTCATCTGGCTCCCAGCCTGACCCATAACACCCCCCACCAGAGGGACATATGTAGCAGTGGAGGTGGCAGCAGGCAATCAGCCACCAGCTTCTTATTTTTCACACAGGCTGCAGGGGAATTTACAAAAATAAAATAAAAGTGACTAAGGGTTACAAAACAAAAATGCAGAGACAAGCACGACAGATAGATGTGAAAAAGAGAAGACTGATTTAATGTTTCAGCCGTGTGAGTATTGATTACTGTTGACATTCAGTGTGTTGAAGAAATATTGAAAGAAATTACACATTTTTAACATTCACATCTTGACTTTCAACAAAAGTAAAAAAGGTGTAAAAATATATAAATAAATCCGATATAAAACACTAAACATGAACATATTACACACTTATGTACACAATGGTCTTGTTGGGGGTTGCTAGATTCAATGATGAACAGAATCCATACACACTGTACAACATTCAGAGTAGAATTTCTCACTCTCTTCATCAGCTGTTTCAGTGAATATCTCCTCTGTGATCTGAGAGGATCCCTCTAACACTCCTCTCTTTCCCACACCAGCTCTGACACTCTTGTCTTGAGCTGAACCGGTTTCTGTTTCCCCCACAGCCCCCGAACAAGAACGGCCTGCATTTCCCTGAGCGAGGGTGGAAGTACCAGAGCAGGGCGTACTCTGAGCAAGAGCCCTCGGACATCGGCTCCAGGCAGCGGTCTGCTGCAGAAACTGCAGAAAAAAGGGTGAAAAAAAAAACGTGAAAAAGCTTAAATATATTCTTCTGAAATATATTTTAACTGCTGGGCTTCAATAAAAAAGATACTAACTCAGGACACTGGAGGCGAATCACTTCATAAAGCTATGATTGAGAGAGTGTAATGACTTCACAACATAACAGACAAAAACTGAGACAGATATGTTTGTATGTTTCTACTTCCATAAAGAGAGCTGGATGGGAATAAAACAGCGTACATAACATACTGTAGATCTAATGCCATGTCTTATTCAGCTGTCATGTGGTCTGTGAGATATTTAAAAACTAAAAGTGCATCATGAGTAGCAAGCTTCTGGATCAGTCAATCTTTGATCAACAACAGCAGGGCAAAGTTAGGAAGTTCACTTTAAACACTTCTATCATTTTATTTTGCATGTGCAAGTGACGATTTTTCTCCCTAACAAGAAACAGCATTTTTTGTTGCTGAAAAACGTCCCTCTGAAACTCTTGGTTCCTGCATTTGTGCTATGTTGGGCTATCGCTCTGCTGTCTTTCAAGAAGACAACAGTCAAAGTTCCTATTACATTTTTCACTACATAATTGTATTGATTAAATTGCCTCTTGAAAGCTAGCACAGGCTGTCAAACAATCAGGGATTAACTTTTAGTCTTAGCGTTCTCTCCCTCCTTGGGCTTTTAACTTTGTCAAGGAACTCATGACTCACAAATGATGAAAATACAGCGAGAGAGAAAGTAAACAAGAGATAATGAAAGAGGGGAGGCTGAGAGATAAGAAGAGTTTCACTTTTCTTGGCCACTTACCAGCAGTGTTTGTTCTAAATACTCGTCTTTTCGTCCTCTGTCCCGTTGGGCAGCCGCTCCCTCTAAAGAATCTGAAAAATAAAAACAACATCAACGAGAAGTTTACAGATTGGTGGATTCAATCGTCTGTGAGCAAGACGGATCCACTTTGACTGGACCTACCAAAAGGTTCAGTCTAGTCTACTACTCTATCTTAGTTTGAGACACTACATTTACACAGTCACAACATTCATATGCTGTTAAAACCAGGAATGAGAGAGGACATCCAAAATGCGAGCAAAGGACATTTTTTTTACTTGCACAATAAAAATCACAGGTTCTTTTTTTTCTGTGAGTTTATTGTTGATCTCCTTTTACATAATTTGATCAAATGACGGCCGCTAAGTTCAGTCAGAAACATTTTCATCAAGAAAAATACCATTTATACCAAATGGTTATAGAGTTAGAAAAGTGTGTGGAAAGTGTACTTAACAAACAAATACAATCAACTTTACTCAAATTAAGCTTTCCATATATTTCACACATGAAGAAGCTGAAGCAACAAACAATTGTTGGCACAAAAATAACAGTTCAGGTTTAACTGTCTGCACTAAACAAGAGTGAGCAGTACAAAGGAAACCTTTAATGTCTTTGTCATTTTAAAAAATCAAAGTCTCAATATTGAGCTGTAGCCTTCCACACTTGTTCACATTCACTGTTATGAACACCGTGTGAGATGAATCTGACCGTCTTCTGTCTGACTGATTGTGATTTATGAATAAACATGCTGACATTGACTATGGGCAATGACAGTACAGCTGATTATTTTTCTGGTTATGTTGATCATAAGCCAGAAGAACAATAAAAAGGGTTGTGATTCTCTCCTTGGGGTTTGTTCACTAATGAGCTTCATTAAATACTGGTGATGCCTTGGCGCATGTTTAACCTTTGTTTAACTATTTTTGTCCTGATGCTGCTGATGACTTCATTGACATCAGTTTTGCATTAAATGATGGCTACTTGAGCGCTCAAGTTCTTGGAGTCTTTAACATGGCATTTTGTGCAAAATATTTTGAAGACATTTCTCTGGAGAATTGAGCCAATCTCTGCACCTTAGATTGAATTTGCTGAGTATATCAAACCTAAATGTAATAGATAAAGAAACCAATCAAATAGACTAGCAAACCTGACGGGAAGTATCTAGAGAAACATTTAGCTTATCTTCAAAAAGCTGTTTCTACTTAGTGTTTCAAACCATTGCAGTTTAGCAGAGCAAAAGTCATTTTAATTATATTTATAGATAATGGATTATAACATGTATGACACTAATGATAATCCTGTTTCCTTTAGTATACCAGCATGCTTGAATCATGATAATATACAGAGAGGTTTTCTAATATAATTTGATGATATAAAGGAAATTATAATGCCATGTTTTTTTATCTGAACACCCCACCCCAGAACGCCCCTCCAACCTCCACACACAAGAGAAACTTCCAACATACTGTAGCAGCTGCTACACATGAGTATGACATATGTTACCATTTAGCAGTAACACACAATTGGTCACAACTGATTTACAACATTAGAATATCTCAGGCATCTGTGAGTTTGACCTTCAGGCTTGCACAACAGCCCAACAGTAACGTGTGGCGTGTTGTGTACCACTGAAGGAATCATAATTACCAGTGCGGTTTGTTTTGGTCTCTTCCTCCTCGAGGGTCACCGGGGCGGGACTTGTAATTTCCTCCACATTGTCTTCATATTCTTCCATGTATTCAACATCTTCTTCCATCCCTTCTTCAAGCAGGTCACGATTGAGGGATATCACCACGTCATCGGGAACACTTTTCTTTTCTGTCTCTGAGTCGGTTCCATCTGGATCCACAGATTTGACCATGAACTTGTATTCCAACCCTGAAATCACACACACATGATACAAAGAAATGAGCTTATATGCATGAACCCCAAATAACGTTTAACATTTAACGTTTACCCTGCAGACCTCTTGGCACCTCCTCAGAAGAAATAACAAATTAAATAAAAACAAATAAATACAAGCAAACAATCCAGAAGTTAGCAACGAGCACACTCTAAGACCAAGCACACTAAATGAACGTAAGTAAGACTGTCTCACCAACAATTTAAAAAAAAAGGGGGCTACATTTACAAAAACACAAAGTTAGGATGCAATGATAATACAACTGAAGAATGAAAAGCTTTTAACAAGATCCTTAAAGTCTTCTTAAAAGTTTTCATATCTAAAAGAGAACTGTGCTTTCTACTGTGACATCTCTTACTGTCCTCTGTGAAAGAGGCATACTGCAGACAGGTCAACAGAATGCAGGATTATCCTTTCAGAGACCTGTAAGCAGTGTATTGAATTCCTCATGAGACGTCCCACCTCTTGGTAGTTTTGGTGTTTGTGAATGGTTGTGCTGTCGAGGGCACCATGGCGTGTGTTCCTCTGAGAGAACATAACAGATGGCACACACACACGGGTGCCTTGCTGCTGCCACAGGAGACCTCAAACACACACACACACACACGATTCTCGCATAATATGTAGAACTATCTAGAGGCACACGATTCCTACGATAAATGTACAGAAAAGTACAATCACCCATGGAGGGTCCATAATGTACAAGTGATGAACATGACAGGCACATCCCACACACACAGACACACACTCATACAGGCAATCTTACCACATTTTACTACCACCTCCTTGGTGACCAGCTCCTTCACTTCTTCAGCCTTGACACAAAGAAGCACAATGTTCTGCATCATTTGATTCTGCTTTTCTCGTTCTGTATTCAAATAATATAAAGTGTGTACATGCATATGGGATTATGCTTGTTGTTTGTGTTAAACTGAGTAACATACTGAAAGTCCAGGTTCCCCCTTCTCCCCTTTTCCTCCTTCAATGCCCAATGTACCCTATAGTCAAAAAACACAAATAGTAGACCGTAATTAGTAGTGACAAAACATTCACTTTAAAAGTCACCCATCATCCATCCATTCTCTATACTGCTATTCCCGTTTGGGGTGGCTAGGGGCTGGAGCCGATCCAGCTGAGATTGGTCAAGAGGCGGGGTACACACTGCACTGTTCACCAGTCAATCACAGGGTTGACATATAGAGACAGACAACCAGCCACACTCACATTCACATTTAAGGGCAATTTAGAGTCACCAGTTAATCTAAGGAGCATGTCTTTGGACTGAAGCCAGAGAGAAACCAACGCATGCAAACTCAAACCAGGAACCTTCTCGCTGTGAGGCAACAGCGCTAATCACTGTGTGCAACCCAGATATAACAGCATACAGTAGATAATAGGAAAAACCATTTGGTTAGAGATGCTTACTCAGAGAGGGTTAAGGCTCAGCTCTGCAAAGTATGCATTAATGAGAGATGTGTCATGTATTTTGTGACTCTTACACTCGCTCCTCTTAGTCCTGGAGTCCCGGGTGCTCCAGTCTGACACGGCTTTGATCTGCCCCGTCTACCCCGCTCCCCCTGTGTGACACAGAAATCAGAAAGTAACTTACCATGTGTGAAATTTCTTCGCATAAACTCCTCTAGGATGACAAGGACAAATCCATGGCGGTGTATTTCACCATTTACTTGTAAGCAGCATGAAAAACAGAGCAATTAGGGTTCATCCTTGGAATATCCTCATTAGAGGTTTCCAGCCTCTCTGTCAACTCTGCAAGTCTGGCATTGTGTCTGAAAAGAGCTAATTGAGTAGGATATTATTTTAAACCAGTAGACAGAAATAGATCCCGTGTGTGTGTGTGTGTGTGTGTGTGTGTGTGTGTGTGTGTGTGTGTGTGTTAATCAAGGCGTGTATACAGAGCTCAAGCTGCCAGTCTCAGACATGGTGATGACTGTAATCAACTTCATCCTTCTATTCATTGTGTCCTGTCACATTCTTAGTCATCCTCTCACATTAGTTGGACTATTTGTTACAGAAATGATTTTTTAAAGACTATTTGATACATTTTATCGTCAGGAGAAATATTAAAGTGTACATTTATGTAAATTTTAACTATTGATTTAGCTCCATGGATCATTAGTGCTTCTTTAACCTGTTTATAATTAAAGAACTTGCTTTATAGTGAATGCACCATTCAGTATAAGACAGTGGTAATATGGCTCTCTATATTTTACTAAAGACTACCAATGCAAGCAAGTGATTCATACCTTAAACAGAAGACGCAGTGGACTCATTATAAACTTTTTCATTATCTCAAAAGAGTGAGATAATTCATCTTTATTGGGAAAATATCCAGAGATTATGTTTTTCTTCCATTTTTTTTAGCGAGCTCATCATATATATATAATACAAGTAAGGACTAGGAATACTGTACCTTAGTCCCTGGTTCTCCATGGGGTCCTGGTACTCCTGGAGGTCCATCATCTCCATCCCTCCCCAGAATCCCTGCAGACCCCTTGAACCCCGGGAAACCTGGAAAACCTGACGCACCCTGAATGGAGACAGAACAAAGTGAGAAAGCAGAATTCCAAAGATACTAAAATATTAAATAAAAAAAACACAGCAAAACATGACAACATGTGGAAGATGAATCGTGATAATGACATTGTTTTGCTTACTTTTTCTCCTTTCTCTCCTGGTTCACCATCAGCACCGTTGACACCTCCTGCTCCCTTATCACCCTAAATCCAAAACATGTGAGGAGAAAAGTGAGTTTGTGTGCATGTGGGGCAAAGAAAAAGACTAATATGGTCCTTCATGAATTGTCTATTTTAATCACCTTGCGCCCTGTGAGTCCATTCAGTCCAGGTACGCCAGGGGTGCCAGGTATCCCCATCTCTCCCTGTTAAAGAAACAAGTTACATACACACAGTTATATTGATTCTTGAAATTGTTCGACAACATATAAATCGATTTCTAAGATACCTACATCTTCACCATCTAGGCCTGGACTCCCGATGCGTCCAGGTAAACCTCTGAAACCCTGAAACAGCAGGCAACACACAGCAATATCATACATATAGACGACCTGCAACTTCAAACACAACCCCATGGGCTCAATCTTCAAGAAAATGAAATGATAATGGAACAACTGTGGCAAATAGAAACGGCCTCTACCTTCTCTCCCTTCTCTCCTTTGTCTCCTGCTAAGCCTGGTTCTCCTGGATCCCCCTGTAAAAAAAATACACACATCCGCAAAAAAACAAAGTTATTCTGAAGCTGTGGAAGTCAAAAGAATTATAACGGATGATTTCATTATAGCGTACCTGATTGCCCTTCTGGCCATCCAGTCCTAAATCTCCTTTGTCTCCCTTGGCTCCATCCACGCCATGGTCCCCATTGCGACCCTTAAATCACATCACGGTATTTATGTTTGTGTTCATTAAAAGTAATGCACATTTACATTTACTGGATGTTTACAGCTGTATCTTTACCACAACTCCATTGAGTCCTGGCTCCCCTGGATCTCCCTGTAGGAGAAGACAATAACAGGTCATAAAGTAATACAATAAAAATACTGAAAAGTTAAAACGGACTGAACAGTCATAGTGTCCTTACCTTCTGGCCAACTGGTCCTCTGCTCCAAACCTCCCCAACGCACCCTTAGTACCTGCATCTCCTTTTACTCCCTTTTTTAAAACAATTAGCAGTAAAATAGTTTTCTTTGATGTCCAGATACGTAAATGAAGCATGAGGTCATCTTGTTGTCTATCAGACTTAATAATGACTCATTTGACATCAGTGTCTTACAGAAAGTATTGTTCTTCTATGTGTTTTTGAATGTAAACAGAAGGATTTATGACCTTGACTCCAGGAGGACCGTCCTCGCCCTTCTCTCCTTTATCTCCATCATAGCCTGGTGGGCCGCGTTCACCCTGAAACCAAACATCTCATTCATTTACAGGTCTTCTTGTGTTTTTACTTAACATGTGTTAAAAATCAAAAAAAAAAAAACAGTCGACAAACATTTAATAACAAGTCCTGCATTCAAATCTTAGTCTGTCGTGTTTTAGGTATGCGTTCTATTTTTGAGGTAAAGAAGCAGCAGTTTGAAGCAGAAGGTTTGCAGGACTAAGGAAGTACATATAAGTATCATAACAGTATATATGGCATGACTGGATTATAATAAGTCATGCATGATTGTGTTGGCATCACTAATATTACAACTATTTAACCTGTTTATTTATATCCTAATGCATGACGTAACATCACATTTCATACTTCTCTGGTTTTAATAACTAGAGTTGAAACAGTAACAAATGTTTGATGAATGTAGTTGAGTTAAAAGTTATTTTTTGGCTTCCACATAGTGGTGAAGTAAAAGTATTACGGATAAATAAAGCTTTATTAAACTAAACCAAGATCTATGAAAGAAGCTTTATTTGTGATCATTTCAGAATGTCTATTTATAAGTTAACTGAACAATCTCATAAATGACGATAGCTTCAAAATCATCTCACCCCGTCTCCTTTAGAGCCCTTAAAACGCGAGGTCCCTGAATTTGAAGCACACTCCCCTGCAGAAAAGTCATTACAGAGATATTGAGCCATGAGTCATGAATACTTTTATGGTTTTATCTTCTTGCATGACACAAACTGCCAGCAAACATCCTACATGTGAAGCCATGCTGTAATAAAAAACAACTTTTACCCTTTCTCCTCTGACTCCAGGTAACCCCCCGTCACCCTGCAAAAAAAAAAAAAAGTCTCCCAACATCACGTGTCATAGAAGTACACTTATTGTGTTATATCTCTTCTTCTTTGCTGCCTTTGATAAAGAGTCATGAAGAGTACGCCTATTGTCTTCAGGTATGTTACTTTGCAACAAGCTGCATTAGAGTCTGAAACCCACTGACGGTAATGTCAGTGCCATGTGGTTTGAACTATTCATCAAAGTCAAGGAGTTTTAACAACTTATATGTCTTGTCTGCTGAAATAAGACACTGCAAATTGGCATCGAACGCAGCATTATGATATTAGCATATCGTTGAGAAAGTTGTTGAAATAATTAAAGGAATCCTCCTGTTTCAAAGTTAAATAACGACTCACCTTTTCACCTTTGCTGCCACGTAAGCCTCTTATACCCTGGAAAAAAGGTAAGAGAGGAGAATTTTCGTACATTGTACAATTTACATTACTATACGTTACCATGTTGGTTAGTATGAGAAGTTGCTTACTATGTTTCCCAGAGTTCCTTTATTGCCTGGAGCTCCCTTTTCACCCTGAAACAAATCCCCAACATAAGAGTGATGGGTTTAATAATGCATGTCAAAAAGTGTTGACAGGTACACAAGATCAATCATCATTCACTTTCACACAAACAGATGAATATGATAAGTGTGTTTGAGTTTGAAATCTGGATTTTTCCCCGAACCAAACCTGGACTAATCGTGTTTAAATATGATGTTTAAGCTCAATTGAACTCACTCTTCTTCCTGGGAAACCTGTCAACCCCCTTGTGCCAGGCTCTCCAGGAGTACTGTCCCCCTGATGAAGACAAATTTGAGTTAAGTATTAACAAATTCTTACAAAAGGTGAAAAAAAGAAGCAGTATCCTCAGTTTATGACATCATATGTGCAGTTATACCTTTTCTCCTTTTACACCAGGCTCACCAGTAGGACCCTTGTTCAGAATGTGCAGTGTAAGAAAAGAAAATATCATTAATCATTCATATCAGAAGCAAATCAAAAAGATATTAAGACAATTGTTTGAAGTAGTTTTACTTACTAAGTGACACTAAGTAAAGTTAATCTGAAATGAATGAGTTTCAAAGTAGACAGTTCAAAGAAAAGGTCGTTTTCTCACAAGAGTTCCTGCTGCTCCTCGAGATCCAGGAGCTCCAGGTGATCCATTCTTCCCTCTTTTACCGCGTTCACCCTGCAACAACAAACAAAACATCTTGTGTCTCGAATAAACCTCAACATGTTTACCTTCCTTCTCATTTCATGCATTTGTTCAAACTCTTTGTCTGTCTTTCAACATTTAAAAAGTGAGCAATTTAAGAACACCATGCTTCTTGTACCTCCCTGCCTGGCTCTCCCGGGTCTCCTTGCAGGCCCCTCAGGCCTGGAGAGCCTTGGATGCCCGTGTTACCATGGATACCCTGGATTCCTTGAGCACCTGGAGGCCCTGACTCACCTGGTTCTCCCTAAAGCGAGGTAAAGAAGGAGGAACACAGAGAGAAAGATGGAGACAAAATGACATGTTAAGAAGACAAACACATGGTGAAAGGTCAGTTGATTCTGTAATGTAATTATTCCAGCCTTCTATCATTGATGATTAATCTTTTCAAATTAAAGTCCTTCTTTGCTTTATCACTTTATGTCCTAAAACATAATTAATTAATAATGAATTGAGTGAGTGAGTCACTGAGTCAATTACATCCCCTAAATTAAAAGCTCGGTGGGAGACAAAGTCAATCAAAGTGAAATTGATTAAAGACCATGAAGAGTAATTGATTTGGGAAGGAAGTTATAAATGAGACTTTTTCACTTTATTTTATCGTTTCTCAAAGTGGGGAAGTAAATCTTACCTTCTGTCCTGGAGGACCGGCCTGACCTTCTGGACCTCTGTGGCCACTGCCTGGTTCTCCCTGAAAAAAAAAAAAACATTGTTCATTTAATTGTAGATATACATTTCTAGATTTCACACCTAACTCTAAAATAAGAGAACTGAAAGCTTATTAATGACACTAGTATTTACCTTTTGTCCCCTTTCTCCAATTTCACCCTGAAAGAGGAGCACATCAGTTAGAAAGCACACCTCAGCACGTTGTTTTTCAGGAGGCAAAATAAACCAGCACAGAGGCATTTTCAATGTCAAAAGAACTTGACACCGTGTTCAACAAGGGGAATTATTAATGTCTGCTTTAATCTGTTGTCTCACAGTCACACAGAAATAGAGACGATGGGACATCAAAGGCCTGGAGTCGACCGGCTGCACTGACAGGCGAGACAGCGCAGAAGTTCTGATGTCACTGACTGATGCAATGTGGGTAGGAGGGGAGAGTGACGATTATATTTTTATGAACCGATGGAAAATGTTATATGACGACTGTCATTTTGGCTCTGTGATCTCAGGATGATGATAATGACACTTTAAATCAGCGGAACGATTTGGGTGAGTCAACAAATCCTGACAAAGAAAAGATGTTTCACTTTAAAATGACAAAACATGTTTTTTTTTTTCTCTCTCTCTCTTCTGGTAATGCCAACCCCTGAATAGATTAAGGATTTTGAAGTGTTTATGTGAGGTTCAAAATGTAAATAAAACTTTAGGTTACTGAGCAGCAAAAGGGGCGACTCAGACTGTTTGAGGGGGACTATAAAGGGCCCCCTCTGAGTGCCCCATATCACTTTGTTCCAACTGAAAAAGCACTCAGTTATTTCAATCTTTAATGTTTTTAAACCCTAAAAACTCAATGCAATTTATATCAACTGAGAAGAGACATGAATCATAAAGAAATGCTGTCAGTATCTTGGCAAATAGCACATAGATAAAGGCCACTGCACAGCTGGATACAGCAGCACATAATGATATATTCACTTGATAATAATGATTTAAAAACGTTGGCGATAACCCTTACAAAAATTGTGTTTTCTTATCATGAAAAATCGAATCCTTCTGTCTTTTAATCAACAGTTATCAGTCAAATATCTTACTCACCACGAATTTTGTCCATGCAGTCAGTTCAGACATGATCCCAATTATGCATAACTGTTGAGTTTATAAAATCCCCCCTCTGTACAGTGTGTGCTGATACAGACATTAATCACTTAGACTAAAACTGTTTTTGGTACCAGGCCGTAAACATGTTTATTTCTGCTGTCGTGGACATTTTAAAATTTGGCTGTGTATTGGACTTCTGGGTCTTTTGAAGCTAGCCTCAATTTGATATCCGAGAAACTGAAGGTTTTTAGTCACTTCCAAATGGGTGTCATTTTTTCAACACTGGGGGTTGCCACTTGGCTTTATTGTGTGCTCAGTATAGGATGTGAATGATTCCACTTAAGTCAGATTGGAGAAAATAAATTCAAGTCAAACCGTTTATGTGTCCCTACGATAAATAGACCTTTACCTTTGTTCCAGGTTGTCCGTTCTCTCCCTGTTGTCCCTATGAGATAAAAAAATGCCATAGCATTGACAATCATTATAACATTATATCTCTAAAATGTAAAACTAACAACAAAAGCTGGGAATGTTCTGAAGATGAGTGAATGTAGGTTTCTACATTGTCTCTTACTTTGAGAGAAAAGTACTCTGGAGAGTAAGGGTACGGCTGTCTTGTCTCCTCACCATAACCACCTTCCCGGCCCCTCTCCATCTCCAACCTCCTCTTCTCCCACTCCTCCCTCTCCCTCTCTAAGTCTCTCTCCCCCTCCTGCTCTGTCCTCTCCCTCTCCAGCTCCAGCTCGGCCTCCCTCTCTCTCTCCAGCTCCTCTCTCTCCCTCTCCATCTCCAACCTCTCCCTCTCTCTCTCCCTCTCCAGGTTCTCCTCCTCCTCCAAGCCATCCCTCTCTCGGTCCACATCCTCTTCTGTTTCCCAGTCGTAGTCTCCGCTCCTCTCCTCCTCCCAGTAGTCTGGCTCTTGTTCTTTTTCCAACTCCTCCAGTCCTTTAGCTGCAGTCGGTTCTTGGCCTCCCTCTTGAGTTTCTATGTCAGTCTCTTTTTCTGTATCACTGTACCGCTGGCTCCCACTGTGTTGTTGCTTCTGACTGCTTGTATGTGCATGGAGGTCAGGATTTTCTTGCTTTTTCCTCTAGAAAAACAAGTTTTTTGAAGCACAAATGTATTCATTTATAAGTCAAACCATCTTCTTGGATTAGATTTGTATCTCAGTAGCTGACTTACATTCCAGCTATTGTAACCTTGAGCTCCAGATGACTGATGCTGAAATTGAAATAAAGAAACAAACAAATGGTCGATAAAGACAGACCATAGAATTTTGTTGACATGTTTGCTTATAATGGAGACACATAATTTTTTTTTTTTGTTTGAAAAAAAGTTACTTTGGAGGCCTCCTTGAAGCGATTTCTTCCACCCGGGGCACCTGGCATGAACACCTATGATATAAAAATGTAAATACGTCTGTCCTTTTTTTTTAAATTTAAATGTGTATTATTAATCTGTCCTCTACAAAACAAGGTGAAACTTACCATGGAATCTGGCCAGTCGGCGCTTTTCCTAACCCTGATTTGGGATTGAAGAACCTGTCAAGCCCCCGAAAACGACGTAAATGTAATGTTCCATGTCAAACAGCTGAAGCAATGCGATATATAATTGTTATGCATGAGGTGAACCATGTAAGAAAGGAAGACACAGACTTGCCTATAAAGTTGTTGAAGCAGTTTTACTCAGAGATACATGCACAAAGAGATTAAAATTAGACAGACAGTGTAACAACAAAGAAACATTTCACCAGTGAAAAGAATGTTTGAGTTGGCAAGAATTGGCTAAAAGTACAATAACAGTCTGAATAATGTTGTGATTCAAAGGTGTTTGTGGGAGAAGAAAACACTTTTTTTTTTCATGGTTCAATAAATAAAATATCAGAAATAAATTGACAAAGAAAAAGTGGGCTAAAAGTGTTGCACATGTTAAAGAAAGCTTGTAACAGAAAAATATATGTCTAAATAAATAAATTGGAAGCTGTAGGCAGGCTAAAGTCAAGGTTACATTAAACATAATGCAGAATGAATTTAAACCTGGGATGTCACTTCTGCCTGATTTTCTAACGAGCCCCATCTAATAAAAAGCGCTCAAAAAAGAAATGGAGTGTGGTGGAAAACATCGTCCCTTTGTGAAAAGAAGTCCTTCCTCATGAAACGCTCAGGGTCAGGTTCAGGGCTCCTCACCAGCAAAACAGTTCACAGTGCTTTCCGTGTGTTGTGTGTTTTCTTATGATTTCTTTAACTCTAAACAGTCACAGTCTCTTGGGAATTAAGAAAAATCCTGTTTAAAAAAAAAACAAACAAACAGAGAGAGAGAGTATTACAAGTAACTCTCTGGAATCATTTTCTTCGGTAGTAATTTTCTCCTCAAGAGCGAGACTACAGGATGCTTTTCCAGCTCATTCCCATTCAGACAAACTTCAGATGAAAAAAAAAAAAAACATGCTGTCCTATCTCATGCTTTGGATTGTGAATCCAAACTCTTTGATGGCTTTTTTTTACATTCCCCTTGTGTTCATAGCCTCACACAAACATGTTTGCACTGGTGAAACTTTCACAGAAGAAAGAAGAAGAAACAAGTCTGAAAACATGATGCCAAAGTGCTTCTTTGTTATATGACTCAAGGCATGTTTTATTTCCTGAAAACAGTATATAACGTCTCAAGCACTTGTGCATCATTTTCAAGACTCTCATTTTTGAATGTAAATAAAGAAGATTGGCATTCCCAGGCATGCAAGAGTCTCCAGAAACATCCAGTTAATTAAGATTCAAGCTTGTGATGCGAGTTCAAAGTTCAACGCTACCTTGTCTGGTTGTTCTGTTGTGATGGGAGGTGTAGGTAGTGACACTTCGTCCTGCTCATAACAATAAAGGACAAATAAGATAAGGAAGATGACAGTGGAAAAACTTTGAAGCACTATGTTCAGTTCAAATCAGTATGCAACGTTTACAGTGAGAGGCAGCTGCTGCTCAGTACCTGTTCTATTTCATCGCTGCGTTGTGGATCTGTGGTTGTAAAAGCAACCTGCAGGAGGAGAAAAGGGAAAATAACTACATTCATTTTCTTTTAAACATTATGCTTCAGTTTGAGAACTAACATTAATGAGATGTAAATATCTTCTGATCATATAGGAAGCCCAAATGAGATCCAACAGGCTGTAGTGTTTTGAATGGTTGTAGTTAAAACTATTCTTTTCAGACAAATTGAAATAAGCCTACGATGGTGTTTTTAATATGTAGATGATGTGTTTCTTATCAAAATCATACCGTCTTTCTGTTCAGCTCTGGGGTCTCTTTATTTATTATTAGTGTTTTAGGCATGACCCCTCTATCAGAGACCAAGAGCAGAGTGCATTGAGACCAAGACCAGCACCAAGACTTTAAGCCTCAAACAAAAGCAATAAAAAGGCCTGTGGAAAAGTTAATGTGAAAAAGACCTACATAGAAAAACACACACAGAAAACACTTAATTGTTCCTAAACATTTGTCTTATATATTGATATATAAAGTGACCTGTGCAGTTCATGTGTCTGTGTGTATCTGAAAAACAAGTAATGTCAATTATTTTGTATTGCAATTTTCTTTTGTGTTTACCATTAAACTTAACCAGTTTCATTCCACACTCCCTTTACATGTTTTACCAGCACCACCTAAACCAGTTCATTGTCTAATCATAGAAAGAATAATAAACATCATCAAGGTGATTCAACTTGCACAGAAACAAGGAAAATGTAACACCTAGCGTGGGAAAGACTGGGTGATTGGAAAATCGAAATCAATAATAAATGATGGTATGTAACACATCCTACATTAGTTGTAGTATCTGTCGCTCTGTTGGTTGAGGATGGCAGAGGACGACTGGAGGTTTCAGCCCGTGTTTCTAACTGGGCCGGACTGTTTGTGGGTAAATGATCCTCCTACAAAAGAGAAAAACACTTTCAATATGTTATTATTGTTCAGGTGCAGCACATTACTGAGCTCAGCTGTCTCTGCTCTCTTTCCATCAGAATGCAGTCTGGTGAAATAAAAGAGATTGATTAATAGAAAGCCTTTTATCAACCAGAAGGGGAAAGGACTATATAGGGACTTCAAGCTGCTATGACAGAAACATGAAACATATTATTTTACTTAAACACTATCAGCTAAACAGAGGAGAGCATGAAGTTTGAAGCAAACTCACCTGTCTGTTGCCACTCCTCTCCTGAGAGACAGACAGGTCATCTGGATGAATTTCATCCTATTTAGAAAGAGAAAAAACACACTTTGATGACGTTTAAACACTCGCAACCTCCAGAAGCTCCAGTGGAAGATATGCAGAGAAGCTTGAGTGGGCTTGTGATGACAAATTCATTTATTTCTAATAATTAATTCAGGTGGTGGGTGTGTCATTAATCAAACTCTCAGCAGAGTTTAGTGTGGGCACAGACGAGACTCTACAATACATATGTATATATGAATTTACAATCTCATTATGAGTTTGACGGGTCTGTTAACAAGAAGACACCCACAACGACAGCGCACCAAATCCATAACAACCCCAACGCATCATCAACCATCACTTTAAATTGAAGTTTCCCACTGCTCACAAATTAGTCATTTACTGCGGCTACGGCCCACCTCATATTCATAGCTGTATTCTTCTTCTTTTAAAAACTCCTCCTCCTCCTCCCCCTCCTCTTTGTCTTGCTTGTCCTCCTCATTTGTCTTTGGATTAAGGAGAAATGACAACAATTAGAGGAGGATACTGGTACTGATCATTGTTAATCATTTGTGTCAATGGCTGGAAGACAACGAAGCCAAGCGATGACAAAGCAACCCGTTAATCAAAAGTTTCAAACCTGTTATCATTATAATGAGAAGCACATGGAGACTAAGACAAATGCATGCTTTAAGTTGGACTAGCCACACCATGTATATAATAACTGCTTAATGATGTTTGTAATATCTAAAATGTTAGTTTATTATGATTATTTCTGTTACATTTTAATACTAAACCTCTTATTCATTGTTAATGTCATGTTAGCTTAGGCCAGTGTTAGAGTCTGTGTTTGGGTTCTGCAGGGTGAGTTGGCTTGATTAGTTGGTTTCTTTTGTTTTAGTTCGGGCAAAATGTGGTTTTAGTCGGACCCTCTTCAAGGACATTTACCAGGCGTTGTCTCTGCCTTTTATGCCGTCCTTTATTTCCTTTGCCCTGGTTAAGAAGTTCACAGTCGGAGAGAAAAAAAGATAAAGGTTTCTCATGCTTCAGACGTTCATGATCAAGTATGAAAACTACGAGTGGGTACTGCAAGTTAATGGGCAGATACTTAAGAGAGGAATAAGTAGTTAATGAATATCAAAAAAAAAACAATAACACATTTAAATTAAGGTGTTTAAAATGACACTTTAGTGTTATAGTTATCAATGGGTTTTGCTCATTTGTTGAGGAGCACACAGGTAGGTTTGTATGTTTCAGCTCATTTATTTAAATCAATCAACAGTATTGAAGACTATGGTTAGAGTCAATCCAATATTTTTAGATTCTCTCATTAGGCTTTAGCATGTAACGTGCTGCTCTTTATGTACTTTAATGTCAGGTTATTCTTCCAATAAAGAGCTGTATATATAAATAACATTGTCTGGCTACAGTGATATCCCGCCCTCCAGGAAGCCACTGATTTTGTGTCATGGTTTGTGTACAGTTAAAAAAAAAAGAAGGTGCTGCAATGCAAAATATTACAATGCACTTTTTACATATAAGAAATAAATACTGCATTTGATAAAAGAGAAACAAAACACAAATGTAGACACAGTGAGCATTTCTTTCTTTTTTTTTTGCCTAAATCTACTGGAAACATGCTCATAAGTGCTTGACTGCATTATATCTACAGTACCTCAACTTTAAGCACAAAAGTCCCTGAAAGTTGATTTGAATATTTTAATCACATTACTTCAAAGCAGTGAATAATTGGAAGGCAGGAAGGCTGAGCTGAAATGTTCAATACCTGCATGCTCCTTCAACTCTATGTGTTATGTTATCAAAGACAACCAAAAAGAATTATGATTACATTTGTTAAAAATGAACAGAGGAGTATTTCATGTTTGATGTTATGGATGTAAACATACATACGTTTTGAATGGTCAGGGGCAAAACTCATTCAACGATCATCATGTTCACAGTGCAGCTTTTACCTTCCCACGTTCCCTGTTCTTCTTCTTTTGTCCTGAGTTCTTCTTCAGAGAGTCCTCCTGAGAGAGGAGAACCGTCTCCAGCACACTTTCTGGTAACCCTGAAACCGTCTGGAATGCACACAGAAACTGTTTCTGACAGTTTTTGTCTTACAAATGACATTTTCCAAACAAATGTACCTATGGTGTAAAGTCCTACTGTAAAAGTGAGATGCATAATGAGTATATCATATGATATATTATACTACCTATACCTATTGTATAAAGTCTGACTACAAGAGAATATAATATAATAAAAGGGATTACGCTGCTTTTGAAACCTTGATGAGATAAATGTTATTACTCAGTTCAACGGAAATTGTTGCTGGGAAATAATCTTTTCCCGTTCTGTATTAACAATTAAACGATTAATATGTTCAGTGTTCTCAGCACGTTTCCAATCATTTCATAAAGCGACATTTAATTTTGGCATACCTAATTGTTAAATGTTCTTACCTCCTGGGTCGTAGTCGAATTGAAAGTAGAATTGACTGCTGTCTGATTAATTTTGAGAGAAAATGCTCCGTCCCCGTCTCCGCCTACTTTCTCCTGTTCTCTCAACTTCTTCCCAATCCTGTCCAGTTCTTGCTCGCCGTTAAGCGTGGTGTCTGTCCATAAAGAGGGACCCTCCGCTGTTTCCTTTGAAGGGTCCTTCACATCAAAATAAATAATTTTTAGAGCTAAGAGGATATGCAGATTTGGACAAGAAGCATCTACTTAATGTATAAACATTGAATACATCACATAGATGATGATGATGTTATGAAGAACTTGTTCAACAAGAGCTGATGTTTTTGTAACAATTTTTATCTACGTCTGTCTCCAGAGGTCAAAACAACAACACTCAAGCTGCACGATATCTTAGACCAACATGTGTTAGTTTGTTGTCCTCAGGGTCATCTTAGAACACTCGATTAAGAATATATAAACAAAATGTAGATATGAATCAATAAACATCTGTTAAGGGTTCATAAACTATATGTGATAAAACCATCATATACATGTGAAAACTTATCAGCCAAAGTGGTTTCACTCGTAAGTAAGAATGGTCTAAGGCAACATATGTCTCCGACTCTCCTAATGAGGTGAGGAATAAGTCTAAAATAGATTTGGATGACTCTAAATATTTGTCAGCGGTTCATCTTTATTCCTCTCATTTAAATGTTATTTTTATGATGACATCCAATGGAGATCATGTGAGTCTTGTAATGGAGTTTTTCTGTTACCATTCAGTGTTTCTCGAGTCAAATCGGTTTAAATATGAATAGGAAAATGATGGCATCGTTTATGAAAATTAACAAGAATATTGAGTCTTTGTGGTGTTCCCTAAGCATATCTTCTGACTTTGAATGAAGATGATAACTGCACTTATGACTGTTTAAGGAAATAACATCAGTAAAGAGGTTAGATCAGGGATGGGCAACTTTGGTCACAGCAAGGGCCACATTCATTTAATTCTCACTGCCAGGGGGCCAAATTGTAGGATACAAAAATGATTAAAATCAATTATGTCTCAAATTTAACTCAACATATACCAGTGATCAAATATTATTATGGACATATTTCTGGTTTTCATGATTTCATGGCAGATTTGTCAGGTTTTCTTCATGATTCCAATTAATTGATATGTCAAAATTGACCTGAGGGCCACATTGAGGGTTGATGGGGGCCGCATGTGGCCCCCGGGCCGCCAGTTGCCCACCCCTGGGTTAGATGGACATTTTTGAGGCAACGTACGACTGAAAAAGCTTCTGGAAGCTGTCGGCCAAAATCAGGGTCCTTAATGGAGTCTAGGTCTGATGGAGACTGGCCAGTAAGCTCCAACTTCACTGAACTCTGTTGAAGAGAAAAACATGAATGGAAGTTTTTCACTTCTTATAGGTTTACAAATGGTTTGATTCTTTTGTTTCATGACAGAGAAAATAAGTGAGTTAACATTTGACTCATTAAAATGACTTAGACTGAGCTGTTTACTCTTCTTTGAACTTCGGTGTTTTGTAACAGTGTCTTATAATACAATTTGACTTTTGCTTATTCATTTTTCCTTTTTTAATCCAACTCTGACACACTCTCCTTTCTTTGAGTTTATGTACCGTGTACTCAGTGATGACGTTGGAGGTGTGAGTTCCTTCTTTTGTTTTTTTGGACGTGATGAGCACATGAAGCAGCTCCTCTATTCCATCCTGCAGTAGCCTGTCAATCAAAGCCTTCAACAGAGGCAGCTAAGGAAAGGAAGTTTTTTTTTTATAGAGAAGGTCAAACTCGGATACAATCACAAGTATTTCTAACTTTTAAATGTAGTCAAAGTCAGATTCAGAGCTCACCCTGATGCCGTACGCTTCAAACATCACTTCAATGTCCTAAAGAGGGAAAGAAAAACAGATTGCTAAAAGTGCAAAATGAGAAACTATGTCTCGGGGGAGCTACTTCTACATTTGTATTCACCTTCATGTCGATAGATTTGCCAGGAGCTCCGACATTTCCCTGCAGAAACATTCAAGTAATCACAGTGAAATTATGTCATTTCCATATACATATTTGTGAAGATCAATGCTGAAACATACCGTGTCTCCTTTCACGCCTCTTTCTCCTTTATCACCCTGCAAACACAACAACAAGAGCTGCAAATGAGCAACAGAGCTAATGTTTTTTGTTCCTATTATAACGGTGTTTCATATGAACCCCATCACCATCTTACCTTCATTCCCGGTGAACCCTAAACACACAGAAACAGAGGAGCAAGATATTGGAACATGCCTCTACAATGCATGACACTGAGCTTATCTGTATTCAGATGAGGACAAAACTCATTGCAGCCCACAATAAAAGCATTACAGTCATCATCGCTGCACGATGACTCAGCCGCCATGCAGGCCAAATCTGAATAATGTCGCGCATCAGATGAAATAATGTGACATTTTTCATGAGCTATAAATATCAACGAACATGTCGAGAGCAAGCATCAAACTCACAGGAGCTCCCGGAGGACCCATCGGGATTGGGAATGCTTGTCGGATTTCGTCAATGGTGGCGCCCTGAGAACGAGTAAAAATCAGAAGAATTTCTTCTTTTCTTTCTTTTGACTCAACAATTAGCAGAAATGAGAAAAGTGTATAATTATAAGGTAAAACTCTGAATATGTTGATTTTTAAAATCCCCAGCATTACAAGTGATTGTTCTTACCTCAGGAGTGACGAGAACCTGCCTACCGGGCAAACCTGGAGGTCCTTGTTCCCCCTGACTACCATCTTTACCCTGTAAAGGTAAGAGGAGGATATACATTCGGAACCTCAGGTATCTTTTTTGAAATGTAAAATGTTTTTTTTTTCTTTATCTCGAAGCTGCTTACATTTTGTCCTGCATTTCCCTTCTCCCCCTGCAACAAGAGGAACGTTAACACACGTATTCAAAATATCACTTTATACATTTAAAGAAGGTTGAACTAAATTTTAAGTACCTTCTTGCCATCTTCTCCTTTTGTTCCTTTTTCTCCCTGACAAAACAATAAAGTAGTATGAAATTCTGAAAAACTGAACTAAAATGTTAGCAAAATATCTAAATTAGCTCAGATGTCAAGCATAAAAGTAATCAGGTTTATATCACTCAGAGTATCGTTTTATTTTTAAAGATCAAAATGATATTCACATCTTTTGCTGGCAGTCCTCTCTTCCCGTCGATGCCAGGTCTGCCCTGAAAATCAGTGGAAATAAAGAAGAAATCAGGATGCGCATTCAGAAAACATACCAGACACAACAATAAATGTGGATGTGAAGGCTTAAATGTCGACTTGAGAGTCATCTTTAAAAACAGATGAAGAATGGGTATTGAATCTTTAAGACACAAGCATCTTTATATTTAGAATAGAGTAGCAGTACTCACTGGAGTTCCCGGTAAACCAGGAATTCCTGCAATCCCCACCCGGCCTTGGTCTCCCTTTTCTCCTCTCTGATAACAGCAAAAGTGTTATTAGTCATATTTATTTATTATTAGTTGGACTAAAGGGGCTAAAAGTATTTTGAATTTCCATAATTAGATTATTAACAGCTCTCTCTTGGAAAATCCTTTCGTGAAATGACTAAAAAGATATTTCCGTGTAAACAAAACGCTTCAAACAGCCGAGTTAAAACAGAGAAACAGTCTCTCTGATTAGAGTGAACAAGTTTCTTCATCTTTAACTAATCATGTAGACACAGTTTAATTTCATACTGTATTAAAAGAAACCTTGCTTCACTCACCAGACCAGGCTCTCCTTTTTGTCCCGGGGTACCCTGCAGATATTATTAAACACTTTGTAAGTGATTCAATACTCCATATGCCCAAATATGAACTCAAGTAATACTGTGTGCAAAAGTTTGTATAACCTTAACTCCTGGTTTCCCTGGTACACCATCAGGTCCAGAACCACCCTGTAATACATAGTGTTTCACGTTTCACATATAGGCAGGTAGGTAGTAGCAGAGTAAGAATTTGAAGTTGACTTACCAGAGATGATCCGGGTAGTCCTGGTTTCCCTTCTGGACCCTGTGGAGTGAGACCATTATTCAATTTCCCCCCCCTGAGGGTTTGATCTACACCCAGATGTAAAGTCAGTCTATAGATTACAACATACTAAATACCAAAATACGAGCTATAATTTAAAATCCATAAAGTCTAAACTCTGTCAACAAAACACTGGGTTCATTATTGATTCATCTGTAGTCTAGATTATTTCTCTAATAGACAACAAATCCTTTAATTGTTTGGTCTAGGAAAGGCCAAAAATAACAGAGTAATGTCTCAAATGTATTATCTTATATGGATAATATTTAAAACTCAAAGGATAGTCACATTGATATAATGTTAGACAGAGAAACCCAGCAAATCACAATGTTTCAGAGGTGGGAACCAGATAGTGTTTTTCATTTTAATATGAAAAACTGCAGAAATGTTGTAGACTGAATTTTTGTCCTAGTGCTTCAGCTCTATGTGACACTTGATGGATTTACTTTACAATTGATGGTAGTCATGATCAGTCTGCTTCTGCACATGATAAATATTTTTTATGACTACTTTAGAAAGCAATTAGATACTCACTGCGGGACCAGGTAGACCCGCTTCTCCTCTCAATCCAGGCTGACCCGGCTCTCCTGGTTCACCCTGAAGGGAAGGAGTGATTAGAAGAGAAATTTCAATTAAGTCATTAAAAAAATCAGAAATCAAATCATGTTGAATGTCATTCTTCAAGTTACCTGGATCACTCTGGTCAGTAAGTTATTGTCCCCCAAAATCTGCTCAGGCAAAGTAAAAGTTTCAAAAGTTAACTTCCTGATTGACAAAAGATTTCAGCTGATTGAGAACAAGCGTTCATTTTCTCCGTTTTATGGGAGAGTGATGTTGTCTTGTTCAAGCTTCATTACAACAAACGGCCCTGTCAAACATGGCTGAACTGATGAGGAGCAGACAGAAATGATAACAGAGGTTTGTTTACTTGTGTTCCCGGAGGTCCAGGTTTTCCCTTTGTGACCATGGCAGCACGATCAAAAGAAGAGGACAAGAAGACACCCAGTTAATATTATAATGTCGCACTGCCAACACAATTCATATCTGCATAACAAAGGAAAACTAGCAGGTGTGCACCAAAGGATGGCAAACACAAAATGGCAAACTTAATCACTGAAGTCACGGGAAGATAGCAGGTGAATGATGCAGAAGAATGATCGAATTGCGTCAACCATGGGGTACAAACAACATCAATGAGAAAGAGAGAGAGGTTGAATATAAACGTACTTGCTCCCCTTTGTCTCCTTTCTTTCCATCAGTACCCTTCAAACAAAGAAAATGACAAATTATCCAGAAGAATTGCAGATCGAACTCACATCTTCCAGTTATTTATGGACAAAGTGACTTCACAAAATAACTAAACAGATTTGTGTTCAATGGAGACAAAACAACACTGATAACAAAGTATAAATAATACCTTATTGCCACGTCTTTGAAGGGCTAGTTCATGGTCTTTTATTAAACTCTGAAGGACTTACATGTGAGCCAGATTTCCCAGAGTCTCCTTTCTCTCCTGGGTCTCCTGGTCGCCCTGGTAGCCCCAATGGACCCTGAACAATAACAAAGATGTTAACCTGGGCCCTGAATTATTGCCTTGATCAAACGCTTTCAAGTGATGCGGCAAATTAAGAGAAGTGTAATGTGACACAAATGGTTAATTGGAATACAATTAAAAAATTGGTGCAACTATCTGACTTAATGTTCCAGCTGGCAGCTATTAAAGCCAATATCTACTGTCCTGTTTATTAATTCATACAGACTCTACAAATACTTTCTATAACATGGATGGTTTGCAGAAAGATAAATACTCCTTCAGATCGACCTGCACTCTATGCACTTAGTCAAACTCATTTTCTTCCTTTGTAAACCTCAGGACCTATGTTATTTAAAGCTACTGTGAGGAACATTTGGTTTATGCTGATTTTGGGGACCCTTGTGATCAAACAGGGTTTTTTTTTCTCATCCTATTTCTTTCAACAGTCAAAACCTATCACTCACTATGAGATACAATAAAGAAATACCCGTATTCCTCTGTCACCAGGCTCTCCAGGGGGTCCTTGTTCTCCCTGTGAGGACAAAAAGATTTTAAGTTGCTAAATCATATATCCAAAAAAGGTATAACTGTATTGATATACATAAATGCTGATGAGCAACAATGTGAACCAACAACACTATACTGTAAAAGCTGCAGACTGTACCTTTATTCCAAAGTCTCCTTTAGTTCCAAATGCACCCTACACACAAAGTTTAGTAATTGTCATCAACATTACAAAGTAAACACACAGAAGGCATATGCATGTATGTAAAAAGGGAAAAGAAGCATTACCTATACATCTTTTATTAAGTAAATATATCATCAAGGCTTGTTGAGACATTTATCATATTCACTTCTGTCTTTATTCAAACTATGAGCTTTGTCCCAACACAATTTCTGAAATAATTCAAATTAGAAATACAAACAACCTGTATAATTATATATAATTGCTGTATCAGCAACTCAGGATTTACTTACATCTTTACCTCTTAATCCTGGTACTCCAGGATTGCCGGGTAATCCAATATTTCCTTTGTCACCTTTGAAGCCGTCCAGCCCCTGGACAAACACAAGACCTCTGGTCAAGTAACACTGAAAACCTTAAATATAAATCTACTTTTTTATGTTTTAGGACATAACGTGTGCTTTAGTTGCCAACAGTCTTTTAAACATTGCTGACATGGAGCATCATTAGCATTCATTTGGACTCGTGCTCTTTTTTAAACTCTGCTTCAGTCTCCACCAACCAAGGAGAAAAATATCTGTCTCTTAAGTTGAGAAGTTCTGAATTTCATTAACCAGCATAAAACAATTAGATGAAAGGTGCTTGGAGACTTTTGGTGGTGAGTTTATCACCTTTATTCACCAACAAAACATTGCAATACAGAACAATTTGCCTTCATAACAAAACTTACTTTTGGTCCTGGCTTTCCTGACAAACCAACATTTCCCTGTGAATAATTAAAAAAAAAGAAGATAAAGCCTTAGTCAAAAGATAAAGTTATGAACAGTTCTTTTTTACTCCAGTATTATCTGATGACAACAAATATCAAATGATAACAGAAGGATTCCTCTTGTGCAGATCACTCACCCTCTCACCATTTTCCCCCTTTTCTCCCCGTTGTCCTGGAATCCCAAAACCAGGGCTGCCCTGTGTAAAGCAGGACAGATCATGATCAAATCGTTTGTTATTTGGAACTAACGTCTTTCCACTCTGGTCTGAAAAAATTCAACTTAAAAAAATAGAAATGACAAAATGCAATGATGGGAAATGTTGGTATTTATTAACCTTTGCTCCTTTGTCTCCTTGTTCACCCTTTATCCCTTGTGGTCCTGTAGGGCCGACCGGACCAATGTCCCCCTGATGACAAAAAATATTCACATATATAAACAGCAGTAGGGCATCCACTGGATTCTGGTTGCCAGTCTACATGATCACACAAGTTCCAAAACAAAACTCTTCAGTTGAAACAGCCGCCTGTGGACTGAGATTAAAGAGGTCCTGTTCAATGGAGCGTTCAGTCCCCCAGCAGAAGCTAATGAGAGAAAATCTTAATTGTGTTTGATAAGCAGACCCAGAGGACCGAGTCTGTGTGTGCAAGAATACCCGGAACAATTAATTAACCAAGTCTCACCAGAATAAAAAATTAAGAAAATCACTTCCCTCTTGCTCACTCTTTTCATTCCGGCTAGTTAAAATGAATATAGGCAAACAGTTTAAACATACATGTGAGGTTATGACAAAATGTACCAGTGTAATCCAGCAGCCTGAAGGTTACCATGGTAACATTGTTCTTAAATCTTTGCACTAATTGGTAAAAAGACAACAAGGGAGTAAATCTTTTTTGAATCCGAACAGCTTATCAGTCTCTAAAACTGTCGACAGGCAGCTCAGGGTAAATATAAAAACAGGAAGTCAAAGTCATCGATTTTAATGCGAGGGTATAGAAATGCTTAAAATCAAGAAAGGTGGTGTGGGGGGGACCGGTTGGCCTAGTGGTTAGGTTGCACACTATTTTCTCCTCCATCCACTGTCCTGCCCATTAAAGGCAAGAAAGCCGCAAAATAATTATAAAAAAACGACAAAGGACTCTAACATTTGCTTTTGTCTCTGTTGAAATGTCTAAAATGAAATCTGCACAAATGTGGACTTGCAAGTGCTATACACCTCTGAGATGTTAAAAATGAACCCAGGCAAACTTTATCTGGACAAATAGACCTAGAAAAAGACTTTGGTTACTTACCCTAGCACCCTTTTTTCCAGTTGGGCCAATTATCTGTTGTGAAGCAAAAAAAAAAAGGCAGAGAAGGGATGAAGCATCAAGTTCCTTCATTGTTTTTGTTAAAATTAGATGAATTGTTTCCTTACGCCCTTGGCAGGATCTCCAGGGACACCTCTTGGACCCTCATCTCCTTTTAACCCCAATGGCCCGGTCAGTCCCTGGAAAAAAAAAAAAAAGGAACATGACAAATATGTTTTAGACTCTATAGTTTTTATTATGATTGATAGTTGACTAAAGGCACTCTGCCAATGTTCCTGTAATTTTAAAATGTATCATCAGCTATACATTCTTTAACACCCTTGAACCTACATCCATGACCAGCGCTCCATTATTTCATATATACAAATAGACATTTGGGATAGAAAATTGTATCCGAAAAGAGAGGAAGAGGGTCTTCTTGACTGCATTTATTTTTGCTAGTTTCTTCCAAAAGACTAAACTTCCTCAAACAAAAAAATCACTGATGCAGCACGGAATTGCTTATTTGCAAAAGCTATCCGCAGAGGTTTGATTATTTGGCTCATGATTGTATGTAATCATAACCATCTACAATAGAGTCCTGATCTTGATTGAAAATGGCATCCTCATGTGTTCATTGATTACCCTAAATGTCTGTTTGGAGATATTAGGAAACGTTTTTTAAATTGTGTTTTGTTAAACTGTTTTCAGATTGGGTCGTAAATAAACTTCTGTTATCGGCCTCATGCTTTCTACACCATCAAAGAAAAAGCTAGAAAGTAGATTGTAATGTGCTTATGTGGTAGCAGAATTATTATGTGGGACTTGTGTTGAAACATGTTCCAGAACACAGGAAGAACACAAGTCGCTCAAATGTCTATAAACTGTATTTATTTAAGTTATTTCAGCCCTTTTCGTACGAGATGTAATCCTCACTCACTGTGGGTCCTAGTGGTCCGACTGGTCCCATCTCTCCTCGTTCTCCCTAAAAAGGCAAAATGCTTTTAAACACTCACATAAACTCGATTTTACTCTTTGTTGCAGCAAGTGATGTTTAATAAGTATAGAGTGAATATTTTCAGCCTATTGAAGAGAGAGAGAGAGAGAGAGAGAGAGAGAGAGAGAGAGAGAGAGAGAGTGGACAATGTGTGTAGGATGACCTCACCTTGTCCCCCTGCTCCCCTTTGAATCCCTTCTTTCCCTGCAGGTAAAAATAAATCACTGGTCTTTGAATCTTTTCATCCTTGATTGTTGCATCAAACTCTCATCAAACTATGCAGCGAGTAATTAATATGCACTCATGACTAAAATATGCAGAAACTCTTTGCTTGCTTTTTGAACAGGAGATAATGATTGATAACAGACCCGAGGTCCAAGGATTCCTTGGATGCCTTGCTCTCCATGATCACCCTATAGGATAAGTCAAAAAGCATTATTCTACATTCTTTTTTCTGTAATATATATATATATAGAAACAAAGCAATCAAACAAATCGACAACTTTATGTTCAGATTTTAATGTCTGCTACCTTTGGGCCAACTGGTCCCATTAGGCCAAGATTTCCCTGCAAAACAAAAAGTTCAAACATTGAAGCAAAAATATCATTTTTTATTTATTTAATTATCTAGAAAAACACTAAAGAAACTAGAAACTAGAAACTAAAGAGTAAAAAGTGATGCACCTTCTCTCCTGGCTCTCCACGAGGACCTTGAACACCTTGAATGCCAATTCCTTCTTGCCCCTGCAAAATGAATATCCAAGATACATGTGTTTATTATACACTGGTCACTGAAGTTGTATTCTTTTGTTATTCACCGCTTTACCTTCTGTCCAATCTCTCCTGGCAATCCTGGAACCCCGTCAATACCAATGGGACCAGGCAAACCTGCAATACCCTGGAGAAGTTTGCATATGTGTGCGTGTGAGAAACAGCAGAAATGAAGAAGACAGAGAAATATGAGTCAAAAGATGCAAAATATTTTCTAGGAGGTGGCTCTGAAAAATCTTTTATTTTTGTTATGCAATGTCTTGTTGCTCATTTTTAACCATTGTATCAACCATGGGCTTACATCTCTTCCCGACTCTCCTTTGTCTCCATTCACGCCCGGCTTCCCACGTAGACCCTTTACAAAAAGAATCAAAGCCTTATCAGATCAAAATGGAGCAATGCCTTTTTCATAGTAGATCATATCTGATTTTGAGGTATTAAAAAGGCTTATTATACAAATAGAAAATAATAATAATAATAATAACTTTATTTAGCACCTTTCAAAAACAGAGTCACAAAGGGCTTTAAAAGGATACAAACAGAAACATCAAGAGGATACAAAACACATGACGCTGTAAATAAAATGTTTCAATGCATCCTTTTAAAAAAGACTGAAAAGGCCTGCAAAGTAGCACCCACTTACTTTCTCTCCCGGTTCCCCCGGATCTCCCTGAAGTGCATACAAAAGAAAAACTCTGGTTTACTGACTAACTTAAAAAAGTCTACATTATCTAAAATTGTATACATAAAATACAAACAGATACATCATTATGCTGTTGTAGTGTTTACAGCCTATTTCTTCACTTTGAATTTTTACATCTGATCTAATTTTACCTTAACAGATATTCCTGGTGACCCTGATGGCCCTGGCTGGCCAGGTAGACCTGGAGCTCCATTGACCCCTGGTACACCTGGAGGTCCCTGTGGTCCCTGTGATACATAATCATTTCTGTGTTGTTATTCAGTTCACTATAGCCAAAACCCTAAGACAGTTTTGCTGAGGACTCACTGAAGATCCTGGCTCTCCTTTCCGTCCAGGAACATAATTTGCGTCTGCTCCAGCAATGACATATCCAGGCTCTCCCTATGAGGACACACAAGAAGCATGAGCTTGGATTCTCAACAGAGCAATTCCATTGTTTCTGTTGTTCTTGTTATTATAACACTTCAGTCCTTTTAATTAAAGTACATCAATCTTGTCTGCAACCATGTCCTCAGCTCATATCTTGGAAAAAGCAATCGGAAATTAAATCTAAATGAAAAGCAGCGGTCAGACTTACTCTCTCTCCTCTCTGTCCTTTTGGACCAGTGAGTCCAGGAAGCCCCTGCCGGGGAAAGAAAGAGAAAGGGTGATTATTAGATCAATCAATCAATCAATTAAATCAATACATTTTTATTTGTATAGCGTCAACTCATAACAAGTGTTATCTTGAGACACTTTACAAAAAGCAGGTAAAATACCTTCCTCTTTGTCTTTTAACATTACAAAAGAGCAGGTAAAAAGACATTACTCATTGTTATGTTACAAAGTCCCGGCCTATCCATCATGAGCACTTTAGCAAAGCAGCAAAAGTTACAGTGGTAAGAAAAAACTGTCTTATTAAAAGGCAGAAATCTTTGGCCGGATCCCCGGCTCATGACGAAACAGCCTTCACAGGCCTAGACTGCCCCGGGCTTGGAAAGGGATAGGGGGGGGGAGGCCAAGCCGTCCATCAATGATCCCGTGGGGAGGATATAAATATATAGGCTATAGTGGACATGATTATCATTATTCTGATAGATCTGTAACAAATATACAGGTTTGATTTAGAGGCATGTAGGTGGAAATGAGAATTGACAAAAAAGTCTTCAAAGTTAAAGGTGAATGTAAACCAGTGCCGTCAAATTAGAAGTTGCCAATTCAAAAATATTAAATGGCTACATTCCTTTAGCTGTCTTATATTTAGCTAAAGTTTTGGGTTAGGGTTAGTTGTTGTTTACCTCTACAGTAAGAAAGCAAAGGGAACAGAGGAAACATGTAGCTTTGCTCAAGGACTACATTCAAAGTCAGGACATCACTTTTATATGAAGTGAATAGCAGTCGGCTGACTCACTCTAATAACTCATAAAGACTTTATTCATCATCATATTTCTTACCATATCACCTGGAACGCCTGGAGTGCCCTAAACAAAAAGAACAACAAATATAATTTTCAAAGTCAGGCCTGAACAAAATAAACTATAACAAAGTCAGTATGCGGTTTTCTTTTTCTGAATTGAGTTACCCGTTGGCCGGCAGAACCTGGGGGTCCAGTTCTTCCTGGTCGTCCTGGCAACCCAGGTACTCCATCTGTTCCAGAAGGTCCCTGTCGAATAAAAAACATTATGGACTGTGCAGGAAGATGAAAGAATGAACACGCGCAGTAGAGCCCGATGACACAGGGTGGTGAGAGGGGAATATGAAGAAATAAATAAAACTGTATTTTAATATAATGGAGCTGTGAAGATGGAGTAGTTGTGTTAAGATTTACTGTAAATGACTAAAGGAGTGAAAACAGTAAACAGACTGTATGGAACCTCTTATTTAAAATAATCTCCACATAATTCTTAAACTATTGTTGACTAGTAAATAATGATATACAACATAAAAAATGCAATCCTCCTCTATTCTTAAAGTTGACTCTTTATAACTCCTATCTGCAAATTTCAACAGTAATCCTAAAATATTTCCATAGGCTTATTTCCATCTGTAGCCCCTTGGCCGCTTGGTATGTATACACATTTACATAAAACCACAATGGCAAGCAAAAATCAAACAACAACATACATTGTTCATTAGTCGACAGAGACACATATACAAGCATATAAAGTGGCTGTGTGGTGTAAATTACACATTTGCCCTGGAGCCTGTGACTTTAAAGTACTGATGTGATTGCAAATAGCAATATTGTATATGAGTTTGCATATACAGGCATACTATTGCAGAAGGTTAGATACACAGAATTGTTTATGTATGCAGTCTTGCACTGGGGTTAGTTACATAGATGTATGTATGTAGGCATAATTAAAAATTGATTTTTAGACATGGCCACGGATCGGGATTGTTCTGAGTCACAGCTTCAGATGACTCTTGAAAATGCCAAGCTGGAACATTCCCTGACCGAGAGTGGTAAGCTATACCATAATGTGCTCCCTTTACATGTATACAACAAAACAGATCCTAAAAGATCAAGAAGTCTGAAATAAATGATCATCAGGGATTAAGGTTACCACAATAGTGTTTCTTACCTTTTCTCCGGTCTCTCCTTTTGAAGAGGTGAAGGGGTCATACTGCCCAGGGCTTTGTCTGAATCTCTACATCAAAAACAGTGAACAGAAAAGAAAACAGTTTTATTCTAAGATTTAGATTATTAAAGAAAGGTTATGTCATACTAGGTACTTTAAGGCAAAACAGAGAGACCAAACGAATACTGAAGTGGGAAATAAGTATTTGCTTATTATTTAACAGATAAAATAATGTAAACATGGAAATATGAGAAATACATACCAGACCTCCAAAACCAGAACCATCTCCCTGTAATAAAAAATCAAATAAGTAACACTGTCATTGCATACAGTTTTTTAATTCAAGTGAATCTTTAATACACTTTAGTTAACTCACCTTTTCCCCTTTCTGGCCCTGAGATAATAAAAAACACATGATGAAGCATTAGTAACTGTACGTGTATAGCGAATGAATGCTCTTGTCCTGTGGTCATTTCTACCCCATTACACACTTGTTTGAGGGAAAGGAGAGGGAGGATTTTTTTTTACCTTGGCACACTGGGAGGTGCAGGGACCCTGAGGCTTAAGCAGCTCCTCGGGGTCTTCAGTCGGAGTGTCTAACTGAGCAGACTGAAAATAAAAACATTTCAAAAAGTTTTTAATGAATTACTGGACCCTTCAAACACATTGCAGAGCAGTAGCAGGGATGGCTGTGAAATGCAGCTAATTTCACACTTTCACAGGACTCTGACGTCAAAATGAAGTCAATGACTGCTGGAATATTTTCACCCACTGAGTCCTTGTTAGTTAATTAAAAAGTGATTTCCTCATTATGTCCAGATGTGCTTTCATAGACCTGTCCTATACACCTTCTATATATGCATTCACATTACATTTACATTTGTAACTGTAATATTGTGACTATGGGAGATATCTGATTACATTTCAATCACCAGAAGCATATTTTCAGCTGCAAATTTGTCTACAACAAATACACAAATATAGAATGTTATTAGAAATTCTACTCAACTCAACAACTCTGCTCAACAGTCTAATTTAACTATAACATGTCAACATGTAAAGACAAATAAAAGGAAAATTCTGAGACGTTTTGTACTTTCTTGCCTCATCATTCAATTTATACTCGGACAGGAGCTCCTCGCTACAGATGCTGTTGATAAATTCTCTCTCTATAGTTGGGAAGTCGTCAAAGCTCGGTGAGAAGAAGATATTTTTGTAGCTGGTGGGTGCAGCGATTTTATTCAGCTCATCAATGTCCGCGTTAGAAACTCCAACTGCGAGGACGCTGACACCTAAAGAGAAAAAGAAAGAATCGGTACACGATACTACAGGCAAAACCTTCATCCATAGACATGATATTGTTTCGCTGAGTTGTGCTTATATAACATTTTTTTTTTTTTAGCTTTTATAATACATGTGACTGACCCAGAGCACGTGCAATTCTGGATGGTGGCACCACATTATCCTGAGCTCTGCCGTCGGTAATGAGGACCAGTATGTGGGCCACATCCTGCCTCATCCCCAGAGACTCCTGGAACAGCTCCTGCAGAACGTAGCTGATGCCTTTTCCTGCAGGTAAAAAGGTACAAAGACAAATTAATTAAACTTTTGCTGATGACGCTGGTAGATTAAATTTACGCCTTTGCATGGCAGTATTTCAGGCAGCAGAGTGTAAGCATGGTATGCCTTCAATCAATAAATCAAACATTGTCTTGATAGCACTTTGATAACAGAATACAGGTGACTCACAGGCTGCTTATTAGTAATTAAAGTTTTCTGTAGACCAGCAAGATAGAAACCTGTTAGTGCCGGTGACATCGACAGCAGGACTTGAATTACTGTTATAATCAATCCCATGACAGCCTGCAGACGAACAAAAAGAAGTGTGCACACGGTAATACATACCAGTTCTAGTGTTGCCCCCTACATAGCGCAGTGCTCTGATCGCCCTGAGCACGGAGGTTCTGTCTTTGAAGTCATTCAGACGGAACTCAATTCGAGGCTCATCACTGTAATGAACCACAGCTATCTGCAGAGAGAGAGGAACGGAGAAAATATGCATCAGCATCTTTCCTAAGACAGATGTGATGCATCAAAGCTTTAAATCAACATTTTTGTTTTACTCAATAATCTTGACATATGCTTCAAATATAGTGAAAACATATTTATTTTGGTGCCTCTTCTTTGACGACAGACCTGTACAGAACGGAGCCAATCACAAGCCATTGTGTATTATTCATTGTTTATCCTTTCTGCAAAGTTATTCTGCAATGCAACGTCTTTCAATAAAGTTTAAATAATAATAAATTCCAATTTTTATCTGCCATAAGACCAAAAAGACTAAATAAAGTATACACCTCAGGCCACATCAAGCAGGATTGTAATAAAAAGTCTGTTTCAATAGAGGGACTAACCTGTGTGGCCTGAGAACCCATGGCAGGGAAGTAAGTTGCCACTCGAAATATGAAGTCTTTCATCTTGTTAAAGTTGTCAATCCCGATGCTGGAGGACTCATCCACTAGAAAAACGATGTCTGCTTTTGTCTTACTACAAGCTTTAAAGAAAAAGAAACAATCACTGAATACGTTTCACAATTGAATTTGTTCAAGTAAGGTCACACTTTAGAAATATCTGTGTATGAATGAGCGTAAGGGACCTGGTTTTTGTGGAGCTTTGGTCTGTGCACTGACTGTGCTTGATCGAATGGAGGGGACTCCTGCCTGTTTGGCTTCAGTGACACTTGGTTGACCTGGAGGCTTCTTGGTGGTTATTGATTTGGTTGGTGGCACTGCAATGGGGTGCCGGGTGGTTCTAACGGCTGTCTGGTGGATGGTGGTGTTTTTGATGGAGGCGGTTGTGATGCGAGGGGTGACTGTGACTGGCACAGACTGGACTGTTGCAACAAGAGGATCCTGTCCCACTGAGATGCACAGAGCCACAATGATAAGTAACTTATCACTTATAAGTTTCATGAGTGATACAAAATAACCTCAAACAAGCTAAAGGTCTTAAATTGGGATACAAGAAAGTCGAAAAAAAATAATAATCTCGATATAAATCAAGAATATGTACATCCTGTGTCTTACATATTCTCTGATACACAGTGCTGATAGGGCCCTCCATTTCTCCATACAAGGGCCTGATGGTAAATATATAAGTTCTTCCATACAGCAGATTTCTGATCTTATAGGAGCTGAAGCCAGGGCCCAGGGTCTCTGTTTTTGTGTCCAGCACTGTAAAGACACACACAGGAGAAGTTATTGTTGAGGTGATGTTTGAACTGATTGAGTTTTGAGAAATGGCATGACTCTGTATGGAATACATTATAGTCTAAAGCAATGAATGAATACGCCAAGCACTCAAGGTCATCAAAAAGTGATGGATGACAGGAATGATGTCATAAGAGACCAGGCTGTGTGAAGTTATAGATCAGTGTGAATACATATACAAATAACTACACATTGTCTGGATTTTTATTTCTTTTGAGAAATGTTCATATCCCGACATTATGCTTGTGTCTTTACTTAAAAATGAATACAATGACAACCACAGCAACAAGTTATTTAATGCAACACATTGTTGCAACTTACTCATTATAGACTGTTATAAAAATAATAACCTCATCCAGACAATGCCTATCAGTCTGCTTGTTTTATAAACATGATTTTTTTTTCTTAAAGGTTTTTATTTCTTTCTACTTTTGCTTTCAAAATAGGGTGCTTATGACGCCGCTTAATAAACAATGTGTATTATGCATCATGCTTCATTTCCACTTCAAACCCTAAAGGACCCAGAGAAAGAGCGATGACTATTACATCATAATACACTAAAATCTAAAAGAGTAGAGATCGTTTTTTTTTTTTTAAACTGGTAAGACAATGCTAATGACAGAGCTCTATGCAAACGTTTTGGCCTAACTTTGACGGAGAAAGCTGATTTTTAATGGATGGCAAATTGAAGGCAAAACTTTTGGCCAGTTCAACTCTGACCTGATATGTGCCTCCATGAGAGAAGGTATCCAGATACACCAGCCACACGCGTCCAGTTTAGGATAGTGCTGCTGTCTGTTGTGTTAAGAGCAGCAAAGCCATTCACTTTCGGGAGGTCCACTGCAACAGAAAAAAAAAAAACCCACTTGATTAAAGGAGAAAGAAAGCTCAAGGGTAACATGAGTCCAAATCTTTGAAAAAGAAAAATAGTCTTCACTTTGATTTAAAATACCTATTATGATTAATTTGTGTTAAAACAGTTATTTAAATATTGCTGTTTGGGGCATGCAGGACTCACAGGTGCGTGCAGTGACCAGGACTGGACTTCCCTCCCTATTGCCCACCATGGAGGACACTTGGATCTTATAAGCTGAGCTCTCCTGCAGGTTCTTGATTGTGAAGGTGGTAGAAGCAGCTGATACTACCTGGGACTTCTCATCACCGCCTAGAATAGAAAATATTACATTTCAGCAGTTTAACAGTTATGTCTACGTGTATAATTAATCTGTTAAATAATTGGGTGCATGCATTTATGTGAGCATTGGGCATAAAGCATGAATGGTATTTGTGGTCTCTTACCTAGGAAGGGGATCCAGGAGATTTTGTACCCAGATGCCCCTGGTGTTTTCCTCCAGGTCAGGGAGAAGGAGTTAACTCCAATGTCCATAACCTTCACTTCCCTCACTGCTTGGATTGGCCCTGAGTCTGAGTCAGCAGCTGTAAAATAACAAAACATAACCACGTAAGCTGTACGGAAATAGTAAACCATATAAAATCTCATGAAACCTAAATTACTGGATGACCTAGCACGACTTTTTATATGCACTGTATCATTTGCCAGTGTGTTAAACTTGACTCAAGGGGCTTTAACTTTGAAGGTGACGGTGATGAAAAGAAAGCAGCTCTGCTCACCCGGAGTGACAATGACAGTAACTGTGGTTAAAAATAAGAAGTCCAAAGTACATTATATGTCAGTCAAGCAAAGACAGCACACGGTTGCTGCGGCACGTCCTGAAGACCTTCCAGACATCTCTTCAGTTCTGTACCTGTGAGCTGGGATAAGGATATTTCGGGACCCTCTGAGTTGCCGTACACTGCACAGATGGTGATTGTGTAGGTGGACTGAGGGTTCAAGTCTCCGATGCGATGGAATAAGACACTGCGGTCCAGGTAACTGGACTGAGGGCTGCTGTCACCTGCGCACAAAAAAGTACAAATGCAAAGATATACAAAACAGTTTTACAAACAGTGTGTAACATTATTTCTAAAAGCTTTTCTTGACACATACTTCATATAAAGGCTTTAACAAGGTTTTCTTAAACAGTGAGATACTTAAATCCCAATAGTGTGGTAAAGCAGAAGGGGTAAAAAACATGTTAATATATCACCTGTGTTCCAAGTGAGTTTGTACTCAGTTGCTCCAACAATAGGACTCCACTCCACATCAATGGAGTTACTGGTGTAAGATGTCACCTTGAAGTTTGACACGTAGCCCAAAGGAGCTAAAAGAGAGGAAGAGGCATCTCACAAAACTAGTTTTTCTTGGTTATACATTGTACATGTTTTTATTTAATCTCTAATATGCATCAGAAAGGGTTAGGGTTCGGTTCTCAGGAGGCAAGACCTGATGGAAAAAGGAAAAACGACGACAAAGCAATCGAGTCCAACACCATGATGACACTATGGTAATGTATGAACAACATCACTCTGTCCGCTTGTAATTTTACAAAGGGGCCTGCGGGAAGAATTCCAGTTGAAGTCGGGGTGAAATATGTGTCCGTTTGTGTTCACACATGCAGCTCACCTCGACAATTTCTGGGAACTTTCAGGATTTTTATGCATGTGTGAAAAGAACAAGAGAAAACTATTTGCCAGACCTGATGTAATGCATCGTTGAATCTAAAGAGGGCAGTAGAATTTTTTTTTAAGCCTGTAATGAAGTTACACTGCTAAGGTTCTCTCATTACTATTAATCTTAATATGTGTATACATACATACATTTATGATTCAACAGAAAAAGAAAAGGTTATTTAAAAACAAAAACTAAACCCAAGAGGTTTTTCAGGTGTTTGAATACTGGTACTTACACGTTCTGAATGTAGCACTGATACCAGGCCCCACCACAGGTCCAAACAGCACATACAGAGACAGGACATACTCAGTATCATGTGCTACATTCTTCAGGTGGTACTCTATGGTGCTGCTATTAAGAGCCAACTGCCTAGGCCGGTCCCGACCAACAAACTCTGAAAAAAAAAATATATATATATATATATATATATAGATAGATATATTCACAGTACAGTCACATCGCTCTTTCTTTCAGTGTATTATTCCTCAGTGTCCTGGTATTCCATATCAACTCTGGCACAGCATCAGAGTATCCAACTCTGGAAACAACATTTGGATTTTATCAAAGTGAGTCACCATGCGTCCTGTCACATCCTTGTTCATTGTAAAAGCCGAGGAATTTCAAAGGCTTCTGTCAGAGTGAGTTTGTCAAGCCAGAAAAACATGGACACACATGCATATAAAATGCTTTGTACCCAGTACTAGCTCTAAAAGCACATTATCAGGATGTTTGTTGATTTTTGAAGTAGTTTCGACATTTATTTTCACAAGAGTGTGCAAAAGTCATCCATAAGTTCTTTATACCGCAACCCTTTCGGGGTCGCAGGCTGGAGCTGATCATAGCTGCCATTGAGAGGCGGTGTACACCCTGGACTGTTCACCATTCAATTAAAGGGCTGATATACAGAGACAGACAACCAGCCACACTCACATACACACCTACGCGCAATTTTAGAGTCATCAATTAACCTAACGAGCATGTCTTTGGACTGTGGGCGGAAGCCGGAGTACCCGGAGAGAGCACACGCATACATGGGAAGAACATGCTCCACACAGAGACTCATGCCCAACGGTGATATGAAGCAGGAACATTCTCACTGCTAGGCAACAAATCTAACCACTGCACCACCATTCAAGTTATGGTGTGTATCGCTATAAGAACCAGATCTTCTCATTGACAGGACAGGACTGACTTTAAGATAGAACACTGGGGGTCCACAAAGAGAGCCATGCAGTCACCTGGAGTTGGTCCCCAGGCCAATCTGTATCCTGTGGATCCGGGTACACTGTTCCATGAGATGACGGCAGCACTTGTGCTCACAGCAGACACCTTCAAAGTTTGTACTGCACTGCTTTCCACTGATAGAGAGAGAGAGAGAGAGAGAGAGAGAGAGAGAGAGAGAGAGAGAGAGAGAGGGAGAGTTTAATATCTGGTCTCTGATGCTTATTCCTGTATTTTGAACTTCTGAGCAAGCATTCTTGTTACATGTCTTGACTGTGGTGGTGATGACCGGCCCCTCTGTGTCTCCAAAGATGGGGTTGATGGTGATGGTGTACTCAGAGGCAGGTTTTAGGCCCTGGATCATGTAAAAGTTAAAGGTGTCATCAAGGTTTATGTTCTCTATGTGGCCATCTGAAAGAAACATGTGAAGAAATATTTGGATGCCACAAAGTATTTTTGGATGATAGGGTATAATCTGACTGTAAGATCAAACATGTTGGTTTTACTTTTTTTTGGCTAAGTCTTTGTTTAAAATTGAAATTGAAAATCAGTACCTGGGGCTGCCCATGTCAGACGGTATCCTGTGGCACCCTTAACTGAAGCCCACCTCCCCTGGACAGTGTCTGTGGTGGCGTTTTGGACCAGGAAGAGCTTAACTGGTATAAGCTTTACTGAGGAAAACACCCATATATATTTGCTTTAATTTTATTTATCAACAAAATCAAAATGAGCAAGAGTGAGGATATTTAATCAGATTTTTCAAATGCAAAATTATTATATGAAGCGTTGTAATAAAAACAACCAGTTAATATAAATACATCTTAATCAAAAAACAAGCTTTGACGTGATAAATCTCCAGCATAGCATGAAATGAACATAAATGAGAGTATGCAACAGACCTAATGGTGGTATTTTTGGGACTATATCACCCCACTGTGGATATAGTTTGGTACTACACCTTAGCATATGCTTCCTTGTTAGATATCATATTTTACACGAACTTTGTAATGTTAATAAATATGAAAGAATGTATTTTCCATTAAGGTGCATAATATGAAATTTGATAAAGCCAACTAACTTACATGTCTTGCCCACTACTGAAACTGGTTCACTTGGTCCCTGGGGGTAAACAGCATAAATACTGATGATGTATTTCTTATCTTCTTCAAGGCTGTCAATAACATGAGAGGAGGTGTCTCCAGGCAGCACGTTCTCATAGGTAAATCCTGGTCTGTTGGCTGCAGAACAAAAATCCAGGAGAATCAATGATCAAGAATTTACTCTCACAAGAAAATGTGATCATCTGTGATGCTTGAAGCCTTAAGTTTAAAGTGATCACATTGTTTTAACCCATACATTTTAATTTCACATCTTTATGGGAATTTCAATGAGAAGTTAATCGCAGATGAATGCCGAAATTTGCAAGGTGTTTGGTGCAAACTGATCATAACTGGGTATGGTAATGTTTGCGTACATCTTGGAATGAAGATCTTGAAGCCGTTTAGCTTCCCCAGAGGAGGCGTCCAGCCCAGTCGCAGAGAGAAGAGACCCTCCTCTATAACACGGAAATTTGACACCTGAGGCAAAGGGGCTGAAAGACAGAAGGCAAGTGAGCCAAAGTGAAATCTAAATATGCTTAGAAGTATTTGTATATTTTCCTAAATGAATAAATTCAACAAAACAGGTGATGTGTGACACCCACTGGTCTGGGCGGTGGTTGTTGCAGAGTCTCCGATGAGGCTTGGGTAGATGGCATAGACAGTGAGGGAATATTCGGTTTTAGGACTCAGCTCAGTCACCACAGTGGTGCTCACGTCTGCCTTCAAATCAATCTGTTTCATACAAAGAGCATGAGCAAAATGACAACAGTGATTGTGGGTGCAGGAAAGAGTAAGAGACATGAGTACAGAAAAGACCATTGATAGACACATTTTTAAAATCACTTTCAATACATGCTTGTACCTCAGCGAACAAAGAGCATCCTTATGCCTTGGCTAAACGTCTTTCTAGTATCCATGTCTCCATTATATCGATATTAGATGGTTCATAATAGAACGCAAAAACAACATTTTCCTCTCTTAGCAATGACATGTAACTATTTTTAGATATCAACGGTACAGGTAGAGTATTTTCATGAAAACAGTATACCAACACACACAAAGAAGCAAAGGTATTGTGGAAAGAGAAAGGGAAATCTATGTCATCGTCACTGTTCAGGTTGGTCCCACTGATTCAATTCCATCATGGCTGCTATGAGAGATGACTCACTGCATATTGTTTCAGTCCAGAAGTGACCCACAGCTTTTGTAATAAACTGACATTCCTAGGATGATCTTGAGCTCTCTAAAGAATATAGAAATGATATGCAGTGGATGTTTTTTTTTTTTTTATCAGAGTCTATAAAACTTCAGGGTGACTGAGAACTTAGCTTCATTTGCAGGAAACAGATTCTGAATCGCAAGGCTCCTCCCAAACTCATTAACTGTATATGCGAGAATAAGATGTAAGGTAAGCTTAGGTGAACAGTTCGAAAAGGAGTCCAAACTTGTAATAATGCAGCCTAATGCAGTTACATCCAAGCAAGGCAGCTATCATTGTCTATGGTCCCTCACCTGTCTCTGCTGGAGGGGGAGGAGGTGCCCCTTGGAGTTGAGAGGGGTGACCAGGACACGATACCCGGTGACATCACTTGTGGCCTGGGTCCATGTCAATCTGAGGGAACTGTGGGCCAGCTCACTAACCTGCAGGTCTCTTGGACCCACAACTCGCACTTTAACTAGAATTCCCAAAAGATAGAGGAAAATGAATGAGTATAAAATATGTATAATACAAACACAATTACGTTCAGGGTTTTTATCTAATTAGAGTTCTAGTTTGATATTAAATTGATCGATATAGAAATGCAAACAGCTGTCAGTTTAATGGCAGCTCTTTCTTTTCTTCTCTCTGTGTGTGTGTGTGTGTGTGTGTGTGTGTGTGTGTGTGTGTGTGTTGGTGAGTCTCTGTGTGTGTGTGTGTGTGTGTGTATCAACATTAACTCACCTGGCTGTGATGTTTTCACAGGACGAGGGGGTTCAGAGGCAGTGAAACACACTCTGCGAGATAGTTTGGGAAGCATGGTGTCCAGCAGAGAGTAGTCAGTGCCCAGTAACAGATGCTCCTCATGAGGCTCAGACACAATCCTCCTCAGCTCAGACACATCCACTCCTCTAACACCTGGTTTCAAACAAGAGGAAAAATACATACAGCATGTCCTTATTAATGGAAAATTGGCCGAAATGAATGTTCATAAAACCATTCCAACTCTAAATGACTTACTGTGCATTTATACAAGAACTTTTGATACCTCAGGGACTGGATTTAACTTTATCAATATATAATAAAACTAGTGAGTGCCAACTACAAAGTTATCATTAAATGTCTGTTTTTGTGTCTGAGGCCCATGCTTTCCCCACGACATCCTCTCCTTTGAAAACCACCAGGGGGCGCTGTGGCATTTTGAGTGATTTTCCTTTAAGTCATGTAAATATGTAAAAACCCTTACACATGCATATTCTAGGCAAAAGCAAGCACTTTCTGAAACCTTCCTCAAGTTATGGCATTAACTGTGTTTGTTAGGAATCAATGTGTGGAGCTGGGCAGCAAAAACACCTATCATAGACCAAATGCAGGCTTGAAAAGTTCTTCTTTCTAACTGTAAAAATAAAAACAGTTAACAAAAGGAGAATCTTGTGTGTGATTCATTAATCCATGAATGTGTTTTATCCATATCACACAGGCTCAACAGGCATATTTGTTTTGCCCTTGATGCATGTGGCGCTTCTCTGCTGGAGTGATAAACGAGAGGAGCAGACCTCCGTGTCAGAGGTGCAAATGGGGGACACCGAATCGCCTATTGAAAAATGGCTGCGATTAGCACACCCTCGGCTAATGAGCAGTAATTATTGCACCGCTCCCAGCTGAGAGGAGTAAGTTGTGGGCTCGTGTGCTTGTGATTGTCGGTAGAAGAAAGAGAAGAGTAAGTAAACCTGTGGATAAACAGCAGTGTGTATGAGCGAGTACAAGGGAGGGGTTGAGCTGTTGGATAAGGTAGCTTTGCTGAGGCACACATAATATCAGAATGTCAACATATACAGCACAGGAGCTGAATTAAGACATTGCTTATTCTGACATACATATTTAGTAGATGTCATGTTTGCACGTATAGAGAGCATAAAACTGCATGAGGGCACCCACACAGAAAGAAACACGAGTTTTACACACTCACAAATACCCACACTGAATTCAATGAATTCAAACAGGGCATGAATTTCTAACTGCAAACACTGCAGATAAGCTGGCAGAGCTGGGATAAAAATTGGAGAGGACTCTGCAGTGAGGATGTTGACGGAATTCACAAGTTTTATACTCACCTACTGCAAAGAGAGAAATCCCATTGTCAGCTACAGCTCTGGCTGCAACATCAACCTGGTCCTCCGAGCGTCCGTTTGTGATCAGCACAGCAATCTGAACAACAATGAGACACAGAAAACATGATAGACATTCAACACGTTAATTAGCCGTTTTCAATGGATTACATAAACATACTGTAGTTTTACTGCAACCAACCCATGTTGTAAAGAATGAAATCTCTGTAAAAAATAATGTTTGTTTTTTATAAAAATCGATGGATCATATTTGTGGAGGTAATTCTCCCTCCAAACAGTATTTTGTTCAGATAAAGAGAACCTCCTTGCCAACAGTGTCATCCTAAAAAAAAAAAAAACAACCTCCATGGTCTTTTGACATGGTTTAACTCATAATTAAACCCATGATTAATAAATCAAACAAAGTGGATTTTAAGGATGCTAGCCTCCAACTGAGACTGCTAATTTGCCCATCATGGAAAATTTACGCAGTTCATTCTAAGTTCAGCCCCTCTGTCAATGAATCAGGGAGGCTGGAGAGCATCAATATGAGAATGTAGCTGCTTTTCAGCATGTGCACCGGCAGTACGATTCAATATATCAGCCTAATCCTCAATTCTCAGCCTTCCCACGTCAAGTGCACTGCTGCTGCTGCTGCTGCAAAATGATTCGCACGCACACTCAGAGATAGAGAGATGATTGGAATGCTAACCAGCTGCGTTATACTGAGACTGCACTACAGTGTAGGACTGTGAGGGAATTTAGCTGACAGAAACTGAGAGCTGCAGGAAGGGCATCTGGATATTTTATTAAGCATTTTAAATTAGACAAGTTCACTTAAAATATATTGGTTAAGGGTCAAAATCCGAGACTAGTATGAATGAATACATAATTTTTCAAGGACCCTTTGATTATGCAGATTGTGTCCATTTTTGAGCACTATTGGAAGACCGTCAGTTGGACTTATTGTGTGTTTGAAATGGTTGACACTACTTGTCATCCCATCATGGACAACCATTCAGTCAATGACATGTTGGATCAGCAAGGGGGAATTTATTACCTCTCTCTTATTCATATTGCTTCCCTAAGCAAAAGATAAACCAAAGTTGAACACAATCTGTTGCCGCTTGTTACTTCTTACCAGACATTCTCTCATTTTGTATTCTTGGACTAAAGCTAGAGCGTTTAATCAGATCCACCGTGGAGAGAAAATGGTAGACCAGTTTGTTTTGTTTGTGTTTTCCACCATGTTTCTTTGGAGAACAAATAGAGACAATTTAATTCCTTTCGCGCACAGCCAAAATATACAATTTATGCATTTTAGTGGCCAGCTGGAAACAGTGTGGGCTGTAATCTTGAACCAATTACCTCCCAGTTGCTTGTTTGTACAGACTTCGTAATACATTTTAAAAAGATTGAGGCACTTCAGTTTTACAGCTGCGTGGGACAAGTTTAAGGATGTTAATCTTAATCATGCGACTGCTTTATTGTGTCTTTGACCTCAAATTACCTACAATAAGTGAAATCAGTTTGTTGGACTGATTCAAAGTACTTTTTTCTATTCTTTGCTCATTATTTCATATGTGCTAGAAACTTGCCGGGACAATCCCAATATGGCAGGCAGGTTGTCATAAGTCCCAGTTTGAAGCGTTCTACCTTTGGGAATGGTCCCGACTGATGGCCGGGCTGAACACAGTTTCGACTAGAAACTGGAGGGCATCACCAATCCTTCTGGATCCGCCCTCGTAAGGAAGGTCTCTGATGGTTCTGAGCACCTCCTCCTGGGAGCTGTAGTCTGTCAGGGCAATTCTCATCCTGCAAGGAGACGATTACAGGAGAAGCAAAACTGCATCATGTAGGAACTTTAATTTTAACGCTCCTTGTGATATAAAAAGGGGACAAGACATCATTTGTTTTAGAAGCTGTTAACATTTTTTGGATATTAACAATAATCTCTAATAAGGTTAAATTGGTCTACCTTCATGACAATTAGTGAAAAGGGTATTTCCCCTGTGTCATTTTCATTTCTCATGACTGTGTTTGTGTTTTAGTTTTACCTCGGTACATCCCCAAACACAGTGACTCCAAAGCGAACCCCCTCAGTTCCCATCACACTGTCCCGGAAGGAGGAGACGATCGCTGAGATGAAGTCTTTGACGTTGTAAAAGCTCGTCTGGCCCACACTCCATGATTGATCAACCAGAAACACGATGTCTGCCTGCAACGTCGTCCTGCAGTCTGAGAGAAGAACACCTGGGGAATTAATATGAGCAAGAATACCTAGATTGCGTTTGTGAAAATAAATGGAGATGCTCCTGCCCTTGTTTTTATTCCAGCACTGGCCACCAGATAGCACTCTTGTTCCATCATGTTGAGCTTTTTTTTTCTGTTCACTTGCTCCTGTCATGCAGCCAAAGCCCTACACACATCCCCATGAATTTTTAATGAGACACAAGTGAGCCAAAGAGACTATCAATATTCTGAGCACTACAGCAATAAAACTTTAGTACAGCGATGAGGAACGCTTAGAATAATAAGGTAAACACACCCAAAAATCAGGGTCAGTCCCCTCGCTCGAGCAAACAATCACATTTAACAGAAGGATCTGCTGCGTTTGGCATGATTCAGACGCATTTTTAAAGTGGAGTTAAAAGCCAGACACGCAAAAAACTGCACTGATGCATAAAGGACATGCACAGCCACGCATTCATTGACTCCTACACACGCCTGTATATATTCCCACATAGATCCTCAGTACTGTACTAGCTTAATACAGAAACCTGCTGCGTGTGCAAAAAGTCCCCTTAGTCAATATTCTGGCATTACATATGCGGTAAACCACAGTGACGACAGCATTGATTAGGCTAGTGAATAAGAGATAGGCACCACTGATTGTTCTGTAAGTGATAACTCAGCTACTCTGCTATCCTCTATTTCATTACAGAGCCTTCTCGCCCCTATTATCTCACCCTTCTTCCTTTGGCTGCAATCCCAGGATTCACAGGGGGTGACATATGTCTCCTGCCCACAGCGACATGACATTATGTTCCCCCCTCACACACCTATACATATCTGGCAACACACCAAGGAAACATAATATCATCGGGAATACCACTTTGGGCCTCTCACCGCTGGTGTTGAGTCACTATCTTTGCCTTAATTGAAGCTTTGTTTTATGTTTTATCACAAAGGAAAAATAAACAGGATCAAACAATGTCCTGAGTTAAGTCTCATATAGGAAGCCAACCCTTACATACACGATTGGCTGTTTTCGACTGCACAGATTTCTGTAAAATCCATGAAACATGGCCAAGAATCTGAGCGAGGAAGCATCGGAGGCTCAGCTCTGTCAGACAGACACAATCTGAGGTGGAAAACCAGATCAATTATCAAGTTCGTCTGTCTGTGCTGGCAGGTGAGAGCCACAAGCCAAGGATAAGGAGACAGCACATGCTGAGGGATTAGGAATGCGTTTCTTGAAGGTTATCTATGCTGATATCTCAAAGGTTGTGTACACCTCTGTGCTGGAACACCATTGATTTACGCATTAGATGTAGCTCAGTGGCTACAGCAAACGCTGCAGAAAATTCTGCTAGGAAAGACATAGTCTGAGGAATAATGATGCACTACTGCAATCAACAACCAGCAAGATCAAGAGAAAAGATGTAAACCATAAGAGAGAATGAGGCTAAGAACATCAAGGGGCCATCAGATTTGATCAAATCAAATTAATGTAAAAGTTACAGTTAGGAGTAGAAAAAACTGCAGTAATTGGCAGAGAAGCCAAAAAGTGTGTGTGTGTGTGTGTGTGTGTGTGTGGGGGGGGGGGGGTCAGGAATATTAAATGATTGGAGAGTCCAAATATTGAAAACATTTCTCGCAGTCAGTGTGACAAATACACAATCGTTGCCCGAGGGTC